ACATAAGAGCAGCAAGGCAGACATAAGTGTTGGATAGAGGACATGACTGGGAGCTCAGAGTTGATCCAGACAGGAAGTTAGTTTTCCCTAACATCGTGGAAATCAACCTAAGACCAGACGCAGTTTAGTGTCCCAGCAATCGAAAACATGGTCACAATGGAGCTGACTGTGCCGTGGGAAGAAAATTTTGAGGAAGCACATGAGAGGAAGAGCCTTAAATATGCAAGGCAGACTGCAGGGATAGAGGCTGGAGTGTCTGGCTGTTTCCAATAGAGGTCGGCTGAAGAGGTTTCCAAGTGCAATCAGTGTGGAAGCTGCTCACTAGATTAGGTGTATCATGAAGAGCAAGCAAGACAGCAGCAAGGAGACTGGGAGAAGAAGCAGAAAAGTCATCCTGCTGGATATGGCACCACCGAGACGATCTGTGCTGGAAGTCAGGATCCATTGAGTAGTGGATTGGCCACCACTGCTGACCCACCAACTGGAGGATATCATGGTTATGGGTGGAAACATCCGGTGAAGGTTGGAGACAATCTGATGATGATCAGAACCGACAGGCGAGACCAGGGGCGAAAGTTACAGATAGTGACAGGCATGCTTAAGTGTGCCAAGCTGACAGTTAGCAGAAAACCATCTTCTGTAAGTGAATACTGCCTATACACACTGAAGAGAACTATTTAGCCTCATCATTTTTATGCCCCGCTATGAAAATGACCGGGGCATATAGTGTTTGTCATGTCCGTCTTCCGTCCTTCCGTCTGTCCTTCTTTCACACTTTGCGTTTAGCTCTGTTCAAAGCTAAGTTTCAAAGAAACTGTCCAAGATATTTTCATCAAACTTCATATGCTGATAGATATTGATGAGAGCTATGCAACTGCATCAACATTTTTTGACCTTGACCTTTCCTTTGACCTTGACCTCACTTTTCTTAAATTAGTGTTTAGCTCAATTTTAAACATACCACTCAAGATGGTGTTATCAAACTTCACATGTTGATACAAATTTGCACGGATGATGCATCATGGGATGAACAATACCAGACTTGCTTCGGATGCTGGATCTGACCTACATGAGTGACCAGGTTAAAGTTTTTGGAGGAGGTCCATTCCTAAGGAACTATAAGCCCTACTTCGACCAAACTTGCATGGATGATCAATGCATCTAAGGATGGACACTACCAGACTTGCTTCGGATGCTGGATCTGACGTACATTTTCCAGATGAGTGACCAGGTTAAAGTTTTTGGAGCAGGTCCATTCCTAAGGAACTATAAGCCCTACTTGGACCAAACTTGCATGGAGGATGCATCTAGGGATGGACACTACCAGACTTGCTTCGGATGCTGGATCTGACCTATCTTTTCATTCCGAAGGAACTATACGCCCTGCCTGAACCAAACTTGCATGGATGATGCATTTAGGGATGGACACTACCAGACTTGCTTCAGATGCTGGATCTGACCTACATTTTTATTCCCTAGAAACTATAAGCCCTACCTGAACCAAACTTGCATGGAGGATGCATCTAGGGATGGACACTACCAGACTTGCTTCGGATGTTGGATCTGACCTATATTTTCATTCCCAAGTAACTATAAGCGCTGTCTGAACCAAACTTGCATGGATGATGCATCTAGGGATGGACACTACCAGACTTGCTTCAGATGCTGGATCTGACCTATATTTTCATTCCCAAGTAACTATAAGCCCCACCTAAACCAAACTTGCATGGATGATGCATCTTAGGATGAACACTACCAGACTTGCTTCGGATGCTGGATCTGACCTATATTTTCTTTCCTAAGTAACTATAAGCCCTGTCTGAACCAAACTTGCATGGATGATGCATCTAGGGATGGACACTACCAGACTTGCTTCGGATGCTGGATCTGACCTATATTTTCATTCCCAAGTAACTATAAGCCCCACCTAAACCAAACTTGCATGGATGATGCATCTTAGGATGGACACTACCAGACTTGCTTCGGATGCTGGATCTGACCTATATTTTCTTTCCCAAGTAACTATAAGCCCTCCGCCCTGCCTGAACCAAACTTGCATGGATGATGCATCTAGGGATGGACACTACCAGACTTGCTTCGGATGCTGGATCTGACCTATATTTTCATTCCCAAGTAACTATAAACCCTATCTGAACCAAACTTGCATGGATGTTGCATCTAGGGATGGACACTACCAGACTTGCTTCGGATGCTGGATCTGACCTATATTTTCCAAACCAGAGACCAGGTTAAAGTTCTGGGAACAGATCAATCCCAATGAATTTGAAGTTCTTAATATCTACATTATTATCAAAGTTATTAATATTTGTTCACACTATACACGTTTTTCATGCTACATGTGTAGAAATAAGTATATGCCATGTATGGGGTAAAACACAACTCTCAAGAATATTGTTGTTGGGATAAATACTAAATGTTAAGGAAATATGATGTGAGATTTGGATTTAACTTACACTGATAACATTCGTTGAGGCGAGCTTCGTAATCTTTGATTACGTATGTTTTATTAAAGACATCATTTCTAGACACTTTTATCAAACTTCATATGTTGATACATACTGATGAGAGATATGCAACTGCATCAACATTTTTGACCTTGACCTTTGCTTTAACATTGACCTCACTTTTCCTAAATTAGTGTCAAACATCATAAGTTTATAGATATTGAGGTAAGCATTTCAAGTGTATCATCATTTTTTACCTTTACCTTTCATTTGACCTTGACCTCACTTTTATCCATTTTTGTTTAAGTCAGTTTTAAAGAAACCATTTATAATTATATTTTCAACTTCATTTGCTGACACTTACTGATGAGATCTTTTCAACTGAATCAACAGTTTTTGACCTTGGTATTTCCTTTGACCTTGACCTCACTTTAATGAAATTAGTGTCAAACTTCATATGCTGATACATACTAATGTAAGCAATTCAGCTGCATCACTATTCAAGATATTCTGATCAAATTTTATACACATACAAATTTTCATGTTGCTTTACTAATATATCCTCGGCGGGGCATTCATGTCCCATGGACATATTTCTAGTTTTTACCTTTCCTTTGACATTGACTTCACTTTTCTTAATTATGTGTTTAGCTAAATTTCAAAAAAATTATTCAAGATATTTAATCAAACTTTGTTTGTTAATACATACCGATGATAGCTATTTAACTGCATCAACACTTTAACTTTCACCCTTTTCTTTGACCTTACTTTCTTAAATAAGTGCTTATCTCAATTTCAAGGAATCTTGAGATATTTTATCTAATCCTTTCTGCATATACATACTGATGAGAGCTCTTTATCTGCATTAACTTTTTACCTTGACCTTTCCTGTGACCTTGACCTCACTTTTCTTGAATTAGTGTTAAGCTTAGTTTCAAAGAAATTATAATAAAAACATAGGTAATCAGAGATTACAGAGCTCACCTCAACGTGTGTTGTCTTTAAGTAAGGCAAATTAAGTCACACAATTAACCAACAAAAAGTGTACATCCAAAAATGCAAAATTTATGCAAATTTGATACTTTGGAATAGACCTATAAAAAAAACTAAAAACTAGTTCTTCATCATGAAAATGTAATTAAAATCCAGCATCTGAAGCAAGATTGAGAGTTTTCATCCCTTGATGCATCATTTGTGCAACTGGTTTATATAAGCCTTATAGTTTCTTGGTGATAGACTTGCACCCAAAACTTTTACGAGGTCTGTTATCTGGAAAAATGTATGTCGAATTCGGCATCTGAAGCAAGCCCATTAGTGTGCATCCTAAGATGTATCATCCATGCAAGTTTGGTCAACATAGGGCTTAAAGTTACTTGCAAATGAAACCTGTATAAAAAAATTAACCTTTCCACTAATCCAGAAAATGTAGGTCAGATTCAGCATCCGAAGCCAGCCTAGTAGAATGCACCCTTAGATGTACCATCCATGCAAGTTTGGTCATTATAGGGCTCAAAGTTACTTGGAAATGAATCCTGCACCATAAACTTTAACCTGTTTACTCCTCCAGAAAATGTAGGTCAGATTCAGCATTCGAAGCAGGTCTTGTAATATGCATCCTAAGATGTACCATCCATGCAAGTTTGGTCATTATATGTCTCATAGTAACTTGGAAATGAAACCTGCACCAAAAACTTTAACCTGTTCACTCAACCGGAAAATTTTCATCCGAAGCAAGTCTAGTAGATTACATATATGTACCACCCATGCAAGTTTGGTCATTATAGGGCTCAACGTATCTTCGAAATGAAACCTTCACCAAAAACTTTAACCTGTTCACTCAACCGGAAAATGTAGGTCAGATTCAGCATCCGAAGCAAGGCTGGTAGTATGCATCCTAAGATGTATCATCCATGTAAGTTTGGTCATTATATGTCTCATAGTAACTTGGAAATGATACTTGCACCAAAAACTTTAACCTGTTCACTCAACCGGAAAATGTAGGTCAGATTCAGCATCCGAAGCAAGTTTAGTAGAATACATCCTAAGATGTACCATCCATGCAAGTTTGGTCATTATAGGGCTCAAACCCTTTTCTTCAAAATGAAACCATCACCAAAAACTTTAACCTGTTCACTCAACCGGAAAATGTAGGTCAGATTCAGCATCCGAAGCAAGGCCGGTAGTATGCATCCTAAGATGTATCATCCATGTAAGTTTGGTCAACATAGGGCTTATAGTTACTCGGAAATGAGACCTACACCAAAAACTGCACCAAAAATGTTAACCTGCACCAAAAACATTAACCTGGTCATTCCTTTGCTGAAATTGCAGCATCTGAAACTTTGACTGGTACAATGAAACACACTAGCAACATCTTCCATGCATGTCTAATCAATATAGGACATAGAAGTACTTAAAAAGAAAACTGCTCCAAAAAACTTAACCTTAACCCGGGACGCCGACGCCGACACCGACGCCGAGGGTATCACATAAGCTCCCCCCAACTTCGTTGAGGTGAGCTAAAAAGAAAGACACTGGAATGGAGAAGATGTATAATTACTGAAATTACTAACGAAACATAAATATATTACCGGTAGTGTCAGGAAATTCCTTTTCAACTAAATGACAACATCTTTCTTCCTTTTTTTTTATACAAATCTTGCCCTACTAGTACAAGTGTGTATTTGAGGATTAGTTAGATTAATTATTTCTATCGTCCTCTTCACTGCTGTCTTCATCAGAGTCCTGATCTTGATTCTCCCCAAATATAATTCGACTCAACAGTTTGTGTTTTTTATACAAATAACTACTAGCCATAACTGCTGGAGGTTCTTTACGTTTGATTCCACTGCTGCTAGAAGATTCAACATTTCCTAAACTCAGCTTCTGTTCATAAATCTCTGTTTTCCCTCGGGTGTGATTGAAGAAGTCAGCAGTGTATGTCTGCATGGTGTCAATCAATCCTGAACTCAAATACGTGTAATTAACAACAAGCCAAGAAATGAGAATGGCTGTTAGACTGAACATTCTACATTCTTCCTCTGACGAGTCAAACAGTGGCACCCTCGTACTCTCAAGTAGAACATCATGCTCTGCATCATAAAACATGACAGTCATTTCAGAAAGTCCAACTCCAATTAAAGGGGTGAGAAAGTTACTGCATTCTGGATGTTTTTGCTTCTGCAAAAATGAAAATACAATTGTCTTTGCAATTAATTGTGAGTTCTGGGATAAAACACTTGTTTTCTGTTTTTCTAACAAAGAATTTCCAATAGCACTTCCAGAGTTCTCCTCTGGCAATTCACAATGTAATGCTAGGTTGTCATTGATAATGATATCCATATTCCCATGCCAAACCTCACTGTTTCCTGCAAAACATCAAACTTAACGTTTTCATAAAACTTTAAAACGGGAATAGAATTGATTCAATTGACTTAAAACTGATGTTTACAGCTACTAATAAGCACCTCTTAGAAGTTAAAGTTCTAAGAAATCAATTGACATTTACCAACACTTGTGTCTCCTAATGCTCCTGTCAGCTGGCAGTTGGGATAACTACATGGGCAGTTGTCTTTTCTCAAGTCATCACACTCTTTGTTAACTGTATAGCGAGATGATGTTGACAACTTTCCAAACAAGTGATTTGCCAGCAACGTACTCAAATCTGCCTTAGTCATTTGGTGTAAGTTGGTTGTTGGTATTTCATCAGCTTTAAGCAAATAAGAATCATTCTTAATAATAAAAAAATTACAATAAATAGCTATCTTTCTCGATATTCCAGTGCAAATATTTCAAAATATGACGTAAAATTCCCAAATATCATTACATTGATTATTCATTAAATGAAACAAAATATTATCCTCCTTGATTTCATTTTCAGCCCTTAATACCAATAGGCAATTACCTGCATTAGATTTTACAAATGCTAGCAGCTTATTAAGCACAAATTGTTCCTGCCTGTTTTCTGGCATGCCTCTGTTTTCTAAATACCCAATCAGAATGTCAACGCCACGTCGAAACACATCTCCAAACAAAAACGTCTTTCTGGACTTTACCTCTACCTCACAATATGCTTTAGAGAAAGACCTGTAGCTAGGATTTGAATCTGCTGCATTACAGTTTACAATTTTCAATGGCCTGAGTTGAACACAATGTTGGGATGCTTCGAAACAAAGACCATCTAATGCAATTGCTAATTCCTTATTCATGTTTTAAGGAAATTCACAAAAATTATTATCTATATCTGTGCTAAATTTTCTCCATAAACTTTTTCCTAATCATGCTGATGCTAATGATGATGTTGTCCCATCTGAATCGGGTTCGAACTACCTGAAATTACGGGCGGTGTAAAAGTAGGTGCAAAAACTTGTTAAACCGTTGTAATACATTACTTTTAGGAAGATTTCTTCGGCAAGCTATACAAGAAAAATATGAAATATTGTTTAAAGCTGGAAGGAACTTGATTTTTTTAATTACATGTAAGTTTTTAATTGATTTAATTTATTTATACAGGTTTACTTTTACCCCATTCCTACAACTTTCACTATGGCATTGACAGCATTTTGGCATTGTTTAAGAGGGCCTAAATTATATAGACAGCTACGAAACAATGAAGGACAGGTGAATATGAGATCTTTTTGATATACACGATTTTAATAAACCTCAGATATAGTGTCAATGTACTCTGAGAAGAAAACTGTGTCTAAAATATGATGTGCCTGTACAGTGACTAGTAAAATGATCTTATGCCAGTGTAGTATGGAAAGGAAGAATGAGTAAACATACATTGAAAATTCATACATATACAATGAAAACATATGCCTGGACCGGGAATCAAACCCGGGACCCCTGCATTACTAGTCAGGTGCTCTAACCACTGAGTTATCCAGGGTGATGTCCTCGGTACAGCCTTAATTCCTACATTCCCCCCTCCTTAAATAGTCTTCGCCCCCAAAGACACAAGTTCACCTTGTCAGAACTTAACATTAATTTTATTATTATATTGCCTGAACACAATCTGAACAATGAAGGCCATGGCACCATCTGTAGTATGGAAAGGAGGAATGAGTTAAGCATATACATTGCAAAATCAGAGATACATGTATATAATTATTTATATAAATATTAATGAAAATATGTGGCTGGACCCGAAATCTAACCTGGGACCCCTACATTTATAATCAGGTGCTCTAACCACTGAGCTATCCATGCCGATGTCTTCAGTCAAACCTAAATTCCTACCTCAGTTATGGTTAATATGTTGACGGTGCGACCGTTAGAGCGAGCGCAAACTCTTCTATTGTTTTAATTTAGATCGGGCTCGTCAAACCGCACGTGACATTTGGTGCGTCTAGACTCTGACGTCACATGACGTCGTATGTAAGTTACAAATACCAAGAAAAAACTGATCAGTGCTGAAAGTTAATGAAAAAAGTTACGTTTACAATTTATCTTCAATATGTATCCATTTAATCAAGGCAAGTAAACTTTTTGTTGAACATTTGCCGTCATTCTCGCGAGAAAGCAACTTTGCTAAGTGATGCATTGTGGGTCAAAATTACTGCGGCAAAAAATTCTAAAGAATGAATGTGCAGTAGTCCGAATTTTCTCTTCGCCCAGGCGTTGTCGTTAGAGCTCGCAGTTACGAGCGTCGCTTTGCGACGCTCGCTGCGCTCGCTATTATAGAATTGTTATGCTGCAAATATGTTATGGAAATGCAGCTAACATTTGCAGTCATGTTTCACGGTAGTCTAGAAGTTCCAAATTTCTCCTGTGGTTTGAAGAACTGGCCTTGGTTAAAACAAAATTTATTTGATTTGAACATATTTTATTGTATACTGCATACAAAAGAATTGGATACAAGTTCTTCAACTTAACGGAACCTCTCCTTTTATAGCCTGAGTTAACACAACTGTGCCCTTCTCACAGGTCACACCATCAACATGTGTTGATTTGTTTAAACAAAAAAATCTAAATTCACTGCTTAAATTTCCATTGTAAGGCGGATATATTAGATTACTGAGGCACATGCTCTGCTTCAAAATAAATTTTTACCTGTTAGTATCATTAATTGTAAAGGATATATTTTATTTCAAATGCACAAGAATAGCCAGAGTAAATGTCTTACATATTTTAAACTGGACTTCCTCTATTTTGATTTCAGCCCAAGGTATACCAGGCTAACTTTATTGAGGCAACAGGAGACAGATTTATAAGTGTTGTAAGTGTATTACTGCAATAATTTTTGTCCATCTAAGAGTTCTAAGTTTTTCATGTGTTAAAGACTTGCATACTCATTATACTTCAATTTTTTTTAAATGGATAAACTCCTTGATACATTTATTTTATAGATTCGATTTTGTATGTCTTTTACATACTGGACAAGTCCCTTTGTACTTGGTGTGCTATACCGACGGGGCTATTTCTCAACAGAGGGTCTTGTCAGCATTGGAAAGTTTATGTTCTCAATAGGTGTTATCTACACTGTGGCGTATATTACTAGAGGTGAATATAACTATTTATACCAAGTCTACACATTTCCATGAATCAGTTGTCAGAATGGTATGTTAACATACTTATGAAAAAGGACTTAAATAGTAATAAATATTTGTAGGTGTTGGTCGCTTTAACAATGCAGATTACATAACATTCCTCAGTATACTAACAGCTACACAGAGGTCCCTAACTCAACAGAATAAGGTAGATATGTGGAAAATTGAAGAGATTCCCCAATCTCTATTTTTTTTTCTTAGTATTTATGATTAATATTATGAATAAAAACAGAATTCTAATGCTGTTACTGGATCTCTTTCTATAGAGGATGTTAGCTAGATATGACTTTGAGTTTTGGGCGTGGCCAGTGGATTGGTATATGGGAGAAAATGGGTAAGTTGCTCATGATTTAGTTAAAAAAGTTGTTTCAATGTGTCGCAAGGTCTCTTTGTAAAAGATGAAAAAATCTTTTATACATGAGTAAAGTATCTTTTCTTTTGTTAACATTTTTTTCAAAATATTATTTTCTTCAAAGGGAAGTGAAGAAAATCCACCAGCAGATTCCAAGATCTAAACAAGTAGAATTTTCACTAATCAATCTTCCACTGAAGATTTTAAGGTATCTTTTCATTTAATTCTATAACCATAACTCTTCACCTCTATGCCAAAAAGAAATTTAGTATAAAGAACTACATGTAGATAAATCAAAAAGATGTTCAAAGATGAGTACTAGACTTTTTTTGTGCCTTTTAATCTTAAATGAGATTTTTTTGTAGAAGATCATAATCTGCACATTGATATTGAACATTTATACTGCATGTACTTTGGTATTAGCCCTTGATGGTACATTGACTGTTCATGGCAGTTAACTACATCAAAACTTATGTAATCTCAATAAAATCAAATTCAGTAAATTCATTTGTGTAAAATATTGTCTAATTCTGAAATTTGCCTAATTCAAATTGTTATCATTTGAACCAGTGCTGTGCAGGTTAGACAAGTTTTACTGTATATCTTGCTGTACATAATGTAAATATTGTCTTTCTTCTCCTTTACAGTTATGCTGCTGTACACACTTTTGGGAGGAGGATGCTTTACCCAGGGGCTACAGCCCTCATTAATTCATTAGTTGGTAAGAATAATGTAAATGCATTAATTTGTGTAAAAATGCAATTAAACTGCAGCATTTTGAAAATTCATATCTAGAAAACCATGTATATGGATACCGTCTAAACCACTTTTTCTTATTGTACATTTTCTATTTTCATAGGTCCTGTGTTGAGTCAAAACAGAGCATCCTTAATAGAAGAGGTGAAACTATGTGTCTCTTGTATCTCAGCTACTGGTAAGCTTTACATCATTGCTCTGTTTTTTGTATTTGTTGATTTCCATTTCTTGCAGAAAAAGGGACAAAGAGCCAAACTTTTGACAGCAGATGGGAATAAAATAGATACTATGTTTGTGGACCGGAGACACACTGGAAATCAAAATGGAAAGACTCTGGTCAGTGGATTTTGCTAAATTTTAGACAAAAAAAACAACAAACAAACAAACACAAATTTGGGTTTATAGATAGTGCCAGGATAAAAATACAATCTTTTAAAGGTAGATTCCGCCCTGTCCCAATAAGCAAATATACTTCATACTATAATGATATGGTAATGAAAAGATATTGAACAAATGTACATCATATAGTATTGCTGGCAGTCAATTCTTGCTATTCATTTTAAAATGTCATGTAATATTATTGATAAGGTCTTACTTTCCATCCTGTGATTATTATGTTTAGATTGTATACTGTGTTTAATTACTTATTGTAGATTGTATGCTGTGAAGGTAATGCTGGTTTCTATGAGATTGGTTGTACAGTTACCCCGTTAGATGGAGGCTACTCTGTGTTAGGATGGAATCATCCAGGATTCTCAGGGAGCACGGTATGAACCATCTCCGGTGTTCACAGTATCAACCACCTGTAATTGTAGATTTATTTCATAAAATTTTTGATTTATATTCCCACATCAACATTATCTTTCAGATTTATTTCTATTTTTGCAAGAGAGACCACACATCTTGAATTTAAATTACAGTAATGTTGTAGGGGTGTCCTTAATGTGATCTCAAGTTTACCATATGTTTTTTTTTTTTTCAGGGAATTCCAATGCCTTCTCAGGAACAAAATGCTGTAGATGCTGTGATGCAATATGCTATTAATAGATTGGGATTCACTCCTGACAATATAGCAGTGTTTGCCTGGTCCATTGGGGGATACACTGCATCATGGGTAGCAATGAATTACCCAGATTTAAAGTACACTGTAAGTACAGCATAGTAGATGTTTAAGTAGAGTATAAAAATAAAATGTAATGACCATTAGTGGATACAGGTGTGGTAGTGAAATAACGGTACTTCATATGCACATTGTACTTCCTTACAGGTAATAGACGCCACTTTTGATGACGTCGTTCCATTAGCTCAGGCCAGGATGCCAGAATATTTTGGTATTTCAGTTCTTCGTTAGTCAGTTTAATCAGTTATAGATATAGTGTTTAATACTATGGGGTTTAAGTCAGTGATTGAACCAATTGCATGTAACAGAGAGAATATTGTAGAGAGTTTTGTATTTGTGCAAGACTTTTTAAAGATAAAGTTAATCTCCTGTAGACTGTATCAGGATATTGTCCATTCTAGCCATACTTATTTACTTGTTTTTTCAGAGAACTTTGTAGAATTTACAGTTAGATCATATCTAGATTTAGACATAGCAGCTCAGTTAATAAGGTTTGTAATGTTTCTTTTCTGATGTTTTCTATTAATTTTTCATAGGTAATTTCACTTAAAAATTCAAAGTGAATTAGTTAAAACTGCATTGATTAAGATGAGAAAAGGAAAATCCAAAATAGGTTGATTTATGGAATACTATTGATTTTTCTGATATTTAAGAAAACTTGCTGATGTATACACAATATATTCTCTGTAATGGTTATATTATTTTCTTCATATTTTATAGATATTCTGGTCCAATACTTTTAATAAGAAGAACACGAGATGAGATGATTACAACAAAGTGAGCATAATTCAGTATTTTTTATCCATTTACGAAATACACATAGACTAAGTACATGAGGTTTCTTTTTATTTGGTGAAATGTGTTAGCCAATGTCAGGATCACATATGTTTTTAAATATTAACCATTCTTTTTATGCCATCTTTATAGGTCAGATCCCACTGGAGTCAAACTCTATTCAAACAGGGGGAATTATCTTCTCATAAAATTGTTACAATTTAGGTAAAAACAGTTCATACTGATTGTTAATCAAAACTGTGCTCATTTAAAAAAATGATGATTTATCTTCCTCGCCTTTTACCTGCTGATTTGATTTATTGATTGATTTTAGATATCCACATATTGTTGATGATAGTACACTAGCCCTTTTAGCTGATTGGTTAGCAAGGCTGAAACCTCAGCAAGGTATGTAGTCTTCCTTCAGAAAATCTGTAAACGTTTACAGCATTGGAGTTTGTTGCTATTCAGTCCTATGCCTGATCTTGTACTGCTAAAGCACACCTTTATATTTTTTATTTCCTCTTTGGTATGCAATTTAAGTTTGGGATTGGACCTGTTACAGTATAGTGTGATTATTGATAGCAGGCTGGAATCTTAGCCTTTTATATAAAGGTTGCTTTTTATTCAAACATTTTTACTCACCTTTAAATCTGAAAATGTATAAACAACATGAACTCTGATGGGTTTTGCAATTTAGAATTGAATTAAATTTTTGAAATTTCAGAGGACCTGTGGCAAATACATGAAGTTGATGAAGATGAGTGTTTAGCCAAAATTAGATCCTATATACAGAGTGAATCTGATACATTTCCATGTAATATAGGTAATGTGTAATATTCTGTAAATATCATGGTGAATTCTTAACATTGTGTAGCTGCAATGATGTAAAGCCCTTCCTGATTTTTTTAATCCAAATTTTATGGGGAATTAAATTTTGGTCAGGGGATATAGAGCTGAAAAAAGGGGAAAAAAATTGAGAGAAGCATTCAGTCTTTACTTGACAATACTGATATTTAAAAGCAAATTCATAGCATACCATACATTTTACATCCTGCATTTATATTTTAAGTGTATCTTTAAACCACAATTTGAAAATATGAAGGCTATGTTTAGATATTGTCATTTTAGATAGTTAGGTTAAGAAAGACAATTCTAATGTGCTCTAAATCAAAATCAGGATACAACATTTAATTCTAATGTGCTCTAAATCAGGATAATACTTATGTGCTCTAAATCAGGATAATTCTTATGTGCTCTAAATCAGGATAATACTTATGTGCTCTAAATCAGGATAATACTTATGTGCTCTAAATCAGGATAATACTTATGTGCTCTAAATCAGGATAATTCTAATGTGCTCTAAATCGGGATAATTCTTATATGCTCTAAATCGGGATAATTCTAAAACAATAGATGCTGGGGTACCCCAGGGGTCTGTACTGGGTCCCTTCTTGTTTTTGTTATATATAAATGATATAGCTAAAGATATATCTTGTAATATTCGACTGTTTGCTGATGATGCCTCTTTGTTTGCTATTATAGACAATGATATCAATGCTCCAACAATGTGTGTTACTCAAGATCTTGAAAAGATAAGAAATTGGTCCAAAGCTTGGGCCGTAGATTTTAATAGTGAAAAAACGGTTAATGTTGATTTTACTAGAAAACACGTAAGTTATCGTAATATTCAGTTTGGATATGGAGGTGATTATATAAAACAATAAAATACTCATGTTCATTTAGGATTACAATTTCAAGCAGATGGTTCTTGGAACAATCACATATTGAATATATATGAAAAGGCATGTAAAAGATTAAATATAATTAGATTACTGAAACATAGCATTGATAGAAATTCACTAATAAAAATTTATTTTGCCTTTATAAGACCAATTTTAGAATATGCTGATGTTGTATGGGATAATTGTACCCAAAGTAGTTCAGAATTGCTTGAAAAAGTTCAGATAGAAGCTGCCAGAATTATTACTGGGCTTAGAGTTAATTCAACCAGAACTTGTTTGTATGGTGAACTAGGATGGGAACCATTATATCTTAGAAGAGAAAAACACAAACTTCAATTGATGTATAAAATGATTAATGGTTCTGCACCTGATTATTTGTATGATTTGATTCAACCTTGTTTTCCTGTTCAACATGCTTACAACCTAAGGTCTGGATGTAATAACTTATGTATACCAGTTTGTAAAACAATGTCATACTATAATAGTTTTATTCCATCAACCGTAAAACTTTGGAACAGTCTTAGTGAAGATGTAAAAAACTCTCCTTCATTAGCTATCTTTAAAGCAAAACTTAAGAATTGGGGAGCAACTAATAAACCTTGTAGGTACTTTAACTTTGGTAATAGAAAAGAAAATATCTTGCATTGTCAGTTGCGAAACAATGCTAGTAATCTAAATGCACATTTAAAAAATCATTTTTTATCAGATATTCAATCATGTCAAAAGTGTGGATTTCATACTGAAGATACTGAACATTATTTTATCAACTGCCCATCATATAATGTTGAAAGAAACATATTGGTAAAAAAATTAAATGATATTGATGTTGTTTTTGAACTCAACGCTCTACTAAGAGGAAAATCTCAATATTCTTATCAAACTAATTGTAAAATATTTTCATATGTACAAGAATTTATTAAATCTTCTAAAAGACTAAATTTAATAGGGACACTGTTATATTAAATATTCTATTAAATGCATAATTTTTTTTTTCAAATATTTGTATTATTTTTAAGCTGGAACGGTATGTAAATAATATGCATACAGTTAGGGGGTTGTCATTTTTTTGGAGATATAATATTGATAAATAATACTTGATTGTAAATCTTTATTTTTCATTATAATTTTATTGATTATCATGTTCATGTATTATTTACTACTAATTTGTATCTTGACCAATTATAAAAGGAGAGGGTTTACATAGGCATTGCCTGTTGCCCAATCCTGATTGAATTATACTCAATAAAATATGTTTAAAGTATAATTCTAATATGCTCTAAATCAGGATAATTCTAATGTGCTCTAAATCAGGATAATTCTTATGTGCTCTGAATCAGGAAAATTCTTACGAGCTCTAAATCAGGATAATTCTAATGTGCTCTAAATCAGGATAATTCTAATGTGCTCTAAATCAGGATAATACTTATGTGCTCTAAATCAGGATAATACTTATGTGCTCTAAATCAGGAAAATTCAGGATAATTCTAATGTGCTCTAAATCAGGATAATTCTAATGTGCTCTAAATCAGGATAATACTTATGTGCTCTAAATCAGGATAATACTTATGTGCTCTAAATCAGGATAATTCTAATGTGCTCTAAATCAGGATAATTCTTATGTGCTCTAAATCAGGATAATTCTAATGTGCTCTAAATCAGGATAATTCTTATGTGGTCTAAATCAGGATAATACTTATGTTCTCTAAATCAGGATAATACTTATGTGCTCTATAAAATCGGGATAATTCTTATGTGCTCTAAATCGGGATAATTCTTATGTGCTCTAAATCGGGATAATTCTAATGTGCTCTAAATCAGGATAATTCTAATGTGCTCTAAATCAGGATAATTCTAATGTGCTCTAAATCAGGATAATTCTTATGTGCTCTAAATCAGGATAATACTTATGTGCTATAAATCAGGATAATACTTGTGTGCTATAAATCAGGATAATACTTATGTGCTCTAAATCAGGATAATTCTTATGTGCTCTAAATCAGGATAATTCTAATGTGCTCTAAATCAGGATAATTCTAACTTCAGGGGAAGAATATAGTGTAGAAGATAAGAAGAAAATGGTTCTTTACTTAGTAAGTAAATATTTTATTCTTTATCTCATTATTTAAATATTTTTAAAGGTACTACTTTATAGTGTTTAACGTTTTTATGGTACACCTTGGTAAATAAATGTTTTTTATGGCATATAGTAGTACTGGTAAGTAACTATTTTTATAATTTATCATTGCAAGTAAATATATGTTGTATATGATAAGTAACATCAAAACACCTACCGATTTCTTGTTTTATTTGAAATTCCACATTATGAAAGAACACAGCCAGCCATATGCATTTATAGATATACACTGTACATATGGTATAGACTGGATTTTTTGGTGGCAAATATTTCTTTGATCTATTATTACTATAGCTTTGAAAGCATCATTTGACACTGTCTTAGTATTGTGGTAATTTCCTTTCAATACATACATTTATAGGCTTCCCGTTACATGATAGACTTTGATTCGACACACTGTAACCCGCTACCTGCATCACTTTTCAAAAAGCCATGGTCTCCAGACAGTGAAGATCAACCAAAATTTTTGTGACTAGAACTTTGTACCTCAGTGATTGCTCAAACCATGGACCGATGCTAGTGACCTTGAACTCTCATGGATTAGTGACATTGAAATATCATGAACTGATGCTACTGACCTTGAACTCTCATGATGTTAGTGATCTTGAACTATTTATGTCAAATTTATTCACAAACTGACCTTTTTTGCTGAGCAACAAATTATTTGTCATTTTATACAACTTTTAATTTAATTAAATAGAATCACTTTTCTAAATTCTTTCTTTTTTAATATTCAACCTGAAATATATAAGGGTACAGATGATAAAAAGTAAAAGAAAACAAGATGAAGAAATCATAAATTTAATATCACAACAGTAAGAAAATATACACAAAATGTTGTTACCAAAAAAGTTTAGTAATAAAAATATCACAGTCTGTTCAACAAAAGTACAGAAAGAAATACAGTAATAAACTGTAGAAGTAAACAATGGATTATCCCCAGTCAGGATGGATGACAAAATGGCGTGGGATGACGGCATGAGGTCGGATATAGTGAGAACTCCAGTTCTCCACGGGGTCATCATTTCTGTACTCGGGGAGATGGTGCCAGGTGGTGTGCATCCATCGTTCCTTACGTGTGCCAGGGGACAGCAAACGGAGGTGGTTGAAGCGGGATTGTTTCTGGCCCAGGGTCCGTCCTTTTATGTTAAATCTACTGGTGTCAGTATATAGACCATTTCCTTTTCCACTGAAATAATGATTAGACAGAACTATTAAAAAGCATGATTGAAGAGAGAAAACAGTAATAAATGTTTGCAATATTAAAATCTCAAGGTTTTATTTTTGTTTTACCTTCACCCAAGAAGTAAATCATTTTGTGTGCAAAACAAAAGACAAAGAAAATACAGGACTGTGATGGAATATATATATAAAAGGTAACAAGGAGAAATGTGGAGGCATATATTTACAATGGCTGATGGTCCACATAAGAAAAGACAAAATAAAGCAAGTGTTCATAATATCAACAAAGGAAAGGGACGGTAATTTGACAAAGCTTGGCTAGAGAACAGAGGTCTAGAACTACAAAGGATATGACCAATCAAATACCGTAACAAAAGTGGAATAGTTCCCTCCTCACTGTAAAGAAATTCCTTGCTTTTATGAGTTTCATTCAATGTGCACACAAATTATCTTGATAATAAAACACTGCAGTATTGATTTTCCAATTCGTGATCTTGACTTTAAGTACAGTTTTAAATTTGTGTCCAGGTATTGAAATTTATAATATGACATTGTGTTATTTATGGGGCTTACTTCTCTAAAGCATTGATAACTTGCTCCAGTCGCTTTTTCTGATCATTGATGCCCTTCCCCATCAACTTCTCACCAGCCAGAGAGTTAAAGAATCTAAGAGCTACTTGTCTCTCTGAAAAAAAGCAGAGTATATAAAATTAAAAGAAAATTGAAATAAACAAGTTTCTCTTGCATACCGGTATTAAAAACCTTTAAAACCTGCCGACTGAAAGAAATTCGACAAATGAATACACTGAGCTCACCTGCTTCACTGGCACCAAAGAGCCATTTATCGACCACCTCTTTGGCGTCAGGTTGTAAACTTTTATTTAGAGTTCCTCCTAATTTTTGTCTTTTATCTGCCATTCGTAAAACCTTTTCAATGACTTTTCTATCCGCATTTGGCGCCAGTTTCATCCACTGCTCTGCTTTATCTAGAACATGGGGCTGAAGAGAGTGTCTGAATTCCTGAAAATATACCAAGTATTTGTGAAAAATATACAAGTAGGTTTTCTTTTCTTAAGGACTTTTCTCCCATTGTTTTTGTCCTGCTCTTCTTAAGTTCACATTTTAAAATTTACAGTTACCTCGCGTAATGTGAATTCCTCCTGCGCTGATGCACCGCCGAGATTGGTCATGCTTCGGGCCACCATTGGCACCCGGTGATGCATGTCGGTCTTGCTTCTCATCATTGGACTAGATCTTGTGACGTCACCGAGTTTAGTGGGCGATTTCACCCCACCACTTGGATCCTTTCTAGGACTACATGATCTTAATCTAAGTTCAGGAACTAAAAAATAATTATTATTATGCATAAAAAATAGATCTCCAAGGAGACGACAATTTATTAGTAAAATTATTTTTTGAACAATTTGAATTTCGAATTAAATCTACTCACGCGAATTTTGTCGATTGATTTTCTGTGGTCCTTGTAAACTGGTCAGAGTTCGTTTAATGGGGGACGGAGCTTTAGGTGTCGGGGAGATGGTGAGAGCCTGGACCTCCTCTTCAACTGTTTCCAACCCGCCTACTACTGAAACAGAACCTCTCTAAACTTTTCTTGTCAAATAATTCTGCAGACTTTAGGGTTTACTTATAGTTCACTATCTATCATACCTGGTTCCTCAGTCTTGAGATGAAGAGGTGGATCATAGTGTTCGACTTTATCGTCCATTGACGTGAAACGGGAAGGCATCTGCCAGTTGTTGAATGTCTGAAAGATAATAAATTAATTTTCTTAAGATACTGCTATTTTCAAATGGGGAATATATATATTATGTAGGGGGATGTATACTATTTTTAAGGCAGCAGCAGTTCTGTGGTTGAGATGGAGGACGTTTTTTTTTCCGGAGAGCTACAGTTCTACAACTGTCTTTAGAATTCTCCTTCATCAACAAAATAATCTGAAGCACATATATTTTCATTGAATAACCTTTTTAAAACTTATTTAACTTTTTTTGTTTGTAACATTTTGTGTTGCTTGAGTTCATACATAACTGCTTCAAGGTAAACTGTGAAAATTTCAAACTTTTACTGTTGTAAAGTACAGGTGATTCCAAAAATCGATTTTAAAGTTGCCCAGGTATAGGAAACTCAGCGTGAAATTATCACAATCATCAGTTTCATGAAAACAAAAATCCTCTCCAAATATAGGGCCTTTCATTTAAAGCTTAAAATAAAGGACAGCATTTATAAATCGGTATTAAATCTACCATATATACAACACAGCTGGGTGCTATATAGATTTGTTTGACGTAAAATTAGGAGTTGATTGAAATTCTTTTCCCGAATTAAAATGTACAGAATAGAGTTGTGGTTGATTGGTATTCAAAAAGTTTAGAAATCTAAAATATACTGCTTCTCTTGAAAACTGAATATCAAAAAAATACAAAATCAGAATTTCAAACCTCCAAACATCAGAGAAACAAAAATTAATCTGGTCATACTTGTCATGATCGGCGAATAACATCAGTGTGTAATCTTGCATTTGACTAATTGACATTTACTTATATGTATGTTGAAATGTGATTTTATAACAACTTGTTTGTAATTTCTCGTTTTAGATCAAAATGAAATTTGTCATAAACAAATTTATAAAGAACAAAACAAAAATTTTTAAAAATGAAGCATTGTTATTCTTATTTAATACATACGAACATATATAGGCATTTCGTAAATATAACAATTAGCTGCATATTTTTATTGGATTTTTCTTTTATTTTTATTGGTTTTTCTATTATTTTCTATTGGATTTCCTGAAGGATAAATGAAATGTACACAAAATTATCAGGATTGTTTATTAGCATTGCTGAAAGTTACCAATGGCTGGTCGATGAACTGCAATTACTTAAAACACTTAAAATGCAGAGTTTGGCAAATACGAGAACTGAGAATTAAAGCTTAAAAAGGCCCATTGTTTGTCGAAATACAATCGCTGAAGCATTATTGCTTTAAAAAGGTATAGACTTCGATTATTAAAAAAAGTTCTGCTGTTGTAAGTACTTCAATCACACCTTACCCGATCTTTCACCAAAGAGTTTCATTTATTATAGAGGAGTTTAAATTTCTACAGCGAGACAGGCTTATTTCACAATTTAAATTTTAAGAGGTTAGTTCGTGTTTAGCCTCTTTTCAACATAAACATAATGACCGCCATAATTTATTGCCTTGATAGACGTTTTTAACATACATACGAACGTATGATTATGTATACCTTCCATTATCTCTGAAGAATTACATAATAACTCTGCAAGTCAACCAAAGACATAGACACTAAATTCCATATCGATCAATTCAATCAATGTGATGGAAACCTTGCTTTTCGAATCAGGATTTGAGGTGGGAGAAGGGGCACGACCATGTAGTTTTAGTTGGTGGCACTATCAACTACAAACAATTCCTTGAGAAGCAAAAAATGTTTTCTATAGTGTTCATACAGGTTCTTGTGATATTTTTTGCAAATACCCAAATGATGTTGTGCACATGAAAAAGGGTATATTGTAATTAATTTTCCCCCATGATCTTTAAGTCTACTCCCACCATCACTTGAATTTCAAGGAAAACCTGTTTTAGTCTCAAGATGATAAAAAAAAATCGTCGCTGAAATGAATCGTAATTGTAGGTATATAGATTACAAATAATGACAACGAAAAAGGCAACTTCACGAATAGGGCCTAATGTTTTATCGATATTCAGGAGTATAAATTTACATTCAAACATACTAAATTGCATTTGTCTTGACAACAAAAACGCTTTGAATTGCTGTGAGGGCAAACGAATGTATATGCCTGCATTTCGATGAGAGAAAATAAAGAGCAGGTTTTTCGTCTCCAAAAGAAACTGGTAAAAACAGGCATTTGTCGTCTATTACATGCATGCTATGGGGTTTGTATATATTTAATTCTTTACAAAAATAAGCATAGATACAAAGTTTTAACTTGAGATGGATATGTTCATGCACTCCATCACTTTATATATATTTTTTTTCTCAATTCTATGTGAATATTTTACTAATTCTGATAACTCTACTGGCTATCATAGAAAGTGATGATATCAAACAAACAAAAGTTGTCCGATACCTTTTAATGCTGTCTGGAAAAAGCTTGATTTTCTGGACAGGAGTTGCCTTACTATCTGTATACTATGACGGAATGCCCAAGAAGAGGAAAAGAACTCACCTGGCGGTTGTTTGGGGCCAACATGATGTCTGCCACCGTCTCCCTCTTCTTCTGAAATGGCTAAAACACAGAAAAAAAGGAATCTGTTAATAAAATCCTGTGGACATTTGGACAGTGCACCTCCACAAAGAGCAGAGAGGGAAACTCGGAGCTGACAATTTAAATGACACCAAGGGGGCACTGGTTACCGAGAGCCCTGACAGTAAACACTCAGCCATTTAAAATTAAAAATTCTCTTATCCCACATATCAATATTTGTTAATTGCCTTTATCATTCAAGCATAACCTAAATATTGAAGATTATCAGGGAAGATTTGAGTATTTTAGATTACTGAAAAAACTACTGTTAAGTGAAAACCAAACATTTCTAATCAAGGAGATCTTTATGAAACCTCTGAAAATTAATTTCTGACCTCGAAGAACGTTTTTGTCATGACAATTTTATATTGTACAACTAGCATAATGAAGATTTTATTTACAAGAATTTACCACAGGCGTTTGTTTTATACGTATATACAGTACGCTAGTTAATTTACTAAATTATGCAATTATTTAATGTATGGTAGTAAAGTAGTGTACTGTATAAAACAATACAGAAGTGAATGGAATTGAACTCATTTGAGGAAACAAACTCCTGTGGAATTTACCATGTATGATAATTTGATTAATTTCCTCTGAGAATACACCTTTGAACAAGCTGTAAAATGCGGTGCATTTAACGTACTAAACGGGTATATGTTAATATTATTTTACATACAGGTAAATGTTTACTTATGCTCTTTATGTTTTTGTTACTTGTTCCTGGTAATCTATTTGATCTCAAATATATGCCCTCTAAATTGAGATTGACTACTCAAACATAAATATATGAATATGTCTCAAACGAAAGTAATTCATAATCGTAATTTAAATTTAACATTGTTTAAAAATTCACTATCTCTGACGATAATTAAGGAGTCTGTATATAAAGTTGTTATCGGATAGCCTGTTCAGAATGAACAACCTGAAAGGGTTCCGATCCACTGGAGTTCATTTCAGATCGGAACTCTTCCCTAGCAAGGGTCTTCAATTAAATTCAAGGATGTCTGTCTCTCAGCCAGGAACAATTACCCATGAAATTATCATTTATATAAATATATCACAAAATGCATCTTGAAATAGGAATTTAATTTCTCTCTTATTTATATTAAAGACTGAAATTTAGATAAGAGGAAACTCCACATACTAGTACCCCTTTCTGAGAGGTTTGAATGAAAAAGATTTTCCAGTAAATTCAAATAAAGATACACAAAACGAATCCAATAAGTTTTCTAAAATATATTATCATAAATACTCGTTGTTAAAAAAAATGGAAAGAGTGCATAAATGGAAAGGCCATGTACCGCATGGAGCAAGAAAAAAGATCATTTTAAGGACAGATGATACAAACAACCTTTTGTCAAAAAAATGAAAATAACAACTTGAGTCATGTTTTAATGAGTAAAATGAACAAGTTTCACCGTGTACTTTTCATTTTTTTATTCAAATTTTCACAAAAATGGGATCTGATGTGAAAAATATTTATATAGATTAATAGAAATTTATTATTTGCATCATTTTCAACATCGTCGCAAACCACGGCCAAAATGTACGATCCTCTCCCATTCTGGAGAGAGCTTTATGCGGACTCCGGACCGTGGCTTGAGACGATGCATTTTCAATGAAATTAGGCCAAAAAATATATACCAATCCAGGCATCCATTTTGTGTTTCAGGTCTTTAGTATGGCAAGAAAGATAACTCATATTTACATTTCTAAGAGGCCTAGTTTAATCTTGATCAAAATATTTAGGAGAAAATGAGGGAGTCGTTAGAACAAGCCCTTGAAACCGGGTCCTTGGGACAACAAAACAAAGTTTTTTTTAAGGGTGGAGAGACAGAACGTTCTGTCGGAGAGTTGGGGGTGGTGGTTAGCATCAGCATCCATCATGGGACCAATCCCAAAATTAATGCATTCTTCTTGCAAGTCTGGGGACAGCTTTCCTTAATGTTTCACAAAACCACGGACGACAACATAACAGATTTTCAGGCGAATCTATTTAAAAAAGAGAGAGATATGATAAATCGCTCTTCAAGCTTAGGAACTTAATTGTGTAGATCAATATGGAGGATCACTGCATTCCCTATTAAGTCACAGTTTAAAAATACGCGTACGTATATACATGGCTTCAATATCTGAGATGAACTAAAATGCACCCGAACAAGCAAACAAATATGAATGATCCCAAACTAGTTTTCTTTTGCATTTTATATGCAAATGAAAGGAAACGGCCCAAGAACTATCAAAGCATTAAAAAGCCTTTGTTTTATCTAATAAATTGACTTACCCATACTCGCACCATATCTGAATTTGAATTAAAACTAACAAAGAATCAGTAATTAATGGTTTAAAGAGAAGATAAGAAATGGATCGGGTTCAGCCTCTCTTTGTCCGTGAACAATGTTCTTTAACTGATTGAATGAGGGCACATGTCATTAAACGTACGCACGAAATTTAAAAGACCATGTCTTGATGTCTGTAGATATTTTGTTCCGATATAATGTGTATTGAAAAATCAAAATGTGGATTTCTTACACAGGTTGAATAATATCGGTATTTTCTTAATTAGCGTACTAATCAAATTAATCGAATTTTTCACAATAATGAGGTGTTGGCAAAGTCTACATGGGCAATCTAAAACTGCCAATTTTCTTACCCTCCTGGATCATTTTGTTTAAAAAAGCGTTTGATATGGCAAAGTAGAGGTGCATGCACATGTATCTTAAAGAAAGATAACTCTTACACGAAATACTACACAGCTTTGTGAGAGTGTTCGATCTAGATGTGGTGAAAATATATGTACATGAAAGGGATTTTCAATATGGATCTAAAATTATTTTAAATAGTAATTTGGACTTAGATGTGGACCTATATGTGAAAACAGGGCATGATAGAAGGGGAGAATTGTTTCAGAGCTTAGTATGATGTGGGAAATCTCCACTGCAACCGTACTACCGTGCTTTGTATCTAGGGTTTAACAAAGGAACAAGCATGGATAATGGATACTAGTAGATCATGTTTTAAGTAAGACTATATATACAACAGAACGCCTTACACTTTTGCCGATTAATAAATCCACATTGAGAAATGTGGATGGTATTAAGCCAAATCTTGGCCAAGCTTAGCAAGATCTGAAAAGGCAGCTTTATTCTCAAGAACTTTTTTCCGAATTTTTTTTCCTTTTACAGTTTAAGTGCTGCTACTTTTGTGTTTTTATGCTTTCATGAGAGAAAAAAGAAAAAAAAACAGGTGAAAATATCAAAAGTCAAGCATGGAAACTGCAGATAATTGGAATTTTCCCATGTCCAAGGGGCATACCCGGTAACTCTATCAATAAATTGCTCGATTGTACCCAAAACAGAACTTGACCTAGATATTTTCATGATTAATTCATTTCACTATTCATTTCACTATGTGCAACTATTGGAAAGAAATGAATGCAAACCGCAAATAATTGGAAATTTTCAAAGTCTAAGGGGCAAAACTGCGTCAAAAAGTGCTCGATCGTACCAAAAACAAAACTTGATCTAGATATTCTTATGATAAATCTTCTTCGAAAAGGGGTATTTAAAATAGAGAAACCCGAAAAATGTGTAAATACAGTTATTTTCAACTTCTTGATTTTACGTTGGGATTTTATTAAAGCCCCGGTCAATACGTTACACTGAGCTTGATGTTTATCATAATACAATTGTCTGACACAGTCTTAAGTCATAACAGTAAGGTACATACCACCGAGACCACAATCTTGGGGAGTTCCCCCGCCTCTGACATCCTCAGTTATTGTATTATCCTAGATCCACTCCCAATTCTGTCCCCCATCAAACCTATGTTCTGGCTCAAGTCAGGGCATTGGTGATTAATGTTATGTACAGAGGTATATGTTTTAGGCTTAAAAGATTGCTGAATTAAGCCAGATAAGAATTATTTGAATAGAAAGTCTGCTGTTGGTAACCTATCGGGATTAAAACCATTATAGGGCCGCGTAATAAGTACTGACGGAACAGAGGAAATCAAATTCGCTGATTGATTGCGCGTTTTTTAACATGTGTATTTAAAAGAATTTATTGGATTAATTCCATTTTGTCGATCAGAACTAAATTTATATGTCCCTCTCTTTCTACTAATAAAACATTCATGATGTAAAGATAGGTACCAGGAAATGGCTATTGATATTTGCGTTGGACATCTGGCGAACTTTTTATTTTATTTTCCTGTGCAGCTGCTACGTAACATGAAAACGTGAGGGTCTGCAAGTTAATTGCAAACCCTTCAATATTTTGTCTATACTTTGTCTTGAAGATTTCATGAGACACTACAAAATAAAAACATTTAACTATTTGAACCACGTAACAAATGCTTAGATGACCAAAAAAAATCTTAAAACGTTTATAATGTTCATTATACGAGGGTTTCTCTAAACTCATCAAGTAGGTATTTGGATCGATGGGACAAGCTGTACATGATTTAGAATGTGATTAAATGTAAATCGGCTCAATGTCGCGGGCACCTGGACCAGACATCTTTAATATAATACAAGGAGCTATGAATAAATTCTTTCATATCCCCTGTTCATGAGGACTTCTTAATATTCCGCTATTCTTACAGTTGACACAACAGCATTACAATACAGAGGATTACCATATGGTAGTTCTCAATATCGTCATTTATATATTCTTAAATGTATAAAATCTTATTATAAACGGAATTCTGTGACCCACAGGGTGTATATAAATCGATCCTATAGGTTAAGCATCAGAAAGAGATTAGAATGCCCTATAAACATTTTTTTAATGATTTCAAAGAACTGACAACCTACTAGTATTTGATCATGCATATCTAAAAATATAGGGGCCTTTATATTTACGAGATAGTACAAATATAGTAAAAAAGATAAATAAATGAAAATATAAAATTATTTTGTGTTTCCAAGTACAGTCAACAATAATGGAATCTGCTGACGGAAAACTGAGGGAAACTGGAAAACTGATACCACTGAATCATTTGACTACAGTATGACCATTTTGATCTTAAACATATTTCACTGAAAATGTTATACATGTAATAATTATCATTGATGTCCAAAAATTCAATCTGCAGAAACAGTTCTCAAAAAGAAATAGGTCGATCAACAGAGCTTTAAATAATGAGTAGTATATATCAGTGTTACTACTCTGAACTTTCGTTGCTAGGGAAGTTCAAGTTCCGTAATTCTGCCTTTACTTTGGTTCGAAGTAAAATTTTCTCACCTCCACCTCATAGTTGGGTTCCTCCAAAGTGAATTCCCTGGGGCCCAGGTAATCTTTGTGGGTGACGGTGTTGTATTTATCCCACGAGCGTTTGGAGCCGGCGGACGGGGGAAGCAGTCCCTCGCTGCTATCATTCAGCATCCGTAACTGCCGGGCCATCCAGTTTCCGGGCGGAATCTGTTCCGGAATTTCCATGGTCGTTTTTATCGGAACATTAGCAATTTCCGTAGCCATGTACAAAAATATCTTCCAAATGCAGAAATTCTTTTCGATACCTCCGAAAATTCACTCTCTAATTTTTCATTGCCGTTTCACTGCACCTTTAATCCATTGTTGTGTCCTTTAGGACCCTGGATCGGTATAAATCCTTTCTCTGCAGTTTACGCATTAGCAGCAAATCTCTAACGCTGGCGATCGTGTAAGACGATTAAGGACTGTGTATTCCATTCACAGAGCCCAGATATATTCTTTTAATCACTTTGATCTAATTTGCATATTTGATAAAATTCTATATGATGGTCGACTGAAGGTGGGTTTGATTGTTGAATAAACAGACCCCGAAGACATTCGCCAAGTAACATTAAAAAAATCAACAGACAGTTTCTATAGGAAATTTATTTAGTGCAAAATGCATTATCTTTTTATGTAAAGTCAAATGTACATCTATTGTTTCCCTTTAAACAAACTTCACAGTTTCTTACAATTTTAAAACCTGACAAGGTACGAAGAATTCGACACTAGTATGATATGCTTGATTAATGCCATTACTTGAAAATAACCTTTAATGCAAAACGCATTGTCATAAAACAATGTGTCGTTTTATCAGGTACAACTTAATACATTTACATAATAGGGGGTGAATGGCCCTCTTCGGGTTGCTAGGGTCGCACTCCCATGGATACACACGCGGAGACGCCCATTTTTCCCCGGCAAAGATTGATCCATGTCAAACCCCCTATCAGACCATATCTAGCGATTTGACGCTCTTCAATTTCCTTTGTTTCCATGTAATAGGTATGGTGCGCTAATTGTGCGCCTTAGACCAATTTACATGCTGTTATCGGCCATATGTTATACTGGTGTGATGTTGTTCAAATAATTTGATATTTTATACTGATAAAGTTCAGTGTATTGCCGACAAAAATACCCTATCAGTTCATCAATAAGATGTCAATCACGCCAATACACAAGCCTTATCCCCCCATAAACACGTATACCGCACTTGTTTCATTCTTAAGAATGACTTTGGACCTTATTGTGTAGCAAACTACAGGCGATTTTGCAAGCTGTCAACACCGAAGTAGTATTTCTAAAATGATGAACTAAAATAAAAGTTAATGTTGAGAGTTCAGGAGACGGCCGGGTTGGGGGGGGGTGTAACATTTGATATCTGTGCTAAATATCAACAAAATCACCCGTGAAAAGAAAAATCTCACTGTATTATTTATATTTAGAGTACGGAATAATGAAGCTCCTAAGGGCCACAACAGCTCTTTTTCTTACTTAGTTATTATAAATCATGTAATATTTACGGTCATTGCGCTATAAACCTTTTTGTTTAAGTCAGTATTACTAAAGTTTTTGTACTTTGTCAAAATATTATTTATAATTTATTCCTTTTTTGCCTATGTATCATCAGATTCAAAATGCATTGAAAGGAAAAGACATAACGACAGTACATGCTTGTCATGCAGCGATAAACGAGGCGAAATGCTGCGTTTTATATTCTAGTATTCCATAAAACATTGCATATATCTAAAGTAAAGTTTGGGGCAAAATTTAAAATAGATAAAAGTATTAGTACATGTATGTCAACTTTTGTTGAAAATTCTCGAATGTTTAAGATTTTATAGCAATTGTGACTTGTGACATTGCTTTTGGATACCCCCCCCCCGAAAAATAAAATAAAAACGGAGCAAATTTACCTCAAAACAATAATGTTCATCTCAGTGCTAATACACTTTCTTTTCTACGAAATCCCATTGGGCTCATTTTCGTAGGTTAAAAAATAATTTTTTCGCGTTGTAACGCGTTACTTTCGCTAATAAACGCAAAACTTCGCGAATAATCGCCAAACTTCACGAATAAACGCAAATAAAGTTTCACGTTATAAAGCAAAGGTTACGCATTTATTATGAAAATGAGCTTAATGGGATTTCGTACTTTTCAATGTTTTAATATCTCTTGAATAGCATTCAAGATTTGAGGTAATCCAACTTCTTTTAACTGAAGATATGAGTACTATTTTATTAATTATTGCTAAACTTTATTTTGGTAACTAAACATCTTTATTAAAATTTTCTTGACTTTAAGTTCATTTTAAACAAGTCTAAAATGAATAACAAACTTTAAATTGACATTAAATATCTTAACAAAAATAGTTTCCAAGTTATTTCACAAGTAGTCCAAACTTCTGTGAAAATATTTTAATTTTATACTTATTCAGTATACATGGAGTGCCATCTTATCAACAAAGATACTTTGTGAATGAAATAATCTGAATGCTCATATAAGTGTGTTTTGAGTGTTTTTTTTTTATAGCTGTGTCCAGTTTTGTCTTTCACATCAATTCCCTCATGTACTCATCCTTTTCACAAGACCTCCATTATGTACCCACTGTCAGTGGGTATTTGTCAGCACTGTCTGGTAGAACAATGTGAAGTGTGGGATACTCTATAAATTCTTTACCTTTCAGATTCTCACACAAAGACTTATTCTGATCAAGTTGATGAAATCTGCAACATAATTAGGTCAAAACATTAATCTTTCATTTCTTAGACATAGCTGAATCATCAGGTAACAGAATATATTAACCAATTAAAGCAATGTATTTGAGGTAAAGGAGAGCAAAATTTTACAGTGACCCTCCATGACTCTTTTTTTAAAACATCTTTTACCTCCTGATATTTGCTGGGAGCCCCCCTTCCTGCATCAGAATCAGACAGTCTTCTAAAGGTGTGCTGCTGTAAGCCTTTAACATCTGTCTTTTAACAGGGTCTGATTCTGTGGGGTGAATGAAGGTCTTCAGCACATCACGTAGACAAGTATCTTCATGTACTCTGTCAATAAATAGAATCAATTTTACATCCTCTTTACCACTAAATTTTCATTTAAAGATGAAAACTTTGCCATCATTCCTCACTGGGATTCCTGTATTTAATTTGCTACCTTTTCTCTGTGTACTTGACTTCAGACTGAGGAAAGATGAGTTCTAAATGCCACAGAAATTTTCCTTTCCTGTAAAAGAAAATATGTGAATAGTGTGATTGATATCCTACTTGTAGAGTCAAATATTTTTGTGAAGGTAAAGCTGTTTGTGATAAGAAGAAAAAAATGGTTTGCAGAGATTTGATTTCACCGCCGAAGAAGATTTGGGTAGATGTGCAGAAGAAATTTTACATTTTGAAGGGAACAAGCATTTGTGGTTGTAAGAGCAAGATTAAAAAGATGTTTAAAGCTAGACAAAAAAAAATGCCAATAAATGCCTAACAAATCCATAAGCTTCCTTTTTGTCTTAAACCAGCTGAGATAGAAAAACTAAATGGAACAATTTAGCAAAAGTTGTTTACATTTTAAAAGTACATAATGTTTGTGTTTACCTGTATCTAGTAAGTTTTGTGGAATTGTTTTTCCTCTTTGACATGGGATATGGAAGAAACTGGACTTTAATTCCCTGTTTCTCTGCAAACTTTTTCAGCTAAAATATTCGAATAAATTTGAAATGTATAAACAGTGTCAAGTCATAGCACAAGGATTTAACTAAACTTCAAAAGATAAAATTACATGTATGAAAAAACTTCATTATACCAGTACTTGATAAGTGATAAGTTAATACTTTTTGAAACCACAGGAAATAAAAATTCATTTTTATGTTATTTGCTCTAACTGTGTTTAACTTTTTTCTTTGATATGTAGTAGGAAAGGAGAAATGCACAAAGAAAACATATGGCTGGACCAGGAATCGAACCCAGGACCCCTGCATTACTAGTCAGGTGCTCTAACCACTGAGCTATCCAGGCCGATATCCACGGGCCAAAGCCCAAACTGCTACAGATATATAGTGACTGTCACAGAAAAAAGAGATGAAGGATAACCTTAAGGATATCATTAGTGATGTAAGATAAGAATATTTAAGTGAAGTGAGTTACCTTACTGACAACTCCGTGAACTCCTGACCTACATAGTGGGTCTCTGCTATGATTGTCTACAGTTCTATCTACGTCCTCCAACATACGATAATCTAAAAATTTAAATAATCATTTACATCATGATAAACAAGCAAACTGAAAACTTTCAAAGTTTTTCATAAAATTGAAGCTTATCATACCACTTAATCATACTAATCCAACTGTGTCTCAGGACAAGCCCTCAACACAGTCCATAGGACATTTATCATTTTAATGATAGAACATTTTAATTTTAATATACATACCACTGAGAAGGTGCATATCATTCATGTCTTTCATCTTTACAAAGGCTGTCTTGTCACGGACACCACTGCACCCTGTTTCTTCTTTATGTTTCTTCACACAGGCCAGACAACAGGTTCTTCTTCCACATCTAGGACATTTGTATTTCCATTGAACTTTACCACACAGTTCACATTTACTGTAAAAAATAAAAGTAAAAGGAATGCCATCCACCCCATCTTGGACAAATCAGAGAGCAATCATTGTTCGGAGTTTGTAAAGAGTTGGATTCAGTAGCATGATGTGGTATTACATGTAATACTTTTCAAACATCTCAAAGCTAAATCAGAACACTGAACAATAACAACAAATGAACAAACAGCAAGGAGAATATAAGTAACAAGGAGTCAAACTAATCTCTTCTGTGATCCACTGTCGGATTGGTAAATTACAAAAGCCAGTATACAAACCTGCCATGTCCAGACATCTCACTATATAAAATAATTTACAACATAAACAAAGAATATCCTTTAATTATATTTTTTTGAGCAGAACGGAAACACCATGTGAATCTCTGGTGTTTGATTAATACGTATAACGAGCCCGATTTAAAAAAGTAGTAAATCAGCGATTCAGTGAACAGTTTAGTTCTGGAAACTTATTGTCCCCGCTTTCGAGAAAGCGAGGGGACATTAAATCTTATTTGCTTGTTGTAATCTTGCTGGCACTTGACGTTTTATAACAATGTTGTGACACGATAGCGGTGTTTTTCTTTGAAGTTTACTGTTCTGTATTAGCAATACAGAACGGGACTTTGGTGGGCGGAGCTACTTTCCGTTCTGTATTAGCCCAGTGTACCGCACTGTATTTGCCAACTATTCTGTATATAAAGGCCCTGTCACACCAAGCTGCGTTCACACGGAGTCATTACGGCGTTGTTAAATTTTTAAAATCGCCGTGGAATCGCAGGGAAATTGCACAAATTTCTGTAAAATTTTCACAATATGAAGATGTCACAGCGTCCCGACGGCGACGGACGCGATTCTACGGCGATATCACGACGTTCTACTGCGTTCCCACGGAGATCTCCCGGCGATTGACTGCGCTTCCGCGGAGTTTTCACGGCGCATTAGGAGTTTTCACCTCGTGTTCACGGCGTTTTCACTGCGCTGGCTGCGTTCACAATACGTTCACAATGCGTTCTACACTCATTGATATTTATTAGAAGGAATGTAAAACATTTTTGCATAAAGATTCAAGTTACACGATGAAAAGACTTCTAATCATGCCAAGAAATATTCTTAATAATTAAAAATGTTCTATATTTAAATATTTTAGTACTGAATTATTAATAGTTTTATGATTTAACTCCTTTTTTTCAATTTCATCGGTTCAGTTGTGTTGTTAGATTTTCTTTAATTTATTATGAATGTAAGAAAAAAAATAACACACCGAAAAGTTTTCTACAAAATTAAAGTGAAACAACCGAAAAAGTACTGGTGTAATTTTCTCTTCCATTTTTTTTTCTCACTTAAATGCTCCTAGTGCAACAAATACGTTGGAATTATTGCTGATCAAATATGATCCCATTGCTCTTGTTTTGTGAGCTGGCTGACAACGCTCTAACAACGCCGTGAAAGCGCATTGTGATCGCCAACGGACGCTGTAGAAACGCCATGGGAGCGCAATGATCGCAGTGACAACTCCGTGCTGTCGCCGTGTAATCGCAGTCGAAAAAATCACAAGACGATAAATCTCATTAGAAGCGCCGTAAAAACGCGATGGAAACGCAGTGACATCTCCAAGGACTCCGCGACATCTCCGTGAGGTCTCCGTGGAAGCGTAATCTACTATCACTGCGTTCGTGCCGCGATCATGTGCGTCTTTACGGAGTTCATACGGAGCTCCCACTACGTTGTTGGAGATCTCACTGCGCTGCTACGGCGATCATACTACGTTTCTACTGCGTTCTTATCAGACCGCGATCACACGGCGCGTACTTTGTGCATGCCCAAAGTGATCGCCGTCCCCTGGCGTTCTTGAAGACCCTACGCGACCCTACGGCGTTCAGTGGAGATCTCGCCGCGTTGTCACGGCGCTGTAGGAGACTCTACTGCGATCACCTGGGCGTTTTGCATTTTTTGAGGACGCCGTGCAATCGCCGTGAGGACGCAGCCCTGGTGTGACAGGGGTTTAAAATACAGCACGGTCTAAAAATAAATCTGATTCAATTTAGCAAAAGCACGTACAGATAGTAAATGCTGATGTTTTCCTATATATACATTTTATAGAGAAATTACGGAAGCGTATTAGTGCCACGCAATATTTTTTTTAAAGTTGGTAATTCCAACTTTAAAGTTGGAAATTCCACTTAAAAGTTGGTAATTCCAACTTAAAAGTTGGTAATTCCAACTTAAATCTTGGAAATTCCAACTTTAATGTTCGTAATTCCAACTTTAAAGTTGGTAATTCCAACTTTAAAGTTGGTAATTCCAACTTTAAAGTTGGTAATTCCAACTTTAATCTTGGCTTTTCCAACTTTAAAGTTGGAATTTCCAACTTTAAAGTTGGAATTACCAACTTTAAAGTTGGAAAAACCAACTTTAAAGTTGGAAAAGCCAAGATTAAAGTTGGAATTTCCAACTTTAAAGTTGGAATTACCAAATTTAAAGTTGGAAAAGCCAAGATTAAAGTTGGAATTACCAACTTTAAAGTTGGAAAAGCCAAGATTAAAGTTGGAATTACCAACTTTAAAGTTGGAAAAGCCAAGATTAAAGTTGGAATTACCAACTTTAAAGTTGGAAAAGCCAAGATTAAAGTTGGAATTTCCAACTTTAAAGTTGGTATTACCAACTTTAAAAAAACTTTGCATGGCACTAATACGCTTCCATAAGAAATACCCGGTATTAATCCTGAGAATGTAAAAGTCAAAATTTCTCAATCACTTTTTAAAAACTTATTCCACACAGAATCTACACGTAATTTAGATCCAGAGGAAAAACGAAATTCGCAATAACGGAAAACATAATCTACACGTAAATTCGATCCAAACGAAAAGGAAAATTTTGCAGTAACGGCAGTGGTGTGCAATTAGCATCGCCCGACGCCCGGGGCTACCACTTTTTGGGGTCGGACTAGTGATTTTCTGCATGGAGGTAGCCCATCGGGCTAGTAAAAATTATAACTACACACGCAATACATGGAAAGCACAACCTGTATTTTCACTTGTTTTTGCTATCAAATTCCCAACCAGTGAAAATTTTTCTAATAACATGCTCCTACTCTCAATAAATCCCCATTATCTTATCTGTTTTGCAGCACTTCCTGACTTATTTACTTCCAAAAACGATCGTTTTTTTTCTAATCCGAATTTCCTCTATTCTTTCATTTATGGTAAATACATGCAGATATCTCATTGAATTATTTACGATCACTCAATCAACTGAAAGATAAGTGTTTTATGACTCACATAAAATATATTTATAGTGTATTTAATGATTTAAGATGAAAACAAAATGAATTAAATTTCATTCTAAATGAGCTAGTGCAATGTTCAGAAAAAGGGAAGATAATTTATTTAGATTCATTTTAATCTTCTTTCATTATAATTTATACATGATTTAATTTCATAGTGAGAATTAAACTTTAATTTTAAAAAGAATGACCTCAGTACCCTGACTTTTTCAACAATTAATTTCTTTTCAACGTATATTTTTTATTTTAATTTTTGCCCCTATATTTGGGCTAGTAACTTTTCACTTGGGGCTAGTAACTTTATAGCTGCCACCAACCCGTGGGCTAGTTACTAATTTTTCTAATTGCACACCCCTGAACGGAAAACATCCACTCTCCTCGTGCAAAATCGTCCATTTTTCGAGTTTTTATTTTTAGCTCACCTGAGCCGAAGGCTCAAGTGAGCTTTTCTGATCACATTTTGTCCGTCGTCCGTCCGTCTGTCCGTCTGTCTGTCCGTCTGTAAACTTTTCACATTTTCGACTTCTTCTCAAGAACCACTGGGCTAATTTTGACCAAACTTGGTACAAAGCATTCTTGGGTGAAGGGGAATTTAAATTGTTAAAATGAAGGGACGGGGAGATAATCAAGAAAAGACAAAAATAGGGTTGGGTCATTAAAAAAACTTCTTCTCAAGAACCACTTGGCCAGTAAAGCTGAAACTTATGTGGAAGCATCCTGGGGTAGTGTAGATTTTAAATTGTTCAAATCATGACCCCCGGGGGAAGGGCGGGGCCACAATGGGGAATCAAAGTTTTATATAGAAATATATAGGAAAAATCTTTGAAAATCTTCTTCTCAAGAACCACTGGGCCAGAAAAGCTGAAACTTATGTGGAAGCATCCTGGTATAGTGTAGATTCTAAATTGTTCACATCATGACCCCCGGGGGAAGGGCGGGGCCACAATGGGGAATCAAAGTTTTATATAGAAATATATAGGAAAAATCTTTGAAAATCTTCTTCTCAAGAACCACTGGGCCTGAATAGCTGAAACTTATGTGGAAGCATCCTGGTATAGTGTAGATTCTAAATTGTTCACATCATGACCCCCGGAGGAAGGGCGGGGCCACAATGGGGAATCAAAGTTTTACATAGAAATATATAGGAAAAATCTTTGAAAATCTTCTTCTCAAGAACCACTGCGCCAGAAAAGCTGAAACTTATGTGAAAGCATCCTGGTATAGTGTAGATTCTAAATTGTTCAAATCATGACCCCCGGGGGAAGGGCGAGACTACAATGGGGAATCAAAGTTTTATATAGAAATATATAGGAAAAATCTTTGAAAATCTTCTTCTCATGAACCACTGGGCCAAAAAAGCTGAAACTTATGTGGAAGCATACTGGTATAATGTAGATTCTAAATTGTTCAAATAATGACCCCCGGGGGAAGGGCGAGGCCACAATGGGGAATGAAAGTTTTATATTGAAATATATAGGAAAAATCTTTGAAAATCTTCTTCTCAAGAACCACTGGGCCAGAAAAAGTGAAGCTTATGTGGAAGCATTCTGGGGTAGTGTAAATTCTAAATTATAGGAATCATGACCCCCGGGGGAAGGGCGGGGCGACAATGGGGTATCAAAGTTTTACATAGAAATATATAGGAAAAATCTTTGAAAATCTTCTTCTCATGAACCACTGGGCCAAAAAAGCTGAAACTTATGTGGAAGCATACTGGTATAATGTAGATTCTAAATTGTTCAAATAATGACCCCCGGGGGAAGGGCGAGGCCACAATGGGGAATCAAAGTTTTATATAGAAATATATAGGAAAAATCTTTGAAAATCTTCTTCTCAAGAACCACTGGGCCAGAAAAAGTGAAGCTTATGTGGAAGCATTCTGGGGTAGTGTAAATTCTAAATTATAGGAATCATGACCCCCGGGGGAAGGGCGGGGCCATTATAGCGGATTCAAAGTTTTACATAGAAATATATAGGAAAAATCTTTGAAAATCTTCTTCTCAGGAACCACTGGGCCAAAAAAGCTGAAACATATGTGCCCATGGAAGGATCATGGGGTAGTGTAGATTTCAAAATGTCTAAATTACTATCAGTGGGGTAGGGTGGGGATGCATTATGTATAACAACGGGGAAATCTGGTAAAGAACAGAATGGTCAAAAGCTTCTCAGGTGAGCGATGTGGCCCATGGGCCTCTTGTTTAAAATCCTTCTCGCTTACGACAGCCACACGTCTCTTTCACTTCGTTTTTATGTCGCAATTCAATTAGAAAAAAAATAATCCGTGACATCCAAGTCCATCGAAGAATTTTCTGTAAATCCTGTTTTTGTAAATCTAGTTAAACCGGGATTTTAAAACCCATGAAATATATTATAATAAATCTCCATCTATAGATCACAACAATTGCGGTTAAATCCTCCACTTTATCCATTAAGACTTACTATCACTCGATTACGTCTACCCCGTTAAATTGTAAAAACTAATCTGACCGAATTTTACGTTTTCCGTGGAAATATATATATACTGCAGATGCGTACTCCCCGTCGGGGCCTCATCTACAGAACTCTGGCGGAAGTTTGGATGCATTCGTAACTACTCGGCCATTTTCCGAAAGAGAAATATTTATCGTTCACGGAAATGGCCGAGTAGTTACGATTGAGTTTGGATGCTGCAAAGTTATAAAGTGGGCGGAGCTATTTTTGATTGATCGTGTCACAAATCATTTAGAGAACTCGACAGGTTCTGTATCGTAGATACAAATTTGGGGGTGGAGACTCGTGCTTACGCACTCGTCCACCCCAAATTTGTATCTACGATACAGAACCCGTCTCGTTCTCTAAATAATACATATTATTATATAGTATGAGAGTTTTCTTTTATTAAAAAAAAAGGTAATAAACATATCAAGTGGCTGTACTCTTAGTAGGGCCAGGAGAAAAACATTGTTGATTGGATCTAAAATAAGGAATCAATGGATGATTGTTATTCTCTTTATTAGAGAATTGGACGGGCTTTCGCCTACGTCCACGTGGATGTAGACAAAAGCCAGTCCATTCTCTAAAGAGAATAAATAGATGATTGTGGGAATTAAGGATGAGGGTCGTCGCGTCGCAAACCACTGTCAAAATGCGAGAGGGAGCTCTCTTTTGCGGACTCCGGACCATGAAGATTGGTTTGAGTTTGGGACGGGGGTCTGTATGAATTCTTTTTAAAGAAGATGCGTTTGTGACACACTGATGCCCCCGTATGGCAGCTTATGGCGAGGGTTGAAATAATTCAACTGCAAATTAAACTCCAATGTCCAGAGGTCAAAATTGTTGGTACCCAATAGAAGGTCTTCTCACAAGGAATAAACCTATGAAATATAAAAGTCCCAGTACTAAAGGTGCAGAAGTTATGGTCGAGGTTATTTTTTATAACTTGGTCAAACTTCAAGGTCAAGGTCAACATTGTTGGTATTCAAAGGAAGGCCTTGTCATGAGAAATACAGCTGTCAAATATGAAAGCACTAGTACTAACGGTTCAATATTATGGTAAAGTTTAAAGTTTTTATAAAAGTATATAAGAGTTTGGCCCTCTATGGTTTAGGTCAAAAGGTCAAATATTTTAATACCCAAATAATAGGACTTGTCAAGTAAATACACATGTGAAGTATAAACTTTTAGCACCAACTTATCATCAAAAGTTATGGCTATGGTCAAAATTCGGAAATTTTTTGGGGAAAGTGGGTCAAACTCCAAGGTCACAAGGTCAAATTTAGTGGTATCAAAAGCGTTATAACGTAAAAGTATCGCGTAATAACGCGAATTATTTATTTCAATTTTTATAACCTACCAAAACAGCTGTAAAAGATGTGTTTGTGAAACACACTGATGCCCCTGTATAGCAAGACATAGCAATTAATATTGGTACCCAAAGTAAGGCCCCTCTCAAGAAATAAGATTTTGAATTATGAAAGCCTAGCCCCTCCTGTTCAAAATTATGGCCAAGGTTAAAGTTTTTAAAGTAGGTCAAACTCCAGGGTCAAGGTCAAAGGGTCAAAGTTATTGGTTTCTAAAAGAAAGGTCCTCTTTCAAGGATTACATATGTGAAGTATGAAAGCCCTAGTCCTACCTGTTCAAAAGTTATGGCCGAGGTTAAAGTTTATAAAAAGAAGGTCATACTCCAAGATCAAAATTAAAGGGTCAAAGTTGTTGGTATCCAAAGGAAGTCTTGACACAAGGATTAAATATCTGAAGTAAGAAAGTCCTAGCCTTTACCGTTCAAAAATATGGCCAAGGTGAAAGTTCAATTTACAAGGTCAAAGTCAAAGTTGTTTGTCTTGTCATAAAGGGCGAATTTGTTTCTCAAATACTGGGTTAAGTTTTGAACCAGTTTTGTAAACTGTTCATTTGTTCCACAAACTGGTTTTAAACTAGTTTAAACCCAGAACCGGTTTTCCATTTGTTTTGGCTGTAACTAGAACCAGTTCGTTAAACCAACAAAACCACCTCCGATGGTGGTTTATTCGGTTTACGAAAGAGCGGGAAGTATTCCAATATGGCGGTGATGAAAGATGGTGACTATTCTAATAAAGAAAAAAAGTTATAAATAATTGTTTTTTCGAGGAAAAACAACTCTTTTGACTAAAATGCCACATTCTGATATTTGATGTTTTATATACTAGGCTTCAGAGAATAGATAAATGTTGCATATTGAAAATAATGGTGTTTGTTCATTAATAATGAACAGAATTTGTTAAATTTTCCTTTTCAAAAATAAGTTTTGAATCATTTGGACAAACTTCAACATGTGTGGTAAATTGTACAACATACTGCAAAGACAACTTAAATATTGGAAATCTAAAGAGTAATTAAAAATACCTGAGTGTTTATCTTTCCGTGTGTTAAAAATGTGGAAATTGTTCATTTGATTAATCTTTGAGGCATTAAAAATATAAATACTGCACTTTAAATATAAGTAGATACTTTATAATTTCTTGAATTCTTTTATTAAGAAAAAGATTTTAACAAATTTATTTGCATGTGTAATTTGGTTAATACATGTATGATGTTCTGCATCTTTTTGACACCATCTTGTATAAACTGTTCATTTGTTTGACCGAGGTAAACCGGATTGAAATTTAAACCAGTTTGAAAAACTAGTTTTAAACCTTAAACCAAAACCTGAACCAGTTTATGTGCAACAAATTCGCCCAAAGAGTACATAAGCCTGTATGAAGTATGCGAGTCCTATGCACAAAGACACCGAAAGCGGTGGTGGATCACAATATTCATTGAATTTGCTTGTTTAAAAAAAATGCCAATATGGTGCTGTCGTTTGTCGATTAATTAAAAAAAACGAGAAAAAGATACAAAATGAATTATATAAAGTCCTATTTGGACTAGATTATTATTGTTTCAGTACTACATATATACCATGTACGAATTTCCATTGAACGATTTACTTAAAGGAATTCATCATGGCGTCGACTATGCTAGCCGAACCACCAAGAGGTGGATTTTCATTCGAAAACTGCCGCCGGTAAGAATATATAGTTGTTTTTACAAGTCAGAATTTATAGTTAACAGTTTGTTTGATATTTTTGTGTGGCAAGACATGTGTTTCACATCATAAAATAAGGTAAATAATGATAAACTGCCGGTAGGGTATGACAATGCAATTTTACTAAATTTAGTAAATTTTCACAAAAGAAAGGTGTGTTTTCGTGCTTGTTAGGTGTAGCATGTAAAGGTAAAGTTATTTTAAGACAAATATTTTAACATATGATTCTAAAGGTATGTTAAAGTGAAATATCAATATCCTCTCTTTTTTTACGTAGTTCGATATTTCTCTAAAGATTTCTATTAAAATTATTTTCTTTCAGACTTTGCAAAAACTATAGAAAACACCCAACTTAATTTTTAGTTAACTTAAATTAAAAGAATAATACGACATATTATATAACAAAATTTTTAATGCATTTCCATTTCTTTTCTTCAAAGTGTTTTTTTGAGCAAATTCAATCTAATTTGCTAGTCCAGTCTTTGAAATAACCTGGGTGCCCGATGCCCGAGACCTGGTAAATTTGCCAGCGGGCATGTGAAAATTCTCAAAGTACATGCCCGAAGGGCATGTGTGAAGTTTCTTTCGATTCACAATGTTTACTTTCTATTTCTCTTCTGTTACTCGCGTAAACTTGCTATGTAATGTCTTAAGATGAAATGCCAGTCTACATTCGTCTTTCGTTACATTATCGGTACGACCTGTCAAATGATTGTCAATCATAATCATTAACGTGTTTAATTTAACCTATTTGTTTGCAGGCCATGGTTGATTTAAAACTCTGGATACAATTTAAACTTAAGATTGAGAGAATTTAAAAAAAAAAAAATTGTCATGAAAGTTCATATAAAAACCTTTTTTTTTTTTTGTTGCACAATCATATCTCTGTTATATGAATGAATTTTGAGTAGGGCATGTACAAATTTCAATGGGCTGGGTTAAAATGACAGGTATACATGCCCGAAGGGCATGTGCTGAGAAAGAATTGTTGTGAAGACGTACATTGCAACTATATGGGTTCTTTTCTTTAAAAATCCTGTTTCTTCAACTGAAACAGACAAGAAAGTTATTGTATAGCCTATGGTTTCACTAAATCACTTGGGAAGTGTAGACTTACTCACATTATATCATATTTCAGTTGCATATTTTCATTACAAAGTCTAAAATATGGAATTTATTTAAATTCTTAAAAAGAGAATTTTAGGATCTGCCATCTATATGCAATATATATACCGTATTATCCCTATTAACCGCCCGGGCGCTTAGAAAATTGCAAAAAATCTTTGAAAAAAGAAATAAATTCAAAGAACCACTTAAATAATGTTTAACTTTACTTTAAGTGAAGATAATCAACCCAAATTAAGCTAAATGATTCATTTTCCACCGAGAAATTGGATTATATACAGGTTTCATTTTCAGTTTCTTCAAATTTTGGCAGATTTACTAATACGATTTTAAATGATTATAATCACTGTCCAGGGGGCCCTTATTTCCTGACAATTGAAAAAGACCTAAGGGGGCGCTTGTAGGGGCAGGGGCGGATAATAGGGATTATACAGTATTTAAATTTTTTGTTGTTGTTGTAAACTTTGATTTGGTTGTCTAAAAATTCATATGAGCCTCTTAGGTAAGTTATGGAAGATTATTTTTACTGAGTTTACATTTAACAATGAAAAAAAAATCTATTTTAACCTTAAAAGCTCAGCTTACTGCAGTCATTATTACTTAGATTATTTGAAGTAAAAAGAGTCAGACCTAGAGTATACTTGTTAAAACTGTTATATACATGTAACTTATATTGTACATGTGTTTTTTCCAATTTAACAGGAACAAATGAATCTGTTAATGTTATGTAACATGAAGATCACTCAAATCATATATGCTCTTTTGCCCTGATGTAACTTGGTTTAAGATTCATCATTACTTTTGGATTCATAGCACATTAAACTACACCCACTTGCAAAATTAGTGAATCTACAGTATACATGTACTTCAAATTTAGCCTTCTGACATTATGTTATGGTTATTGACACTTCTGTTCTATTTTCAGGAATCAAATGTTTGAAGAGAAGGGAATAAAGGCCCCTACTGCTTACAAGACTGGAACAACAATTGTTGGTGTTATTTATAAGGTAAGTCAACTCAAGATTAACTAGTGCTGCTAGTAATTTTAATATCCCTTCATTATTGTGAAAAAGATGCCCTCTTTTAATGTATTTGGCGTAGTGGTCTGGTTTTCTCCAGAGTAAGGAGTTGATTATGTAGTGTATATATATCTTTGATTTGAATCCCGCTTTGGGGTGTTGAGACCAGTCCTTCAAATGAGAGTGTATAAATCAAGATTTGTGTTGCAGTAGGTGTTGGCACAAAAAAAACCCCTCATTTGCTCAATGCCTTGAGTGCCGAGTACAGGTCTAAATTTACAGTTGTCCACCAACATGTAGTGGCATCTCTGAATGAGTGAAAAATTCTTGAGGGGGATGTTAAACTAACAAATAAACAAACAAAAAGCCTTAGGGAACCCTTCAAATCTTCAGAGCAATTACAATAAGTTTAAAGCTTCTTAAGATTTGTAGAGATGAAAGTGTTAGCATATTAAAATGTCTCTTTTTTTAGGATATTTATAGGTGATATATTATCGAAGTCTCTGTTTTAGGATGGTGTGGTGCTTGGAGCTGACACCAGAGCCACAGAAGACACTGTTGTGGCAGACAAAAACTGCAGCAAGATTCACTACATTGCTGATAATATATAGTAAGCATTGTCTATGTCAATATAATATTTAAAGGATTCATAACGTATGTTTGGTCTGTTATTAGCCTTTTACTAATGATTCCTAACTGATTCTTGGCCCACTAATGCATATCATGTTTAGTTTGAAAACATTTCATATTTGGGGGTAACCATATTAGAAGTACATACCTGTTATTTTATGAGTATTTGCATTTTGACATATGATCTCAGAAATAACTGTAAGAGTGTTGTATGAAGAGTTTTTAGCTCATCAGGGCTGAAAGAGCTAAAACAAGTTTTGCATGGAATGAAGCATGGAAAAATATTTAAAAGTTTCTTAGTCTCAAGAACCACTGGGCCAGGGAAGCTTAAACTTATGTGAAAGCATCCTGGAGTGGTGTAGTGCAAATTCTTAATACCGGTAGTTCAAATCATGATCCTGTGGGTTAGGGGATGTCACAATAGGGATTCAAATTTTCACATTGAAACATACAGGCAAAATATTTTAAAATCTTCTTCTCAAGAATCTCTAGGGGTAAGAAAAACTGAAACTTTTGTGGAAGCTTTCTGAGATAGTGTAGAATTTTAATTGTTCAAATCATAATCCCGTTGTGTAATGTGGGGCAACAATGAGTATTACAAAGTGGAAATCTGGGTGAAGAACAGAAGGGCCAAACTTACTCAGGTGAGCATTTTGGCCCATGGGCCTTGTTGATGTATAGATCTTGATTGATACTGTGTTTTTGTATGGTACTGCAGTGGTGTTGTATAGAATCTTTTGATTGTTACAGTTGCTGTGGAGCTGGGACAGCGGCAGATACCGAAATGACCACTCAGATGATATCATCCCAGCTGGAGCTACACCGACTTAACACTGGAAGGAAGCCTAGAGTGTGTACAGCTAACAGACTCCTTAAACAGATGCTATTTAGGTATGGATAAAAATATGCTATCATCTTCATCATCAAAAAAGAATTTTGAAATTAAAAACATTATGAGTTTGTCTTTATATACTAGTACATGTATCTTATAAAAAGATCTCTGATTAAGGAAGCTCTAAACACTAACAGAAACTGCTTTTTGGTCTTGGAGAAAAATATATTATATAAAGGTGTGCATATTGAGGCAATTTCATTTATTTGTAAGATAGGGTACCTGTCTTAAATCCACAGGAAAAATATCTTAAGACAATGGATTATTTTATGAGCAGAAATCATTAAATGAAAAATTAATGAAAATGAGAAATTCAAATACTTATTCTTGGTCTTGTATAATGCTAAAATATTCTAATCTATTAGAAATCCTGTACTTTAACTGTAAATAACACTTTTTAAAATCTTACTTCTAAGGGCAGATCACTCTAACTGCATAAAACTACACTATGAATAGAGGTCTTTAGTTTGCAGTATTTAGAGCTTCCTTAAATAAGAAATTTCATTGTTATCCATTTTCAAAAAAAATTAAATCTCACACAAAATTTTTATATTAATTTACAATGTTATATTGAATAAGATTACTTTTCAGAAAATGAAATTAAATGCTCATGAAACTTTTGGATGACAATGCAACAAAATTTTATCTCCTTAGAAATTTCTGTATTTACAGTACCCAGTACATGTATATTAATCTTTGCACTTCTTTTCAGGTATCAAGGTCATATTAGTGCTGCCTTGGTCCTGGGAGGTGTGGATTCTACAGGTCCACATCTATACAGTGTGTATCCTCATGGGTCCACAGACAAACTTCCCTATGTAACAATGGGTATGCATATTTCTTTTCTTACCTGTACTTTTACCAATGTATGATCTAAGATTCGTTACAGCAGTTTCAGTGCTATTCAAGCCCATTGTTGAAATTATATTTTACACCATAGAATTCTCTTTTTGGGCCTAAAACAATACTAGCAGCAAGTATTATGCATTTACAGTAGTTTTTTTTATTTGAATTTATAGGTTCAGGATCCTTAGCAGCTATGTCAGTTTTTGAGAGGGGATTCAAACCAAACTTGGAGGTAATTTACTGCATTTTTGTTGTCAATGGGATTTTTAATGTTGCCCCTTACGACTTTTTACTTTGAGACATATAAGCGTATACACAGTTTTAGTGAAAATTGAATCTTCAATACATTTCAATCCCCCTCCCAGCCACCAAGTACTATCTCAGTTATGGAAAAAAACCTGATCATTTCTTAACAATAGCAGGTTTTAAATTCTCAAATGCTGATATCCTAACTTTATATAATTGTAAACAGAAAGAGGAGGCCAAAAAGCTTGTAAGAGATGCGATAGCAGCTGGTATATTTAATGATCTGGGGTCAGGAAGTAATGTGGATGTCTGTGTTATAACTAAGGACAAAGTGGAATATCTACGACCCTATGATGAAGCTAACCTTAAAGGACAGAGGTAATAATCATTATTCTAGGAATGAATTCATTGTAGTCGTTGGATTCTGATAACTGTTGATACAACAGTAGATATTCAAATGCTTTTCTGGGTTATTTTGGCACCCCACAACGTAAAAATAAACGAATCTTTTCAGGCAAGGATCCTATAGGTACAAGAAGGGAACAACTGCAGTGCTGAAAACAGAGGTCAAGAAAATTCCTTTTGACATTGTGAAGACTACAGTTAAAGCCGCAGAACCAATGGAAACTGTTTAAAAGAGGACAGTTCTTTATTGAAATAACTGTGTAGGACTACAAAGACTAAAACAAATTCTCATCTGAAGTGCTTTTCTGTTATATCTGTACATCTAACTCAGAGAATACCTTTTTGCTACAGTGTATAAGACTAATTGTATATCTGTGTAATAAAACAAACACATCATTTGAAATATTGTTACAAAAGTTCATTTATTTGCTGCTTTTATAAGGTAGAAAATAAATATGACCAAAATATATGTTGTTAAAAAAATTTCTTTGGCACTTTGAATATCACAGATCAAATATTGCACTAGTTTCCCAAATGTGCATCACAGTTTACAGAGCTTGCTGTCAAAGCGAATGACTTGATCTTCCAGTGGTTTGTCTTTTTTCCAAACAGGGGGGATAATTAGCACCTCAGGTCCATTCTTTGGTCTCCAGACCAACAACTGTGCACTGTTTGCATTGGGAGGCATCAAAGCACATCTTGGTATAGGGATTTTATTCTCCAACACATCAGGTTGCTTTGGCATTGGATTACTGATCAGCTTGGCTCTTTGACCTAATGGTTTTGTTGGATCCACTGCTATTTCTAGACACATATTCCATTGCACTGTCTTCAGAATATAGGCCTTGTGGTCAGACATATTCCAGGCTACCAGCCAGACGTAAAACGACTGGTCTCGGCAAATGTGAGTTAGGTTTGGTTCAACTTGATTGCGATTGGCTGGGTTTCTCCAGGTTACATGAGGGTGAAAATTGTCATTCATTGCAATGGTGGCTGACTGGTACATCTTGCATGGTCCCTCAAAAATGACAGTCTCATTACGAGAGCCATACCATGGATAATGATGGCCATCACAATCACTGATCATAGACTGTTGACCGCTGGTCAGTTCTGGAAACTCCCAGCTTGTGCTGAAAAAAGAGAGAAAAGTGGATTTCGTAGGACAATACAAAGATTATGATCTGAATCATTAAACACAGGTCGAGGAAATTAATTTTGCTTGATGGAATCATATTCATATCAGAGTCAGACTATTAGTAAAGTTATGAAAACAGAGAGGCTTTTATAAACATTTTATTTGACACTTACTATCCTTCATCATAAGTGTTGTGAAACATCATGTCTGTGCATGCTTGGATCCAGCCTACTTTCCACATTTGTGTGTCATTCATTGGTGACATCTCTATGGTTGCAGTAACTCTACAATAATTTTTCCAAGCATTAATGTATATAAAGATAATGGTGAGGTCAGCCTTAAAAATCAAGGGATTGTTTTACAATACATGAATAAGAGATCAACAAGCAGTTTTTTTTTCCAAGTATGAAGGAAAAATATCATTGATATTTCATTTACTGAAAGATAGTATTTTTTGACCATTGAGTTCCAAATTATGGACCGCAGTGTTTTCCCTTTATTTCAAAGTAAAGGGTTAGAGATAAGTTGTAACAGGCTAGGGGCTGAGGTTTATGAACAAAATCTCTAGACCTAACTACAAATTTTTATTTCAAAGCAGCATTTTTGTCAATTCGGTCAATTTCTTTACCACAAAAGGGAAAACATTGTTACCCGAAATAGGGGGGGGGGGGGGGGGGGGGGGGGGCAGTCACTTTCCTTAGTACATACTAAATATTCTCTTTAGCATTTTACGAGTGGGGGGTCTTTGTTTTCTGTGGTTTAGAGGGGGTGTCATTTTTTTCCTTACTTATCTTTACAATGAAATTTAAAAACCCTGAAAACCAGTAACTTATGCTATCGAACTATGTTTTGTGGAATTAACGTATTAAATAATATTTAATCTATAATCCAGTGACTCAGAAGAAAGCCCCATCTCCTGCCCAAAGAGGATGGCTCCACGGTTACGGACAGAAGTTGACTCCAGTAGGAGCCAACCTAACAAATCACGGGAGGGGAAGGTATTCTATAAGCTTACCTACTTCAGCTTTTCTAGCGGATATTTAACATTACAGACCTGACGTTTAAAATAGTAAACTGTATAGTTACCTAAAGTTAGGTGTTCTGTATTTTAGCACAGATGCTGAGCTTTCATCAATTGATGTTGGTTGTTTATCTATCTTGGCATGAAAGTTGAGGACTCGGATTTTCTGGTGAACTTCTTTCGAGTTTTCCGTGCCTATAGCAGTTTGTTTACACCATGCTTCCGATGCATTTAAGCCCATTGCTTGGTCCATCTCCATTTTAAACTTTTGTTTTAAGGTTGACAATATATCAATGCTAATTCTTTCAAGCGAACTAGCAGCAATTAATAAAGGAGCTCGTCTCAGAATGTTTGCGCCCTTTTGTTGATCGTATTTTCCCGCTTCCCGAAATACTTTGCGCACAATTGTTACGTCATAGACGTTAGTCTCTGTCATTGGCTGATTAAAGATTTGTTATATGATGGGAAAAAATGCTGAAATATCATTTTATATTTTTTTAATAAAGTTTTTATTGTAATATCATGAATATTTACTTCACAAGTAAAATTTGCACATTGTAACTAATATAAACAAAAGTGTAAAAATAGTAGCATATCCCACAATTCCAATGTCCACTTCCGATTTAAAAGCGGCACGCTGATTTTGTAGGGGTTAGGATAGATTACTGCAAATGACTTCATTTTTCAAAATACTATTTCAGTCTATTTAAGTAGGATGTCAGCCATTCAGCGAAGAAAAAGGCGACCAAATGGAGGGCATAGAAAAGACACCCCGGATGTAAAAATAATGAAATCCATGGACTCTTTTGGTCGATCGATCTCGTCAATAGATTACCAGTTGACTCAGAAATGCAGCATTTGTGCCCGGCCAAATTCTCAGCTGGGAAACTTAAGACCACTGATGAAAGTCCTTGAAATTTCATGTCACGGGATCCCTTGGTTATTAGGAACTATTGGTTTACTTTTATCTGTTCATAAGCACGAACATTTAGAAATCCTAATGAACTTACTAATAGGTAAGAATTCAACAGTTCATTATTTATATACTCTGTGAAGTTTGTTTTATTGCTTTAAGCTTGTAGCTTGCATAGTCATAAAGTTATGTAGTATTTGTCATTTAATTTACTCCAGTTGTTTTAGTATTTCTGCAAAAGTATTATGTATTGTAGAATAGCCCCCAGTGATTTCTTCTCGTTCCCTTACCCCTCATTCACACATAGACGACGATTCTACTATGATCAAAATCTGGCCAGAAATGTGGCTAATCGTGGCAAATCGCAGGAGAAATGTAGTGGAGTCTTCATAAGCGCAGTTTGATTGCAGGAGGGTCTTTATGACTGGAGAGGTCTACGCTCTTGCCATGCTTATTTTGAACATGCTCAAAACAAGCATAGCAGGGTCATGGCCAACAAGAATTGCGAGGAAGTTGTAAAAAGAGCATAGTAAAAGCGCCGTAATCGTATAAGCAGTGCAGAAGCATTGTGGAGAGATCTTTGTGATAATAGTATAATTATAGCACAGTAAAAGCGTAGAAACTTACCAAGTACGCTCCTACACATCTTGGCTAGCCAAGGGTTTCTGATACGCTACTCCCCTCATGAACCCTTGGCATACGGTGAAGTCAAAAGACGGGATTGTTTATATCAAGTGATCTCGAATCTATCAGGTACACATAGATTGCGTCATTGACAGAAATAAAGAGGCATGTTTAAAAAAAAATTAAATGAAAGTTTTTTTTCAAGAATAAGTAAGAAGCAATAATTGAGTCATGGTTATTTATTATTTATAGTACAAATCTGAAGCTTCAATATAAATTCTTTATCACATATTTAGAAGATATTGTATGACACCATAGCTATTTATAGAATTGCGGCCAATTTTATGAGTCTGTCAAAAATAAAAATAAATAAATAGAATTAATGTTGCAATGTACTTTTTATACTTTTTTTTTAAATAAACAAAGCATTTACATGAAATGTTTATAGATTACCAAGAATTCGTTTAAATCGCACAATCAGGAACTACGATTGTAATCCCAATCTCATTCGTTTTTTCTCTATACATGAATACATCATCTAAACATCCAACATCTTTCTTTATGTGACATACTAAATCATGATCGCTAAATGTTTAATTTCATACCAATGAGTCCTAAAATTAAGCGTCGAATTGACTCAGTCAGAATTACCTAACTTCCCTCTAAGAAGCTAGAAAGCTAAAAATAAAGACAGGGTTTTCCAGTGAAAGTTGTCGAAAATTTGAACATCGGTAAATTCTTTTTTTCCCCAGAAAAATTTGTTAGTCTGTTTGGACTAATTAGCTACAATTTTTTATTAGTCCGAGTGAAAATGTATTAGTCTGAGACTAACGGACTAATGTTAATGTCGAACCCTGAAAAAACAATTGCTGATTGGTCGACCGTGTGTATCAAATCCCAATCAGAACTCTAGAAAAAAAAACCCCAACTTCTATCAACACCGTATGCCAAGGGATTTTGAGGAGAGTAGCGTACAGCAAAACTCGGTTATAACAAAGTCGCTGGGATCTGTGAAATTACTTCGTTACATATGTAATTCGTTATAACCGTATAAGAAGTTCATTAAATTTATATAGCTTGGGATCCAAGATGACTATCAGGTACACACAGATTGCATCATTGACAGAAATAAAGATGCATGTTTAAAAAAACATAGCGAAGATGGCTCCTACAATGCTCTAACTATGTTCCCAATACGACCTCTCTACGTTCCTGATGATCCAACAAAGACCTAAAATGACCTTACGCTGATCATATCACGACCTCTCAGACAGCAGTTGTTTTTATAGCACTGATATTTGACCAAGCATCATCTGTCAACTACATTTAAAGGGTGACAATATACTTGATGATTATTTGCAGTTGAGACTTCGAACTTTTCACATCTTGGTACAATTACAGTCGAAAATGTCCCATAAACCATGTGGTAAAGGCCGTGAAAAGTCTGTGATCGCAGGATATATATGCATCATTGCCAAAATCGTACTAGAAAAATCTGCGGTTGCAAGATATAAACTAGTATACATCATCGCCCAAATCATACTAGAAGTGTGATACAATCGTAATATGATAGGCAGCACTGTACCGATATTGTTGTACAGTCATCTAGGTCTGTGTAGTGTCGTTGTATGATCTTGAATGTTGTAGCAGTAACGTAGCATATACGCAGTAAATGTGGCTGCTGGTTGGCAACGGTCTCTGTAACATCGTATTAGAAGCGTGTTAACAGCGCTTTAGACGTAGGGACATCATAGTATGATCCTAATGAAGACCATTATTTGCCACTGATTGGCTCCGATCCAAAACTTTTTCAGATCGTGGCTTGAACGAATTGATCGTCGTAAAGTCGCAGCTCTGTGTTGAAGAAGGGGGGTGTAAATTCAAAATGACCCAATCATTTTATGAATAGTGACCATAGTTAGACCCACATGTTCTTTGACCTTCCCAGGTACTGAATGGGATGTTGATATATGTTTGAGAAAGGGTAGTGAAATTCGGTACATCTGATTTTTAAATAGATTGGTGTCTGACTAAGGTGTAATTTTTTCATAATTATTGTTGTTATCATTTTCTATCGTTAAAATTTACAAATTTGTTAAATACCTTACATATTCTTTTCCAGGACTGGTAGGAGATCTCATTATTATTGCTGCACTAAAGATGCTTGTTCAGCGAGAACGGCCAGCCTTTAACAAATCTGATATGTTTGCTACAGTCTCAGTCGATAACTACTCCTTCCCATCAGGCCACTGCTCCAGGGCTATCATGCTAGCTTACTTTTTCTCGGAGAAGGCAAATTTAGAAGCACCTATACTTGGACTGATTGTCCTATGGGCACTTGTTGTGTCCCTATCCAGGCTTCTCCTTGGTAGACATTATTTCAGCGATGTTGTGTTTGGAATGATCTTGGGAGCCCTAGAGTTCAAACTTTTGGCCTATTACTGGCTTTCAAAAGAAAACTGCATGTTTGTTTTAGAGCCATTTTTTGCACATTTTCACCTCTGAAAGCTGTGATCATCCATTTTTAATATCCATTTTAAATAATATAGAGACATACATGTGGTACAAACTTTGACGAATATGCAAGATAATATACTATGTAGAATAATCTGTTTTAAAAATGTCATATACATGTATGATACTTAATTTGTGCACTATTGTGATTATTTATGAATTGTCTGTACTACGTATTTGTGATACATACTTAATTATAGTTTATACACATGTACACTGCTGAGATTGCATGAGCTGTCAAGTCAACTTTTTAGCTCACCTGAGCCAAAGGCTCAAGTGAGCTTTTCTGATCACAATTTGTCCGTTGTCTGTCGTCGTCGTCGTTGTTGTCGTTTTTGTTGTTGTTGTCGTCATTGTCGTCGTCGTTGTAAACTTTTCACATTTTCATATATGCCAATCAACCAAACTTGCCACAAAGCATTGTTTGTTCAAATGAAGGGCCAGGCCCTCATTCAAGGGGAGATAATTGGGAATTAATGAAAATTTGATGGTATGTCAAGAACCACTGAGCCAGGAAAGATGAAACTTATGGGGAAACATCCTCAGGTAGTGTAGATTCAAGTTTGTTCACATCATGACCCTCGGGGGTAGGGCGGGGCCACAATGGCCGTCCAAAGTTTTACATAGAAATATATAGGAACATTCTTTAAAAATCTTCTTCTCAAGAATCACAAAGCCATAATTGATCATATTTATGTGAAAGCATCCTCATGTAGTGAAGATTCAAGTTTGTTCAAATCATGACCCCCGGGGGTAGGGCGGGGCCACAATGGCCGACCAAAGTTTTACATAGAAATATATAGGAAAATTCTTTTAAAATCTTCTTCTCAAGAATAGCAAAGCCATAATTGATCATATTTATATGGAAGCATCCTCATAGTTTCAATCACATCATGATGTAGGGCGGGGCCACAATGGCCGTCCAAAGTTTTACATAGAAATATATTGAAAATTCTTTAAGAATCTTCTTCTCAAGAATAACAAAGCCATAATTGATCATATTTATATGGAAGCATCCTCAGGTAGTGTAGATTCAAGTTTGCAGATCATGTCAATGGCCGACCAAAGTTTTACATAGAAATATATTTCTTTAAAATCATTATTAATTTTTGTACATTTGGATTTAAATTATTAAATAATAAACCAATTTCTACTTTTTCCTTGCCACAGTGCTCAGGTGAGCGATGTGGCCCATGGGCCTCTTGTTAAATTTTATTATTTTTTGTTTGATGATCTTTGCAGATGTCATGAGCTGTCACACACAAAATTTATAATATTTGACTAATATAAACCTTGAAAATGCTGTCAATTTTATTTTATTTTGCAGTTAGCTTCTGCTATGAAATTTGAACAGTTGACTGTATGTGTTGAAATACCAGGTGTTTTACATAGATTCAACAAGAGGTACATGTACATAATGTGAAATGGTTTAAATGATATTTATTCAGATTACTGAATTGATTGAGCAACAGGCATACAATATCTTCTCCTAATGCGATGAAAATGGGCACAATATCTGACTTGTGCTACTAAGTAAATTCAATACCTTTGTTAGTGTATATGATTTTCAGAAATTGATTGAATAGAAAAATAGGACTATTTGTGTGTGTATGTGTGTGTCCTTGATCATATTAAATGGTTTTATTAGCAAGTCCTTTTTCTTGGAGCATTTTTCATAGTAATTAAACTAATAAAGATCATCTCAAGAAATAAAGTTCCAGTATCGTCAGTCTGTTACTTTTTAGAGTAATGTCAACGAGTAACTGGTTAACCATGGGTTAATCTAAACGTCGAACAATGCAAGTATCAGTAAAACTGCTGCATGTACTGGGTTAAATCAGAAGGAAAAATATTATTTGTTCACAAATTTCCATATTTTATTTACCATAATTTAATGTTAGACTTGATATAGTGTTATGACCAATTTCTTTTTATAATTGAAGTATCTCACAAAATATCTAATGGAGGCTTTGATTGCCAAAAGATATACAAGATTTTAGGCCTCTAAGCTGGGTTAATTATAATTACCACCTATAAATCTGTGCTAGCCGGCAGAATACAAGATTAAAGAGGATGCTGCCATATAGGAGGAGGCACAATATGTGATCAGTCTTAATTACATAGAAATAAATGGATCTTTCATTGAAGAACAGCATTAGCATAGTAACTAAGGTGAGCATTGAGGTCCATGGGCTTTGGTTAAATTAGGATGGATACAAAACCAGTGGCTTTAAACAATGGAAAAATTGTATTGATGATTGATTGATCATCACTGCAAACTTGCTTAGTATAAATATAGCTAGGCTTACAGTACTTGGAAATGAAACCTGCTTCAAAAACATTAACCTGGTTATTCTTTGGTGGAAAATGCAGCATCTGAAACCTTACTGGTACAACAAAACATACTAGAAGCATTATCCAGGCATTTCTGATCAATTTAGGGCATAGAATTTTTCATACATGAAATCTGCTCCAAAAACTAACCATGGCATACCAACACAGAATATAACATTAGCTCCCCCAACTTTGATTGCATGTAGGTGAGCATAAAAATTACTGCAAAATACATGTAACATGTATTGCCTATATTTTTAAGTTGGCAGATTTGTATATTGATGACAAAAGAAGACTTGTGGATGGTAACTTTTTATTTACCATGATTATTCAACATTGATGGATGTGTGGCACATTTTGTCAATAAATTAAGTACTATTTACATAATTTAAAAAATAGCTTGGAATGTTCCTCTGGTCCCTACTACCTACAAAAGACCAGGATACTGTCAAATGATTAGTGAAAGTAAAAAGTACATGTATCACACATTTAGAAACTAAGCTTGAAAAAGAATTAAGAAAAAAAGGGGATACTTCTATAGCAGTAATGTACAGAGATTTCAGTAATATAAACATCAATTGACTACTGTGGAGATCAGTTTAGATCTTGAGACAGTAAAAGTAATGGCTTTTCAGATTCAAATAAATCCTCCGAGTTTAATTTCTTTACAACAAGAATTCAACTTAAACAGGGTGTGTTTTTTCTTATTCTTGCATAGTCATGCTTTATTTTAAATTGTGCAACTATTTCATTCTCTTCGTATACTGGTGATCTTGTGACATTTGTCCTAAAACAACATGGACGGAATTCTCCTTTAAAACGCACATAAAGCAAAAACACATCAGACTATATACATATATATAAATGAACTTTTAAAAAAAACATGATAATAAACAACAAATGGATGTTAAACCAAACTGATTCATATCTAAATAATAAAAAATTATCAATACCTACAATAGATTGCTTATTGCTTATGTTTATTATGCTCTCACAGGAAGTCCTCTCTAAGTGTATATTTAAGGGAGGCGACTTGGATTTCTTTGTGTGAAAACTTCAATTCTATATCGGAAAATAATTTTTAGTTTCAAATTCCTGTGTTTAAGATTTCATGAGCTTTCGTGTATTACATTATGACTCCCGCTTTATCATAGCCTCAGAAACACACTATTTACAACATCCACGTAGTACACCTATCAGTTTTATAAAAATGTTTGGAAAAAATAATTTTTTTAAAAAATTGTAATTCTGTGTTTTTAAACAGTGATTCCTTAACTTTGTTTCACTTGATATTGGGAAAAAAGTTACTTTTAAATTTTAAATAAGCTGCACTAGTATTACCCAATGAAAACCCCAGTCTGCTCCCTTAAAGAAGAAATGAGAGATTATTGGTGATTAGTGACGTAAAAGAGAATTGAGGATAACAAATCAAGTTCTTATTCATTGAATCCTGTGTGGACCCTGAGATTTCAATAGAGTGGTGCATAATGAAAGATAAGCATTCCTTTGGATTAATCTAGTTTAGCATAATTTTTCTGAGTAAACAAAATGTTAAGAAATGATGAGTTTACAACATGTAACTTGACATTATTCACATGTCAACATTTAATATTAATTCAATATTTTTTTTAAAGCACACAAGGAATTTAATACTAGTATACATGTACATTAAAGCTTTACACTGTAGCCTGAGATGGGAATGATACAGTAAAACTTGTCTAACCCAGATCTTGTGTATACTGAAATCCTGACTATATCGTATGATGAAAACTTTCAGTAAATTAAGATATTTACAATATTGTCTATAATCTGAAATGTCATCTAATGTTGACCAAATTCTGTGGAACCAGTGGTTTCTGGATAAGACAATTTTACTGCATTTTGAAATAAACACAATACTTAATACGTGTATAGAGAGAGTAAAACAAAATAAAAACATTAAAATATAGGATTTCATTTCTTGTTAATATACTGGTATCCATGATAAAATAGGTCTCTTGGTTATTTCTGTTACAACCAAACAAATCATCACAGGCATTATAATGAAACGAAACACCAAGACAATATCGCACACAAAACTTAAATCATATTCTTTTACTAATAAACAAACACTGAATATATATTTACATAAATAGGATTTCCTGGAAATTGATAGAATATCTTGTTTGTTCTCAGATGATGGCCGGCCATCATTTCCTCACTCACTCTCTAACACTCAAACATTGCACAATGCAACAACTTTAAAATTTGAAATAAACAAGCTTTAATCTTGAACACTTTTTAAAAAATATACTTCAGATTCTGTGTAAATCACAATCTTTGTCAGATAAACATCATTCAAATCAGTAAATATATCTATATAATATATATTAATTCAACAGTTCACACACCATTTATGGCCTCTTGAAGACTTGACTCTGATTAATTACTGGTTTCAGTGGTTTATAATAGAAACCTGTAAATTTAATGCCCTATGATAAGATTTCTCACAGAACTCCAACCACAAGTCTATTGGAAAATAAACATGAAAAGCTACCACTTGATTTAACAATTCTTTTGTAAAATGGATTTTTTAATCATGATTATTTCGAATCTGGAAAATAAATACTGTGTGGTTTAAATTTATCCACCTTGAGTTGATAATGTACTGTATACAGGAAAATTTTTTGCCCCTTTCGCCCTACCCTTATTTGGGAGAATTTAAAAGGGGCAAATTCAAAGAATACAGTAAAATTTCTTAAACAAAACTATGAATTTAAAATGGGGCAGAATTGTTTGCAAGTATGAAAGAGGGAAAATAACCCTGTATACAGCATCAATGAATATTTTAAGTGTGTACAGTGCACCAAACATGTACTGTGTTTGGTCATAGATCATCATTCAATGATACAGAAAGTGTACAAATTGATAAGTCTACACTTATCTTTCTACTTTTTCACACGTTTTATATCTTAATTAAAATTATAGTCTGTGTCATTTAAAGCAGATAAACCCATAGAAAATCATGGGTGACAAAGAGTTTATCAAATCTAACTTCTGTTCTGTAAAGTATACAATATTTTAAAACAGACTTTGTTCTGTAATTCATTTTTCTTTCTGGACATTTACAGACATTTATACCTTAAAAGCGTCTAAAATAACAACAATATGTTGTATAAAATAGCTAATGGGTGGGAAAAAAAGATCAACATTGAAGGGTCATGGTTAGCATCTCTATTTCCAATGCTTGCTTCACGATTCCGCTTATTAAAGCTTGTGTTGTCTTCACCTGGTGGTGACCGATCCTACTGGTCAGTGAACTGAGTATTGATGTGAGCAGCGGTCATCTGAGGATTGACCATCTGTTGTTGGGGGACTGGTTGTCCTGGCATGCTCTGCTGCATCATTTGTTGTTGTTGTTGCTGCTGTAGGAACATCTGTTGTTGTAAGTGAGGATCCTGCAGTTGTTGAGCCAGCATCTGTTGTTGTTGTTGTACCTCAAAAGCCTGTTGTTGCTGCTGCATTTGAACCTTTAGAACAGATTACAGTACATGATAGAAGAAAACAACCCCATTTCCTTCTTTCTGAAGAAATGGGGAGAACAAGTATAGGTGATTCAATAAAATATGTTTAAAACAATGTATACCTGTTGTTGAATACTAGGTTGGGACTGGTGTCTGGCATGCATTATCTGTGCTACATTGTACACATAAGTTATATCTGGCCTTTGCTCTGGGTTTGGGTTAATACACAGGGCAACCAAATTCCTTAACTAAAAAAGGCAAACAAATATTAATGGCTATACTCAAAACTTTTAGCTTCTTAGTATCCTATACAGTTTTCGATATATAATAATAAATATTTTCCAACACTTGCCTCCTCTGAGTAACAGTCAGCTGGTAGAGGGGGGTAATCACATTGATCAATTTTCTTGCATAAAGAATAAAGATTCATCTTGTCTCCATAGAAAGGTGATTGAAGAGCCGCCATCTGTTTGAATATGAAAAATTCTTATTACATCAATGAAGTTCAATATAATTGGCCAAGAAAATTAAAAGATACTAAATTAATATACGGAATTTCATTTCATTTTCGTTTCATTTTATTCAGGTAAAAATCTCACAGAATGTCATGATTCACATATTAAAAACATTACAGACTAGCATACTACTAGGACAAAAAAGAAATACACACACATTATCTCTGCACTATGCTACTTAAGGAAGATCTAATTTAACATATATATGTAATTATTATTAAATAAATTACATGACATACAGATGATAGATATTACCTAAGGATAGCCCATAAAAGCCTTATTAAAAAAGCTTATTTCCAATGGGGTCTTCAAATAACAGCCATGTTAGTAAACAAAAAATAACAAAATTACATAAACACTGGAATTTAGGCAGGTACTTTTCTGAGTTTAGCATAATGCTTTGAAAAATGACATGTTTACAGTAGCACATTTTATCTTTATAATTATCACAAAATACTTATATACTAAAATAGTAAATAAACGATAAAATTAGACAAGCTTTTTATGTAGTAACACTAGCATTTGTAGATAAAAAAGATTTTACAGCTTTTTTAAAACTTTGTTTTGTTTTCACCTCTTTGATCTCCAGTGGCAATGTATTCCAATCTTTGATAGCATTATAGAAAAAACATGAAGACTCTTTCCCTTTAATCTTTGGTATAATAAAATTCTTATTTGTTGCACTTCTTGTGATATTATTATTTAATACAAAATGATCATGGAGGTAAGCTGGTGCGTTACCATGATATATATTAAAAACATGATTTAATCTTAATTGTTTAGCTCTATCCTTTACTCTTAGCATATTTAGAGAGTTTAAAATATTGTTAGAAATACTCTCTCTAGGACTAAGGTTTAAAATGAACCGTACTACTTTGTTCTGGGTTACTTGTAATCTGTGTTTAAGTTGCTTGTTTATTCCACAATACCAAGAAGAACTGGCATAGTCAAAATAACATTGTATCAAGGCAGAACATAGGGTCTTTCTAGACTGTGTACTAAGACAGAATGCATTTCTATATAAAAACTTAAGTCTAGCATTAACCTTTTGTATGATACTTAAAACAATATTTTCACATGAAAGAAACTTGTCAATACAGATTCCTAAATATTTAACACTGTCAGAACCTTTAATAATGTGACCATTACATACAATTTTAAAATCTGTGATACAGAATAAATATATGAAACCCACCTCATACAGTAGAAGCCCAGGGACCACATGTCTGATATAAAGTTGTACTCACCTCATACAGTAGACAGCCCAGGGACCACATGTCGGACTTAAAGTTGTACCCTGTTTCATGGATCCTCTCAGGTGACATATAATAAGGTGTTCCCACTGTGAAGAAATATTGGAAATTGCATGAAGGTGTTTTTTTTCACTCTTACTTGAATTGAATATAACAAACAGTTTTAATCTATATCCTTGCTGTAAGACTGACCTTTTTGAAGCTGATTGGTTAAGGGGCAGAACCAAATGAAAGAAGCTCAGAAGCACAAATTGGGAGCAGTATTTTGAAATTTGATTCATACTATATTTTGTCAAAAATTAAGAATCACATCTACAGTCCCTGACATTGCAGATTTGATGACAACCATTTTGCCAGTAGGAATGCATTAAAAAATAATACAATTTACATCTTATGTTTTATCCTCTATTAAAGGGACATAAATCAGTTTGCTGTATCAATCAAAGTTTGTTAAAACCATCATATTCCCAAGGACTTATCAAGGATTTTGCAGATAATCCTATGAAACTTCACTATACATTGTATCTGTAAATTGGTTTTGTTCTAGACAGGATTTACTGTGCTGGCACAGGATATGTGTACAGTACATACTACGTCAATCCATTTTACCTAGAGAGTGTGCAGCTGTGGTTTTGGAGCTGAAGAATCGCCCCAGGCCTAGATCACCCAATTTGACTATTCCCTCTGCTGTTATAAACACATTAGCAGGTTTGATGTCTGTAAAATAGGGAAAGTTATAAAACTTACAAAACAAGAGCATGCAAAAGCTCAGAATATATAGATAAGATGTTAAAATTACATTTACATGTATAATTGGAATATATAATTCAATATTACATATATAGGAACAAACCTCTGTGCATGATTCTGCAGCTATGCATATGTTCTAGAGCACTACATATCTGGATGAAGTACTTCCATATTGTCTTTTCAGGGATCAGTCTCTTATGTTTCTTGAAATGCTGAAGCAAAAGTAATACCTGTAGTACTCATTATGGCCTTGTACATGTATCTCTATAAACAAATCTTATTACCTCTGCACCTAATTTTCACCACTTCTATGTGTGTCTCATATGTAAGGGGCATAATCCAGTCAAACCTGAAAAGCCAACTCTACAACTTTCTTACACACATTAGTGGCTCACTTTAACCAAACATAACAAAGTGCTGTCAAATATGACTTCTGAATTTTTTTTCAATAACGGGCCATAATGCAGTGAAACTGGTTAGAATTCTATTTAACTCAACTGCAAACTTGAGAAGCAGCTAAACCAGCCTTGTGCAAATTAAATCTTTATCACTTAAAATCTAGTACTATAAACTGAAATTGACTCTTAAATTAAAATTTGAAATGCTAAAATGATTAAATACATGTGTGTACCATGTTATATACTGAATTATATACTCACCTTGATCATTCTGGAGAGATCTCCAGCATCAGCTAACTCTAGTACTATGTTCAATTCATTGTTCTCAATGAAAGATGACAAATACTTAATCACATTCAAGTGATTCAATTGCTGTAGTTAAAAAATGTATAAATATTTTACCACATTTTGAAAAATAAAAATGTTTTCTAGGCTATCTTCAAAAAGAATGTTAGTTTGCCCTCTTCTGAATCGGAATAAAAAAGATTTTTTCCATAAAGATAAATGATGAACTTCCAATATTTCTTGAAAATATAAGTTATCTAAGATTACATAAAATGGTTGTTATAGGGATTAGAAAATTCCAGAATAAATGAAAAATTTTATTCTAAAGTTCTGAGTCTGGCCATTTTAATCAGTCGGTTGGAAGAGGGCAAACATTTTGTGCTGCACATTATTGTAATTAACATAATTTATAGGCACATTCTATGCAATACATACTTGAAGAAGTCCTATTTCCTTAATGCAATCCTGTCTGGCTTTTGCATCCATCATTTCAAATATCTAGAGTAAAATTGAAGGAGATGCTGTAAATAATTATCCTAATTCAATATAGTTATACAAATTTACACATATATTTTCATCATTTTCTAAAAGTAGGTTTTGAATAATAATGACTTTACAAAACAGAAGTTTCTTGTTTTTGAGAGACTGATAAACAGTATCAATACTGTATACAGGGAAATTTTCACCCCGGTTTATTTTCGCCCTCTCCTTAATAGGCGAATTTAAAATGGGGTGAATTCAAATTACAGCTCATAATTTCTTAAACAGAACTATGACTGGGCGAATTTAAAATGGGGCAAAATTGTTCACAAGTTCAAAAGGGCAAAAATAACACGGGGCGAAAATAACCCTGTATACAGTATCTAAGGAAGAGTAAAGGAGTAAATGAGAAAGGGTTTAAATTTGCACACTTCTGAATGTACACTTTACCTGAGTGCTGTCATATTGATTAACTTATTGTGGTCCTGTGTGCTGTTCTCAAGTAAACTAAACTCCCCATACCCCTATTTTCCAACATAAAACTTTTACCTCCTATTTCTACTCCATCCTAGCCTTATGACTACTATTTGAATCATTCTGAAGCAACAATTAAACTAAACAAGAATGTTGTTTTTTTACCTGGACTTTCTTCAAGGCAACAACACTGTTGTCTATCTTACATCTTGCACGAAAAACTTCAGAAAACTGTCCTTTTCCAATTCTTTTGTCAATTTCAAAATTGGCCAGACATCCATACATGCTCCCCTGCTCCTGCTGCTGTTGTACTGCGTTTGGGTCCAGACCAAGAGCTGGTTCCATTGGCACAGCCTGAGCCATGGTCTACTGAAAGGACATTTAGTTATAAATTCACCAAAAACAAATCTTTGAACCAATCTACTTTTTCATCTTTACAACATTTGTTTTTTTTTCAGACGAGGGAAGAGATATTGGACCTCTAGTAAATACGATACACATGCATCTGTTCATTGCATGTCGGCAATCTAAATGACACATTGATTCTTTCCTTAGTATAACTTCAAAAACCCCATTTATTAAAAAAAAAATGTTTGTACACTCAAGAAAATCTTTTACTTTTATAAAGAAGACAACAACATTTTTTTCATTTTCAAGTACCCTATAATTGAAAATTGATGTGTAAATATATTATACATAGTTGAGCTTGATAAAATCAAATGCATCATTGCTTAACCTTATTACATGTATCTTTCTATAACATTAAATAAAATTTAAAAGCCATCAACATCTTTCAATTATTTCTGCACGTTTGTATACAGAAAGAACCTGTCCAACTTCCATGCTGATATGGATATTTACTGGGCCTCTATTGTAGGAGATCGAGTTACAATCTCGAAACTCGCATATTTTATTAGGCCAAGGGTCAAGGGATTTACTCAGGCCCTTTAGTAGGATGAGGACAAAACCCTTCAATGTACCCTCCAGGATCCAAAACTTCACTTGTCTGCTGTTTAACGTCACTCACAAGAATATTTCACTCAAATCAGTGATTGGGAAGGGCATGGGCCACCAGTCATAGTCACAGTGAAGTGAAAAATGGCACATTATATCTATCAATAGTGGTGCAAAGGTGTTGTTGTGGAAAGAATAGAAATGCGTCTTGATCGTGTAGTGGTTTATTTTGGACTATGTTATTAACTATAGAAACATAACATAAAGTATTATGACATAACAATAATGTTAACGTACGTTACATAAATCCGCGGATAATCCATGACACTCCGGGCACCGAAACGAATTATACTAGAATATTAAAAAGTTCAAATCAAATTCACAGTTCATTGAAATTTAAAATATAAACAAGTTCATAATCACTAAATTAAGGGGTCCATTCACAGATTCTTTCTTTGGCTTTTGTTTTTGACACTCGATCAGAAGACAGTATTTTAAGTTCGTTCTCATTCACTTCGATTGGATACAGTTTCACAATTGGTCTGTTGGTAAGTCCATTTTTGGTCCGTAAAGTGGCAGCTCTAACGAATCCGTCTCTCCCCTATATGAGTTCCTTCAAAGAGTGTTTGTGACGTAGTTCTGTGTTAGCTTTCTCCAGCTCCATGTTTCGAGTCCGTAGTTGGCATTTTGTTCTTTATCTCTGCTATGTCCCTGAGATTCCTTTTCTGCGATTTTTCTCTTTCCTTCTCCTCGGCCTCTGTACTTTTTCTGTCATCTGAGTTTCTTCCCTTAGTGCATCATCACGGATCCTTACGGCGAACGTGTAATCTTTCTCCCTACTTTCCACGGTGCCCTGTGAGGTTTGTAGATGATTTTCAAGTTTCTTTACTTTGATATTTAGATCACTTATTTGCTTTTGAGCGTAATCATATCGTGACTGAAGACTGCTGTTTTTAGCGTTAAGATGCTCTGAGTGAGTGCTGTAGATTTTGATATTGTCAACTTGATCCTTTAATGCCTGAACCTCGTTATGCAGATGTCCGTTTTCATATGCTAGTTTATATATCTGTGCCATCATATACTTCATCCCGTTCTCCATACCAAGTCTGAAAATTTCTTTGTTGGTCGAATTGTAACACTTCTCTAGCAGGGTAGCATTTTCTTGTTCCAACGATTCACCCTTTCTGTCTTAGTCTTCAGCTCTGACTTAAGTTGCTGTATCTCGTTAGACAGCTTGCCGCGTTCTTGAATGGAGTCCACAGTCTGACTCATCGGAGTGGAAGCTGATTTCCATAAAACATTTTAATGTCATTGCTCAGCAATGTTGACACTTGTTGATTTGGTGGGCTCATCTCTGTCCCTCATTAGTTTCATGTCGCATATACTTGTGTGGTGTTTCTTCTGACACTTTTTACATCTGTTGCGGGATTTACAATCTGCCGCACATGGTTTCCTAAGCAGTTGAAACATAATTTCTTCCATTGTAAGATGTCGAATCTTGCACTTACTTCTGTAATTTTCTTACAATCCACTGGAAAGTGATTCTCTGTGCAACAATAAATGCATGGACGGCTCTTCATCTCTTTTGTTTCAACATAAGGAGTTGACTCTCTTGTTTTCTGATTGTGTGCATAATGAACATTGCATTGTTTCTTTGAGGCTCCAGTAAGAAACATTACTGTTGCCTGGAATCCATCACTGTTTTCAATCTGGCCTGATTCAAGGATTTTGACTTCTTTGCTGATAGCTTTACGAAGATCGTGTAGTGAAATATTGTCACCATCGTACTCACATGCAATATTTTTCCTAATTTCAGCTGGTAGCTTGTTGATTATGACTGTCATAAGTAAAGCTCCGTACATCTCTTGTCTTTGTCCTAGACACTCTAAACTCCTGACATGAGATTCCAAGCAGTTTCCATAATTTCTTAAACTAATGGCATTGTTTCTGGGAGCATGCAGTTGCATAAGTGCTCTCATGTGAGCATTGATAACTTTTTGCGGCTGACCAAACCATTCTTTTAGCAGGTCTATGTAGAGTAACTCCTGATATGGTTTGTGCTGCTGCATCGCGTAATTGAGCCTTGAGATATGAAAATTTTTGAATTGGTGTCAAAGTATGGTTGCGGTGAATCGTTGATTTGTAGGAATCCCAAAATGTATTCCATTCTAATACATCTCCATAAAAATACGGAAGACCTAACTTCGGTAATTGATGATTATTCGTGGCATGGTGGGATGGTAGGTCTAATGACAAAACATTTCCCTGGCTACTAGTACTGTGTGCATTGAGATCAGAGGCATGGAAATTGTTCAAAATATTCTCACTAGCCGTTTCACTTGAGTTACCTACAGTAATTGTAGCTGACATGTTCACGTTACTTTCATGAATTTCTATGGCGGGTGTAAAACACTTAGCACTGGCATTCAAAGTTTTACATGGAATTTTTTCTGTGAATTTTTCAGTTTGCCTAATTTTGCAATCTAATTCATACATATACTCCTCTGTTTGTGATTTCTTCTTCTATGTCCTCTTTGGATAAGGCCTCTAATATACGTTCATTCAGATCTTGTAGAGTTTGCCTTTTCTGTGTTGGAGACTTTCTAATTACATGTTCACTGGTTGAACTCCAAAAATCATCGAAAAGTTTTGAATTACCAGCTCTAATGGCTTTCATCCTTCCATCGTATGTATTACATAGACATTCCATCGATCACGGCACCAAAATGTTGTGGAAAGAATAGAAATGCATCTTGATCGTATAGTGGTTTATTTTAGACTATGTTATTAACTATAGAAACATAACGTAGAGTATTATGACGTAACAATAATGTTAAGGTACGTTACATAAACCCGCGGATAATCCATGACAGGTGTGAATTGAATTCTTAACCTAAATAATTTTATGTTAGTTGGATTTGCTGCATTGCATCTTTGAAAAATTAAATTCGGTTAATAAAAACATGTTTTCTCTCGTATTTTATGTTGTTTCAAATCGTCAATTTCTTAATTCTTAAGATAGCCTTTCAGAATATATAGATGGCCTGTTTATTTTCAAAATCGCTCATTAAATTTTTGACAGTTGTGCCATAGTCCTTTTGACCTTTTTGGCCTCGCTTTCTAATTACTGCTCATAAGAACACAAACCACTTGCCAGTGAAGAGCTGCAAACTTATAACTATACTAAGCACTCAGGACCATTGAGCTGGTGAGCAAGGAATCTTTTTAAGTTTTTGTGCCATTTTTGTGCCATTTATAACACCTACTGCAAAATGGGACCTTGCAACTGGTTTAATAGGATGATTGGGATAAATGGTGTACAGGGTAAATGGGAGTGAGCAGTGGCGGATCCAGAAGTTCATGTGGGGGGGGGTTTTTGAGGCCCAAAGGGCCGAAGGGGGAGGGCATGGGAGGGGGTGTCCCCCTCCCATAGGTGGAGGTTCGGGGTGCCTCCCCCGAGAAAATTTTGTTTTAAATGGTCCTTAATGGTGCATTCTCCAGCATTTTGGGGGGTACTTTTTGTAGCTTTTTTAAAGATCGATGATCACAATTTTTTAATAAAATGTTTTCAATTTTTTTATATTTAATTTAACTTTAACACAAGACTTAAGACTTTGCCTTAAAAAATTGTTTAATCTGACAATTTTAGGAATAAAAGCAGTAGTGTTGTCACGATGATCGATTTATAATCGATGATCGGTCGGAAAGGCTGTCGATTTTAGACAATCGATTGGAGATTTTAACAATCGATTAATCGGTATATTTCAGCACATATTTTTTTTTTACAGTTTTCTAACTTTTATTTCAAGACCAGGCTCTTGTCATCAAAAAATACCCTAGGTATATCTTTCAAGAGTTGTCCTTTACTATTTTAAAATACATGTACATGTTAAAATTTTTCAAAAGATAATGATATTTGTATTTCTAAATTGAAGAAACTAAACTTGTTGAAATAAAATATAGACTTCTTTCATATGGAATCACTTTGCAATATGAAATGTCTTATAACAGTTAAAAATTAATTCCATATATATTTTAGATGATCATGTAAATTAAAGCCTGATCTGTCAATGCTTACTTTTCCCACGCCAAGTAATTCCTAATCATGAAAAAATCTGTATTACTGAAATCGTTAATCAAACTGCATATATATACTGTTTTTAGAATTTCGATCTGTACAATGCACCTTTACTTACATTATTTAACAATAAAATATAATTTTTATAAAATCTAATGCCTATTTTATGCAAAGGGTTACCGATTCGATTATTGGCCGATGATCAGTCGGTTAGGGTCAACCGATGTTACCGATTAATCGATTCTGAGTTTCAACCGATTCGACAACACTAAAAAGCAGTTGACTTCAAGTTGTCTTCACTTCATGCCAGCCAGTGAAAATTGGGGTTGTGGCCAACTTTTTTCAATGCCAACTTTCTTTCACTTCCATTTTTTCCCCATACAATACTGCATTTCCTTGATATCACTTTAATATGTTAACAAGTGGGTGGGGGGACCAACCTTTCAATGAACATTTTCAATAGTGAAGGTAATGTTGGAAAAAACGTGAGGGGGCACCCCCCCCCCCCCCCCCACCCCACCCCGTTGCTACGTGCCTGCAATAAATTAAGCTGTATGTCAAGCTGACTTCCAAGATACAAATGAAGTGTATGGAACACAATAAAAAATAAAAATTGAACTCTTTACATAATAATAAAATAAAAAAAAATAATAACACAAATACAGTATAAGGCTAGTGCTTTTCAACTTACATGAGTATACTGTCAATATGATTTGGAATATTGCCACATGTAAAATTACTACAACCATATAATGTTCAAACGACTTACGATAAGGGAGCGGTAAACAAAAGAAATGGATATATACATAATACTGGCATTAGAATCGTAGGTTGTTCGGCTAAAATTGGATTGAAGGGGCTAAGATTAAGAAATTCAATCTTTATAGTCTTGTTGTATTCGTCTTTATTTTGATTTTTTACCGTAAAATTGTTTGTATCAAGTAATGTATATGTATTAATTTAATTTTTAATAACGTTTTTCGGTAAAAAAAAATAATATCGTTGTTTTGAAGTAGTATTAATTGAAGATACAATAGATTTAATTTTATATTCAAGCTATTATTCATTGTACGTTTTAAAAGAAATTGGTTTACAGCTGTTGATATTTTCTATTGCGGATGCATCCACTGACACGTGCAGTCGCGTAAACCTGACTGATCGCTAGATGACGATCGGGCAAGCCCGACGCCATAAAAATTGAACTCTTTTTATAATCCCTAACTAGTGCTTTTCAACTTACATGAGTATACTGTCAATATGATTTGGAATATACACATGTAAAATTAATTATATTTCAAACTGAAGAAAATATTACATAAACTGGAGAATCTGTCAAAACTACAGGGGTTTGCTAAGCCAACCTGATTTTGTAAAAAAGAAAATGTACATAGTATTAATTTAATTTTTAAAACAGTAAAAAAACAACTTAGTAATAGTTTATTCACATAGTTAAGGAAAAAAACATGCATTTTATCAGCAAAAGAATATTGTAGTTTTCTGTTGTTGTGATACATTGTTGATTACCTGTGTATTGTGTGTGTTCAAGCAGAAAGTGATTTCCTGTTACATAGTTGATGTATATTTCACAGTTATACAGAACAAAGGGTTCATGTTAGAGTTTTAACAATGCAACAAAATGATAAAAATGACACTTGTAAAAAAAAAAAAACAATGAGCGGGGTGGGGTGGGGTTTCCCCGAACCCCCTAAAACCCCCCTGAATCCGCCATTGGTGAGAATGAAAGCGAACAGGCTCTGCCAACCGACTCGCACAATATATAGGTATATAGTATATAGGGCAAACAGATCTGCGAATACACATACCAATGCACTAGTGAATGCACTGGAACTTTTATTAATTGATGCCGACATGCAGTTCTTGTACCCACTGTTGTACTTCTTTTTTAGTACTTTTTGCACAAGTTCTTGTGAATAGTAGTCCTCCTATCAATAGCACATACCTCTAACATTCATACACCACTGACAATGTAAAAAACTAAATTTTATGGTATAGATTTTCAACAGAAAGATTACACTGTGTAGGCTATCCTAGATATAATCATAAAAATACTTTTTTTTCTTAATCACACATGATATCTTTTATCTGAAAAAGCAGAAATATAACTTACTGGATAAGAAAGGGGAATTGCAAAACTCAGTGCACTTTTACAATAATAATCTACAGCTTTTTCGGGTAGGAAGTTGGGTATGCGCATGACTAATGTACCTGACAACACCATTCGGGTTTTCTTTAAATCTTTCGTTAAGAATGAAAAACAATTTAGAAGCATCCCGAAAGACAAATAGTACAATCACTTCAACGCTCTCCACGGACGAGAAATAAGATGAAAATTTACAAGCGTTTCAGCGACTTGGAAATATTTAAAGTGAAAGTTGAGAATTTCCCAGTGTCATTCTTAATTTTCTGCGCGCAATGGCAAGTAATGAAGATCCCCCGGAAAGAGAAGTGAAGGTATTATTTAAACAGCATGTGCAATATTTAAGTCTCTGATGATTAACTATACTGAAGTCTAAAATGACTAGTTAAAATACCCTCACCACAGTAAGAATACCACCCATAATGGCCATATTATCATGATTATACTCGCAATGTAGCAAAAAATTGCAGAATCGCTCCGAAACGATTTTGAAAAATATTATCGGATTTGCACTGAAAATAACATCCAAATTAATTGTAACAAACCTTTTTGGGGTTGCATAAGTATTTAAACCTAACATATAATCCAAGGGGTGTTAAGGGTACAAGTCAAAACGGCACCTGGTGAAAACGGCACTTAGGAAATATGCAAAACGGCACTTGAGGGTAGTCAAAACGGCACTTCAGAAAAATCAAAACGGCACTTTTTAATTTTGAGAATTTGATATTGTTTATACAGAAAATGGATCTTTATATTACATTTATAGTAATAAATGTGTATATAATTATTGATAAAAATGTTTAAAAAATATTTTAGGGGAAAAAATTGACTAATTCATTTGAAAATTATTGTACTTTTGTACAGTGGTTAGATTTTTTAAAATGTACTTCTTTAAATGATATGTCTAATATTTTCTACAAAAGAGATCAAATCCAAATTATATTATTATGATCCTTTGAAATTTAAAAATTTATATGTATACTACTCTGTTTTGGGGGTTGCCAGTCACAGTTGACTAATTAGAAGCCAGTCAGAGTATGTTTACTTAGAATACACTTGTAGGATTAAGAAACAAAAGACTTTTTCACACCTCCCCCTCTATAATTTGTTGATCGTCAATTTGCAATCATATACAGTTACTATTGTGTATTTCTTGACAGTATATCAAAGGGATTGAAACTTAGATCTTCCTCTCTAAACTGTACATAAAATCTGAATAGCCATACAACATTTACTAAAGTTTTTTTTTTTTACAATATGAAACCTGTACATAGAAGAACAAAAACGTTTGTTGTTGTTGTTGTTGTTGTTTTTTTTTTTGTTTTTTTTTTAATAACTGAAGAATATCAATTTATTTCTATTTAATAATATTGTTACAAATAATAATTTATTTAGATGATAAAATGATGCTGTTATTGTTTATAATCTTGTTTTTGAAAATAACGTTACATTTAAAAACTATGCTGTTATTTCATTAATTTTAAAAAAGGAGACTAAAAGATGAAGATACTGATATTTCAAGGGATAAAATTAAAAAAAAATCATTTCAAATTTGGTATTTAAATGTATGAATCTGTGGGGAAAAGTATGTATATGCATAGGTTCATACATTATAATTTAATTTTATATATATCACATAGATTTCATAAAAAATTATTACAGCATATACATGAAATGGACCCTCCCAGAAAACAAAAATTATATATGTTTACATGTATATATACTCACACAAACACATCAATCTATATATCAAATTATCATTGCATATAATTTTTTCTATAATTGCCATTTTGACCAAGTGCCGTTTTGACTAAGTGCCGTTTTCACTAAGTGCCGTTTTGACCAAGTGCCGTTTTGCATAATCCAAGTGCCGTTTTCACTAGGTGCCGTTTTCACCAGGTACCGTTTGAACCATAATTCTAATCCAAGTAACGACGTAAATTCAACTAATTTTCTCTTTTTTTTCTAGCTTCAAATTTACACGTCATGTTTAAGTTTGTAACTTTCTTGATTGTTCATAGTAAATGCACTGAGTACAAGTTATCGCCCATGTTTATTTCGCAACATTGTGAATACACAGAATGAATATGATCGTTAAACCGGGTCCATAGGACATTTATCATTTTAGCGATAGAACATTCTATCTATTAAAATAATGTCAATTTATAAATTTTTGTTCACAATTCCGCAAGGCTTGACTAATTATTTACATTAGTAACAACAATTGGGAATCAACTTACACCAGATCAGGTCATGTGATTGGACAAAATGGCCACTAAAGACAGGGGAAAGTGGCAATTTCGTTTGAAATTTGATGATCTCTGACCGCATTGCGCAGGTGACTGCTTAATAGAGTTACTTTATATAGGAAATTTCATTGGGTGGAAATAAAATGACCGCATAGGACAAGTGACCGCTGGATAGAGGTGACCGCTATGACAAGTTTGACTGTATTTATTTAAAAAATCATATATGATAATAATAAAACAACACAAGGGTGGACTCCATTTTGGTCCCCTTCCTCGCTTCAAAATCTGTTTTTGCTGTAATTTTCCATATTTTACTGACTCACCGCCTCAGATGTGTCAAGTAATGATTCTAGGACCCTATGCTTGAATTTCCCCTTGGAGTCTCTACATTGTCAATACACATTTCATGTACATTACACACACTAAAAATAATTGAAAAGCGCTCGTTAGGACAGTTGATATAAACAGAAAGCGAAAACACATTCGAAAACCTCTGGGTTTTTCTACTTTCTAAAACAACTGCTTCTTATAAATTAGAGAAAAAAAGCGTTCTAATTCCGCATTCGAATGTAACTAAAACCCCGAGGTTTTTGACTGTGTTTTTGTCCATATCAACTGTCCTAATTAGCACGTTTGGATTATTTTTAGTCTGAAATGTGTATTGTAGAGGCTGCAAGGCGAATATTCAATGACGAAGGGGTTCAAAATGGTGTCCAGCCTTGTGTTGTTTAATTATAACCGTATATGATTTTTAAAATAAATAATTATTACACGCTGGGAGCAAGTCTCTGTGGTCTTGTTACATTCATTTGAATTTGTACCGTTTCCTTGCTTCAACCTCTTGTTTTCGTTAGTTTCACTGACTAACAGACTTTGATCTTTCATGTTATAATATTCCTAGGACATAATGCTTGAATTATCCCCTTCAAGTCTGTGTGATTTACACACCAAATAATTTACTTTAAAACATTAACATTTAATATTTTAATAATTACATTTTAAGAAGCACCGAAATATACTCATTATTTGCATTTCACACTGCTATACATATTTATGTTATTAATGTCTCCGTAGCCTCATTGTGGCATCACCTTTGTACAAGTTTCTCTGTGCATATTTCTACCAAATTGGTGTTCAGATCACTTTCACTTTGAGCTTAGTAGAAAATGTCAGGAAAGTCCGGGAGTGTTATGTCACCCGATGCCAAAAGCAAAGGGTGACATAACACTCCAGGGCTTTCCTGTCACTGAGGGGCAAATATTCTGGTATAGTCGCACGAGAAGCCATGTGATATATGTTATATAGGGATGTTAAAATATTAATTTTCCTTAGTCGAACATTCGTTTGCATTATTCGAACGATAGTCGACTATTCTGAGCATTTATTTTTTTCATAGCACAGTGTTTTTTGAAAGCTTATTAATTAAAATAAATTGGAAAATTTATATAAATTGGAAGTGGGGAATTGTAAACACACACTATCCACACCTCCGATGAAAATGTTTTTATATGTACTGTTTGTTCAATTAATGATTGCCCAAGTTATATATCGAAGTGTCTTTTATGTAAGATAATTGTTTTAATAATAATCGAATTTTAAAACATCACGGCTATGCAAATATTGTGTGTTCCTTTAATTAGCATTCTGCAGTTCCGTCAATGTGCAAGTTAGCAAATTGTGTTTCTGTCAAACAACAACATTATAGCCTCATGAATATCCGTCAAAAATTGACACTAGCAACAGAAACAAACAACAGTTTTAAGAAATCTGTTGATGCAAACTAAAACAAAAATATAAATGTATTTATATAATTTTCACAGTTAGTGAATAGGATGATGTTAAAGTTAATATCATCAAAGATGATTTAGGAATTTGCATTTCTTTGAATTTCTAATGTCACATTTTCCGTCAAACAATCCGTCAAAAAGTGTGACAATTGCAACAATTATTATTATTATTATTATTATATTTTTATATAGCGCCCTATATAATTATGGAATTACCCTAAAGCGCTTTACATGTAGAAAACAATTACAATATAAAACAAAGGACGAGTACAATATAAAATAGCAAAAAGGTAAAATCATTTTGAAATTAAAATAATTAGTTATTTAAAGGGTCCATAATTTTAATTTTTACATATTTTTCTCTTTTGATGTACATATTATCACTTTCAATGCAAAAATCAACCAAACTAACATTTTGAAAAATTTCTCCTCATGGGAGTCATTTTGTGCATTTTACATGGAATATGTCCTAAGCATTTGAAATTCCTAGAGTTTATAAATATAATTGGTACAAGCCAGTCAAATAATTTTCATAGTCCAGTATAGCGTTGCATAATTTACTACGTATAATAACAAAAATGTCAGTGATTGAGAAATAATTACTGTATTTTCCGTACGTACAATGTGGAAAATTATTTATATACTGTGACTGTGTTTGAGCTCTTATTCGTCTGAGGACATAAATTATACCGCTGTATAGTTTGAGGAAGGACCCTTTTGAGATGAAAATTTCATTATCACTCCCTTTTCTTGCATTTATTATACACCCCGCTTGAAAAACGGGAGGGTATATAGTAATCGTTTAATATTCGAATGTTGTTTCATTATTCGATCGTCGGTCCATTCGACTGACAGTCGAATAGTCGACTATTCGTTGACATCCCTAATGTTATATGACATTTTTAAAATTAAAAAAAATCATCTAAAATCATGAAAGTTTAGACAAATAATCCAAAAATGCTTTCTTGTCCTTAAGAATTACGCTCCATTTTTTACATTTGCTAAGCAACCAACATCATAAAATCTCAAACCCAAGCAAAAATGTGGTGTGTAAAGGGAGACATAACTGCTTCCGTTGTGTGACGTAACTGTTTCCTGTGTGATTCAGCATTTCTCAGACTTTACAGTGAAACGTTATATTTGTGACATAATAATAAAACTTATTTAAAAATGTGATATAATCAAATGTCTTATGTCCTTGGTCTCCGCAGATAGATATATCTCTTGCTTCAGTAGTGTGCCACATCTTTCATAAACCAAATAATTGCTGCTTTATTCACATCGTATTTTGTTCTACAGTGGACCCAGGCATTCTAGATTGATACATAAATTATTTTGTATTTAAGAGTTAAAATGTTCTGGATTGATACATAAATTATTTTGTATTTAAGAGTTATTCACAGAGACATTTATATACACGTGCAAGAAAAACATGATTACATCATATAGACTGAAATCATTTGAATAACTTTAATAAATTTACTAATATATTTCTTTCAGGATTTTCGCTTCCAGCAACTGTGCAGAATACGCATATTTGATCGGCCAGGAAATCCAATCCAAGGTGTTACTCATTTGGTCGCCTGTTCATCACTGTATGGTTTAACATTTCTAGGAACAACAAATGGTGAGTATTCTAAAATATTCTTATTTAAGAATCAAATATAACTCCTACATTCTTGTTTCAGTAATGATACTTGTTTAATACTAATTTCCATGCTTTTTAAATTTAGATTTTTTAAAAAGAAAATATTCTCCCGAAATAAAATAATATATTATAAATGACCAGACTTGCACAAAAGAAAGCATCCTCCTGAAATAAAATAATATATTATAAATGACCAGACTTGCACATGTCTTTTGAAAAACAAAACTTAATTAAAGAACAATAGAAATTTGTTTGTTTATTAGGTTATACTAAGCTGACATTTTAATTGTAGGTTTCAAGGTTATCAAAACATCTGACTTGACCGATATAGACAATAGACATGCATCAGAGAGAACGACGTTGGTTGTGCCAGATCCTCCAATACAAGCCAGTGTCCCAGCTATTTAGGGCGCTGTGTTTTACCTGTTTGAGCTGTGATGAACTGACATAAGCAAATATATCTTTGACGGTGTTGTTCAGATCTATTTGTATGATGTGCGAGGATTCGCTAATCAGGTCATTCAAATTTTTTTTTCGTTTTTTTATGGAATTGCACTTGGATTCAATTTTACTAGTAAAATACAAGTACTTACCGGTCAAAATCTTCCTACAAAAAAGACTGACATTAATTTTTTTTCTGACATTGTAAACTATATATGTCATATTTTATATGTTATGCATTTTATAACAGGGTCAGGAAGCACAACCTTTTCAGAAGATACGTATGAGGAACGACATACTTGATCTAGCCTGGAATCCCACTCAGCCAGCGTTGATTGTGGTTTGTATGAGCGAAAATAACCGTATCATTTTATCAGTGAATCATATAATAAAACAATTATTGTCGCCTCTCTTTCCAGTTGTGGCAATGCAGCGCCATCTGAGGGAATCGTTAAATATTTAGGGCCCGCCAAGGATTTGCGGGTCTATAGTAATCACTCTGTCTGTCCGTATGTCTGTCTGATGGCTGTCCGTTGTACTTTCCGTCCACAAAACAGCAATAACTTTTTTTATGGTTGCCCAATCAAGTTCAAATTTGGTATGGTAGTTCAGTAGGCAACAAAACATATTTTGATGCTAAGATTAGTTATTTGTCTTCTGGTTTGGAGCTTGGTTATTCCTTAACTATGCATAAGAATGAATGGGTAAAGAGAGATAACTGCTGAGAATGTTACCATTATAAACTGGGAAGGCTGTGCAATATTTGTCCTTTGGGATTAATTAACTTCCACGTGAAGAAAATCCTAAGCATTATCTTTATCTGTCACATTGAGATTAATAGCTGTACCGCCTCTGTCTGCAAATGAACTTTGTTTTGAAGTTAAGGTCAATTTTGAATGAAGTGTACATTTTCTGAAATATGGATTTGAAATAATGCTCGTACTTTATTTTGGTTAAAATACTGTACATAACGATTTATGATAATTTTATTGAATTCTAAAATCAAGATATATATGATGATATCATTTATTATTATTACTATTTTATTTCTTTAATAATTTATTTATTTATTTTATTTTTTTGCTGCCTTAATGTTGTTAATTTTAACAGGTAATCAGATAATAACTCCATTACTCTCTAAAAAATTTTGGTAAATTTAGAAGAAAATTGTAAACTACAATTATATATGGAATTATTTTATATGTTGCAGAAAATAGAGGCTTATTTTATCTGTCACATGAAGATTAATGAACACCTTTGTCTGCAACTAATGTTTGTTTTGAAGTTGAGGTCAACCTTTGGTGATATTTGCATTCACTGAAGGCTTGCATTTTTTAAAACACCTGCTTAAATCTTTTTTAAATACACATTTAATTTAGTTTTTTTGATTGTGGTTTTTGTATGTAAATGAAGGTTACTATTTACAGGTTTTTTGGAATTTACAGAAAAATTTAAAAATACTGTTTTTCTCTAATCTTCATATGTTTTTTTTCAAATGTAGCGGTAAAACTTCATTCAGTGGAATCGTTAAATAATTGGATCAAAGATTCAGTGCAAGATCTTTAAAAAAAAATTTAAATATTAAATGACTTTTTTAATATTAACATTTTTTTCCAGTTATTATTCTAGTTCAAAGCATTAACATGATGTTACTGTGGTTATCCAGTGTGTTTTCTTTCCAAGTTTTTCATATTTCAAAACATTTTTGGTATGAATGAATTTTACAGTGTGCTGGAGCCCAAAAGGGAAGCAACTGGTGATAGGCACAGGTAATGGGACTCTGATGCAGTTTGACCATGAACTTAAGAAGAAGAGAGACTGGGACAGACCGTCAGTGTTACCGGAGGACCAGCAGTATGAAGGTTTGTAAGAAATACAGATATCTAGCATACTTGTACTTCTTTGTGACTCAAGTTCTGCAAACCTGTCTAAACAAACTGTCTGTGCATTATTAATTCAGAATCCCATTGATTCACATACTTGAGTCTCCATAAACAATTGAGGAACCAATCTGGCACAAACATGCGATCTTCTGAAGATTTATTAGTAAGTTACGGAAAGTATTCACACCATCATTTAACTAATAGAGAATCTTATATCGACGGTCGACAGTGACAGCGTCTTTTGCTATTACAATAGCAGTTTGTCCGTATGTTTTTTACTACCAGGGGACTAGATCAAAAAGACTTCGTTAAGAAAACTCCCATTTCATTTGTATACTAAAGATATGGTAATATAATTTTTTTTTTCTTCTGTATTCATTTAAAGTCTCTTAAGGTGTCATTACAACATTTAAATCAAACTGAACTGATCTCCGGTGTGCCGTAACGTCATCAAACGTCGCCATTTTTCGTGTATTGAGTTTACCACTGTCCCATTTCGAATGCTCAGGAAACTGCCAAAAATTAACCAAATGCCTTGAAATTTTTAAAAAGACGACAAAATTAATTGTGGAATCGAATAAGGATAATTTTCATCCCAATCTAATGTATTTAAAACTTTTATTATACCCCCGCAAACGAAGTTTAGGGGGGTATATTGGAATCACCATTGATTCACATTTTGTGACCGTTTCTCAGAAACAATTGAAAATTTATACACTTATTATTCACCATATGAAGGTGTGCACTTGGGATTTTCATCATGATTGGATGATTTTTCTGCATTTTCGTTTTTTCTTTTTTATTTTGTGATTTTCATTTTTGTTTGGCTCATTAGAAAACTATTAGACTTACAATCATCAAACTTGGACAATTTATGCAGTACGGTGTGTCACACCATTTCAAGGTCACTGTGACCTTTAATTTAAGTGATTTTTTAAAAAAAAAATAAGTCTTTAAAATTTTAAATTTCATAATCCTAAAAAATGTAAAAATATAGTTGTATCCTTATTAAAAAATGCTAAATTAAGTAAAAACTTATTTTTTATCATATACTTTACAGCAAATTCTATAACAAATGTTAATGATTTGAAAGGAATTCAGTTTGTCCCATGGGCATAATTATCAAGCACTTCAAGGAGAAATTTTGATAGCAGAAATGTGCATGTCAAATTAGAGAGAAATTAATGAGTTCATTGTCGGGAGTTAACTAACAAGAGCATCATGCCATCTTAATTTATCTCTTGGGATACAAAAAGAAATGGCCTAATATGCTTGTGTTAATTAAGAGTTCTTGATGGCTGTAGTTCATTTAAAGATCTTTCAATTGGTGTAATGTAATTAAAACATTTAAATGAAAATTGAATAATATAATTAAAATTAATTATACATGTGTTCATTGAAAAAAAATTACATTTCAATTTTTATATATTTGCAACAAATTGCAGTCATGTCTGACTTAGAATTTTATAGTCTAAAGAATAATTAATTTTTGATTTTTTTTATTACTGTAGCATTTCCATTATTTCATAATATGCAATAAACAATTGAAAGCTGCAGATGGATATTTGTTAAGCTCTAACACAGCCAGTTTAGAATTATATGATGTATTATTTGTTTTAATTAACCTACAATGTCCTTAGAGATTTATGTAAATATTTTAAGCATGATAAGAAATGGAAATTTAGATCATTGAAATCTGTGTCAATCTGTTAATCAAGGTGGCACCCTAACCAATTTATGATCACAATATTTGATGGGGGTATCAACTTTTTAGACAATAGTGAACACCTCTTACTAGATCCATAAAATATGTACCTACTTGAAAAACCCAAAACTTTTATTTCGAATTAATACTTGTGCATTCTCTAATATAACCTTGGTTTTTTGATCGTGCGCCATAAGACCGTACCCTGTGCACATTCAAGCATAATAAAATCTTTATTTTTGTTTATGTATTATTAAATACATTATGATACACTTAAATATGATAAACAAACATTTGCTGAAATTTTCAGCTAAGTGCGCCCATTACTTTTCAAGAAAAACGCCTTGTCCACGATTTTACCGGACAACCCTTGTATAATATGTTTACCTCCACACTTTGAATTGCGTTTAAGATCCGTTTGCCACATTCATTGCAATTGCCCATAGTGCTGTTTTTCAAACAGCCAATGTATGTACTTTTATACAGCTTGTGGACACTTGAATGTTTGTGTATCAAAATTTTGTATTTATATTATTTTTGTAGTAAAAGGAGTAACCTGGATATCCACCTACATGTTTCTGGCCTCATACTTTTCCTCGGACGGATCTGATAACCAGCCAACAGTCATCCTGACCTCAGGATCGGTGGGTATACTTACTCCATCTACAACCCTCCTGTGTGATTTGAAGGGGGAGGTCTTTTGCACTATATTTTGCACAAATATTTTTTTTTATTTTTTTGAAATATTAAAGCATATTTAGACTTTTGAAGCAATTTTTTAGTAGCTTCTTTTTTTTAACATTTTATATCAAATATGACAATCAGATATACGAATCATGCTACCTGTCATCATACACCGGTTTTATCATTGATTTTACAGAAGGATGGTGCTCCAGCCTTTATCAACTTTGAAGATCCTTGTTATGGAAATGGGGAGGGAATGGCCTGCAAAATGCACTTCAATTACATCCCACAGTGGTATAAAAAATACCTATACACTGTTGATTAGAATTTTTATGATCTGTTAAAATTCATATTTCATGAGATATGCCGTTTCTTTTGTGGTCTTTGCTTATATCATTCATGTATGATGTACATGTATATATAAGTTTAAAGTTGATAAATGCATGTCATGAATATGCTTGAGAATAAATTGAGACATGAACCTTTACAATGGTCTCCATTTCGATCTTCAAGACCTACTTTAATTTGGAAATATTTATTGCTATGGACCATTTATTTTACTTTGAATTGGTAGAAAATGTTTCCTCAGTCACTAACATTAAAGGCATGGATTGATTTCTAACTGACACATCAGAAATAAAAGATGACACAAATAATTATTGCTTAACAGTATTTATTATATTGAAATTTTATTTACAATGCATTTCATTATATTTTTGGACAGATTGAATTTATTTACTTTTTTTTAAGGGAAATGGTTTTGTGTACATCCAGCACTGCTTGTGAAACAGCAATTGTTGCCAAACACTTTGATAATAAGGTACATTAAAAGATATAAAACAGATCATCAACACTTAAGTTTCTTTGGTGAATGTGTAATAGAACAGATTTTATATACATCTCCAACTTGAAGGGATGAGTTGTTACAGAATTAATATGTAGCTTACAAGAAATTCTTAAGCAGTCCAGTGAATTGTAACAGTAATTCTGTACAATTTGATGTTTCTTTCAGAACACCTTTGAGCGTTGGACCCTTGATGACGCTGCCCGAGCTGAGCTACCCCTAACAGAGGATTACGCTGACACGTTTCCCCTGGGAGCCGCTGTAGACCTGTCTTCACAGTATGCCATTCCTGTGGGTGAGTACAGAGATTTTACACTCAAGGACAAATTCCGAATGTCGTCTGTAAACATGTGGATCACCTATTGTCTATCTTAAGTTTATGGAAAGATGATTTGTATTTCATCATTCAAAATAAGAACATACACGTATCTCATGTTTTTTGTTCTGCCTTGTAGAGAATGCAGTGTCAGTCACCAAATAAATATTGCCACACAGTCTGTTTTAATTTATAAATTCTAATCATTCTTACCTATAAGCCATGTTATTTTTGTCACAGGAGAAAGATCTCATCCACCCAGCCCGTTGTTCATTCTGCTCTCTACTGACGGAGTACTGGTGACTTATTACATGATGTACAGTCACGCCGAGGCTCCGGCCATCACCAGACCCCCTCAGCCACTGCCAGCGGGCCCAGTCAGAAAACCACAACCAGCAAACACTCAAGGTATCGTATAGCATACTCATAAAACATTGTGATTGTTCAGAAGAGGATTTTCAACTTTTATTCATGATTGTTTTCATTAATTTCATTGACAGGCACCGTACAGAAGGATGCAGCTCCTATAGAAACAAGACCACAAGCCCAGTCTGGGCAGCCAGTAGCTAGCCCAGTCGTCTCCCAGGGTCAGAGTTCACCTGCCTCCCAGGGTCAAAGTTCAGCTGCTTCCCTGGGTCAAAGTTCAGAGTCTAAAGCCAGTGCATTTGGTTTTTCTGCCTCTGGTTCTACAGGAAAGTCATTGTTTGGAGCTCCAGCCACTCAGGGGTTTAGTTTTACATCATCTGCGTCCTCTTCTAGTGCTGGAGCTGGGTCCATTTTTGGTCAGAATGCCTCAGCAACAACTCAGGTGGGACAGAGTTTCCTGGCATCAGCTCTGTCTGCACCAGTAACAACTGCAGCAGCAGCCACTACAAAGACTGGATTTGGTGCTACCTCAGCTCCTCCATCTCAGTTTAGTTTCAAGCCTCAGTCGTCTGCCAACTTCAGTTTTAATGCTACAGTCACTACACCATCTGCACCAGTTTCCACTGCATTTGGTGGGACATCAAGTAGTTCTTCTTTTGCTCCTCAGAGTACAAGTGCCAATAAAACGGGGTTTAATTTTAGCTTTTCCTCCTCAAGCACCACATCTTCTGGTCCAGACAAGACCCTTGCTGTATCTGCTGCTCCTATAAGTAGCAAGCCTGCAGCAACCCCAACCCCAGCAACCCAGTCTTCAGCAGTATTTGGTACACCGAATGCATCTAAGCCGTCAACCTTTACATTTGGCGCCGCAGCTTCTCCTGGTGCTGCTTTTGGTGTCAAACCATCTGCTGCATCAACTTTGCCAACATTTGGTGTGTCTGCAACATCAGCAGTCCCAACACAGCCAAGTTTTGGATCAGTTGCCACTTCAACTCTGCCTAAGTTTGGACTGACAGCTGTAGCAACCCCAGCAGGTACCACAAGAGCTTCACCTGCTGTTAAACCCAATCTGACGGGTGGTACCTCAGGGTCTGCTGTGCCAAGTTTTGGGTCCACTCCAGCATCTTCGGTTCCTACCTTTGGTGCAAAGTCTACTGTAGCTGGGGTGATGCCATCATTTGGGAATTTAATATCAGCAGGGAATACACCTACTTCCCAGCAGCCTCAAGCCAAGCCTAGCACTGGAATAGCAGCAACCAAGGGTTCTAATGCTTCACTACAGGGTCTGCTTGCCGAAGAGAAAAAAACAAGTATGGGCATTTCAAAGCCTTCCCCTGCTCCCACTGCTGAGAGAACGCAACCTACTGAAAGCAAACCAGTGACAGGACTAGTGACTCAGAATATAGCTGTAACAGGTCAGTTGATGTAATGTTGTAGCTATTTAGTTGATGTATGAAAGTGATTCAGAATAAAACCTAAGCATATCAGTGTAATGTTGTGATTACTACAGTGCAATGTTGTGATTATAAATAATGATGTTAACACTTAAATAATATTGACACTAATTTGTTGGAGTAGTGTTATTATGATTAATTTTGAAGTTTAAGCTGAAGACATCATTAATTTTTTTTTTCAGATTCCAGTCAGAAAACCTTGACTTCTAATTCTACATCGGAGTCCTTGAATGACACGTTTAGTGCATCTATTGCAGAGGAGGTAAAATTAAAGTTATTCATTGATGTAGAAATATAGGCTATTCTTTTACTGACAATCTTTCACAAACAATTCTTTTGATTGAAACATAAAAAAATTTTGTATTGTTTTAAAATGTATGCTCTTTTGTTGCAAGATTGCCCATTTTGAGAAAGAGTTGCGAGAATTTAAACAACGAGCTGGAGCGGTAAGGGAGACAATCGGCAGTAAGGCAGACATGCAGAGACTCCGCAACAGTACTATAGAGGTCAGCAACTTCTGTGGAGAGGTCAAGGCCAACACTAAGGTAACCAGGAATACCCTACAGATAAAGTGAATGTACTTTGCTTGCTTTAGATAGGTTTCAGAATTCAATTATACAGTATTTCAGAGATTTCGAACAGATTGTTTCTTTTCACATTCGTTTATATATATACCATGTATACTAAAGAAGAGAACTGCACTTGTAGTGCTTTTCTAAGCACTTTGATTTTACAGTGTAGAATACAAAGGTTTTTTTGTTGTTTGAAGGAACAAAGTAAGGAGATATCCGACTTGAAGGGCCTGTGTCTGGACTGTTTTGCTATGGTGGAGGACTGTAAGCTGAGGGAGCAGTTGAACTCTGACCCTCAGTACGGTCACATGATGAGGACCAGGGCCCTCGACCCTAAAAGTCTGACAACAATGAGGAGTCTACAGCAGCAACAACAGCTGCTGGACCAGGGCCTGAGGGATGTGGATGCCATCTTAGACCAGGAATGGCAGGATTATCAAAGCAGGAAGAAGAAGAAACAAGGGTATGTAAAGCTTATAGAACAGCCACATTGAATAAAGGTAATAACAGCTGGTAGAGCAGCTTCAACAAGGGTATGTAAAGCTTATAGAATAGCCACATTTAATAATTAGGATAATAAAAGCTGATAGGACAGGCACAGTGAATAAGGGTAATAACAGCTGATAGACAGCTACAAATAAGGGTATGTAAAGCTGATAGAACAGCCACATGAACAAGGGTAATGCAAGATCAAAATTTTCACAAGCTGTTTATCTAACATATATGAAAAAAAAATCTTCTGAATAAAAGTATTTTGTTAATCCCAATCTTTTTATTTTTCTTGTTTTTTTGGCAACATATCTTAAGCTTCATCTATCAGTTTACATGTATTTTGGTCTATTATGTATTTCACATTCATAGATTCTGTACAAAATGCCTGATTGTTATGAACCTGAACAGTTTATTTTTATTTTCAGAATTAAGAGGCCCACAACAGATGGAATATACCAGGTGATCAAGAGCAACAGAAATTTGATTATTAGAGAAAAAAATCAGCTGTCTGACCTGGAATCTCAGCTGAAACAGTTAAAGCTATACAACAAGAATTCCACATGGAAACACCCAGACACATCAAGGTCTGAAAAACCCAACAAAGTGGACATTATGCCAGTGTTTAAAGTGTTCAGTTGATATTATCTTTGTGTTTATTACAGGGGACCTGCAGAGTTGTCATCCTTGGCAGATTCCTTACTGGAAAGTCCCTCAAAGTCTCCAGGAGTGAGCAAGAATACGCCCAAAAGTTATTCTCTTCTTCCTCAGAAGCAGGCTAAACTACGAGAGTACCTGTCTCGGAAAACAGTGGCAAAGGTCAAGTCAACCAGACCAGGTAATAAGTAGCCTTAATCACTGGAATACAGAGTGTGTTACTGTGTCATAATTTCTTTGTCCCATAGATAAGGTTTTGATAGATAAAGAAAGCTTTTTAATTGTTTTTAATTCTTTTGTTTTCAACCTTTCCTACTTTGATTTCTGTGCTGATTTTAGAGAACTTGTCCATGTCCAGACTGGCTTCCACAGAGAAGATCCGCCAGGCCCTGAGTAGGCAGAGCTCACCTGTCAAAGCGCCCCCTACTGCAGGTCTGTTATACTGTTAATTTACAGTCAGCATTCCTACAGGCATAAACAACATCATATTTAAAAATTTTAAATAGAACTGTAATAAGTAAAAAAAAAATTCAGGAAAATTAATTTTTTCGTTGCTTCTGGTTACTCTGTTGGTCATATTTCAGAGTTCAGACCTGAGTTAAAGCCTTCGATACAAGGAAGGACGATTTTACGTGCCACTTCCCACAATGGAGCTCGCCAGCTTGCCAGTCAGGGCTTACAGCCTGTCAGCCCGGGAATGGAGACCCGACTCAGACAGCAGCTCAACACACAGGGCAAACCCAACAGCTATCAGCAGGGCTTCATGGTAAATACTCACAATATACTGGATCTCAAACATGACGTTACAATTTAAATAAACTTTCTCTGAAATTTTAAATCATTAAAGAAATAAGGTATATTTTAAAACATTTATAAGGATATAAATGTACGTTGGTCAAGAAAGATAGATTTGATCATGTACCAATTATTTTCTGAAGAATTTTAAAATATCACAAAAAAATTTACATTTGTGACTGATTAATACATGTATTTCAAAATTGTAGATTTAAACCCATGAAACAATATTCAAAAACTGATGTTGTTAATGGAATATGTTGAATATTTTGACCACTTATGTCACCACTGTAAAAATACATTGTTCTTTCATGGCTACAGAAAAAAATGTCGAATTTTAAATAGCATTTTATGAAAATGTTCATTTTATTCTAGTTTTCTAACATTGGAAAGGCCTCATCCCCAGTGATTGGTTTTCAGCCCAAAGTTCCACAAAATTGTAAGTTTTATATATTTTTCATAAATATGGTTTGTGCATTTAAAATACTGAAAGAAATAAATGATTCTGGTTGTCATTTAAAGACAAAGTTTATTTATATTAGTGAAGCCTTCAGATGGGTACCCCCAGTTTGAGGACATTACACCTACAACATCTACGGACGTGACTGAGGAGGAAGATGATGATGATGATGAAGATTATGATGAAGACGATGATTACGATGAGGAACAAGACATCGAAAGTGAGCACGATTCAGAGCCACTGAATAGGAAAATAGGTCAGTAGGCAGGTTTCGACGCTAACATTTTTAGGCTTTGGTCCGGCCGGACTAGTGCTTCTTTACTTTTACTAGTCCACGGGAAATTTTATGAGTCCGTCAAAAATAAAAATAAATAAATAGATTTAATGTTGCAATGTACTTTTTATACTTTTTTGAAATAAACAAAGCAAAGCATTTACATGAAATGTTTATACCAAGAATTCGTTGAAATTGCACAATCAGGAACTACGATCGTATTCCCGATCTCATTCGTTTTTATCTATACATGATTACATCATCTAAACATCCGACATCTTTCTTCATTGTGTCTTACTAAATCATGATCGCTAAAATGTTTGATTTCATACCAATGAGTCCTCGAATTAAGTGCCTAATTGACTCAGAATTACCTAACTTCAGCCAAAAAGATAGAAAGCTAAAAATAGATACGGGGTTTTCCAGTGAAAGTTGTGGAAAATTGATAAATTCTTTTTTCCCCCAGAAAACTTGATTAGTCCGTTCGGACTAATTAGCTACAATTTTTATTAGTCTGAATGAAAATGTATTAGTCTGAGACTAACGGACTAACGTTAATGTGGAACACTGGTAGGAAATATCTTTGTAATCATTGAATAGGAAAATAAGTCAGTTGAATCTCGTTATAAGCACCGAATAAGAAAAAAGGTCAGTTGGACATCCCTTTATAAACACTGCAATTAATTTTTAAGCCAATGGAAGGAATGTCTGGATAGTTGTGGCTAAATAACCATTACTTCTTGTTAGACCAACTTGCATTTATGATTCCTCTTTTATACTTAATTCCCTAGGATGCATTGTACATGGAACCACTACATTTATTTAGATCTCTGAATGACTTTTAACTAAGCAGCCAAATGACTTGACTATATGGAGGTAGTAGGCCTCTTAAAAAATTTTGAGAATGTCCCCAGGGGGTCAGCATCAGGATTGGCCCCAATTAAACAATTAAAGTATTTTTTAGAATGCATATACATGTACTGGTCATTTGAACTTTAATGTAGAATAAATTACTTGTCTAAGACTGTAATTCGTTCTGAAATAAAACAGGGATATTAAATTCATTTCTGCAATTTTCTTATAGCTGAGAGAAAGCCTGCCACTGGTCCATCAACAGGTTTTTCAGTGAAGACTACGAAGCCAGCACTGCTGCCTACACACGGATTTGGACAGGGTTTGTCTGGGTTTTCCAACCTTTCTGGGGGTAGTCAAGCAGCCCCTGTGTTTGGGGGATTACAAGGAGTCAAGACTGAGGACAAAACTCCCACAAACACCTCCACCCCTAAAACAGGTAGATCTTGACCAAAAACACCACCACCCCTAAGACAGGTAGATCTCAGCCAAAAACACCTCCACTCCAGTCTCAAAACAGGTAGATCTCAACCTAAAACAACCCCACCCCCCAATAAAGGCAGATCTTGGCTAAACACCTCGACCCTGAAAACAGGTAGATCTCGGCCATAAACACCTCAAACACCCCTAAATGGATAGATCTCGATCAAAAACACCTCCATCTCCGAAACAGGTAGATCTAGGTAAAAAACACCTCTACCCCCAGAACAGGTAGATCTCAGCCAAAAACACCTCCACCCCCAAAACAGGTAGATTTCAATTGAAAATACCTCCACTTAGTTTATCAGAGGTACTGTGGTTTCATTAAATATTTTAAGTATCATATTTTGTGATGTTGACAAACAATACAATTTTGTTGATATGTAATTAAGTGGAATGCTGCCTCATCCTATTTTATCAATAGGTGGTCTTGATCTTGTAAGTTAACTGTTTATTTCAACCATGAAAAAAAATAATTCCTGTTTAACAAATATAAAGAGACCACAGAAATGCAAATCAAATATGATCTAACTTTGCATCATAGGACATTGTGTTAAAAATGTTGTACATCAGTTTTCATTTATTAAATATTGAGTAATTCAAATATTATTTTGTAGCTTTCAAATTTGGAGGGGATGTTACCTCTGGCTTTGGAGGAAAAAATCTATTTGGCCAGCCTTCCAAACCTGAAGAAAACAAAAATGAGGAGCCAAAACCTGTTTCTTCACCACTTCTTGCAAAAGGTACTAGATCATGAATTAAGATTTTCTTGGTTAAATGAAATGAAATCAGTGTGGAAATTCCTATCTCTTAAATGATTTCATGACTTACCTAGAAATACAATATGCATTAGAAGAATTGACCATTTAATATCTAGTTTCTTCATAAAATTACAGCACTCTCAATGGAATCTGATGAGGAGGAAGTGAATTTAGCAGGAAGTGACATCACAAAAGAGCAGACCAACACTGAAAATAAGGGACCTGAGAAATCAGAAATGGAGCCAAAGTCAGCAGCAGCAGCAGCAGAGACTTCTACAGGCAAGCCAGCCATGAGTGGCCTGTTTGGATTTCAAAAATCACCATCTAGCCAAACATTGACCGACAATACAGCATCTAAAGGGGTGTTTGGTCAGTCCACTACAGGATCTACTTTATTTGGACAATCCACAGGTAAATCAGCACCTGTAACAGATGCTTCTGACAAAGCTTTATCGACAGCTGGGAAACCATTGACCAGTTTAGCAACTGGGGGTAGTCTGTTTGCACAGCCCATTGGTTCAGGTGGGGGACTCTTTGACAAGTCTACAAAAGAAAAAGAAACAGAAAAATCAACACCAGCAACAACTGCTGCTACTGGCCTGTTTGTCCAGAGTACAACTTCTTCTAGTGGTACTGGGTTATTTGGTAAAACTAATTCTCAAGCAACTAGTGAAGGTGGTATATTTGGACAAATAAGTACTCCAAGTGCTACAACTACTTCTGAAACCACTCCCACTGGACAGGAATCAAAAATGCCTGATTCAACCACTGCTGCAGGAGGAATATTTGGGGGGAAAGCTGTGACAACAGCATCCTCTAATTCAGGATCAGGATTATTTGAGCAAAAACCAACATCTTCTGGAACAGGACTGTTTGGTCAAACTTCAACTGCAGTCTCTAGTGCTGGACAAGGATTGTTTGGTCAACAAACAACAGCCACATCTGGAATGCTTGGACAAACAACTGTAGCCCCGCCATCCTATTCCAGCTCAGAGTCTGGATTGTTTGGGAGACCTTTGACTTCTGGCAGTGGTGCATTTGGACAGACATCTACAGCTACTTCAACTACTGGAACAGGATTGTTTGGACAAACAACATCAACCTCTGGATCAGGATTATTTGGACAACAAACAACAACTTCAGAATCTGGATCAGGATTGTTTGGCCAACAAACAACAACTGCAGGATCTGGAGTGGGATTATTTGGTCAAAAAACAACTACTTCTGGATCAGGATTATTTGGCCAGCAAACAACAACTTCAGGGTCTGGAGGTGGACTTTTTGGACAACAAACAACAAGCTCTGGTTCTGGACTTTTTGGACAACAAACAACAACTACTGGGTCTGGACTTTTTGGACAACAAACAACAACTACTGGATCTGGGCTTTTTGGACAACAAACAACAACTACTGGATCTGGACTTTTTGGACAACAAACAACCACTGTATCTGGATCCTTTGGGCAACCAAGCACCTCAACGTCTGGTTCTGGCTTATTTGGACAGCCAGCCACAACCTCCACATCTGGAGGTGGTTTATTTGGAACAGCAGGAGGTACAACAGCATCCACAACAGGCACCGGGTTGTTTGGCCAAGTCTCCTCTGCTTCTGCCACAACTAGCTCTGGTACTGGCTTATTTGGTCAGAGTGGATCTGGAGGGTTTGGTCAGAGTTCTACTGGATCAAAGCCCTCTGTGCTCGGAGGACTCCTGACTGGCTCTGATGATTCTCCTACAACAAGTTCTGCATTCGGTCAGGGAAGTCCAGCAAAGAATTTATTTGGACAACAAACTGGCACCTCCTCCTCTGCACCTGCCTTTGGCCAGCCAGCACCACTGTTTGGAACTTCTACCGCTGGGACAGGGTTTGGAGGTACGTCCACTAGTGGAGGATTTGTTACCTCAGGGGGTGGTCTGGGATTTGGAGGCACTGCCACAACTACTTCTGTGTCTGGATTTGGTCAGACTAACCAAGGAGTGTTTGGACAATCTACTGGAGGCACTTCTAGTCCATTCGGTGGTGGTTTTGGCAGGTAAGATTTTTCCTTTTCAAAACAACATAAGCTTGTTGTACATGTATTAAAAATTCTTTAAAGTTGTGGAATATTATGAAATTAAGTGTTCAATTGTTCACATGAACAGAACGTTCACCAAATGTTAATGATATGCTCCTCTTCTCACAATTATAAGTTGCACGAGATTATATTATTCATACACAGAAAGATATTCAGTCAAATAGAATTATTTTGAAGTGAAGGCAATAGGAAAAAAAACATGCAGATTGAAGGTTTTTGGGAATTACTTATGAGAATCACCATCACAATTTAGAATGGAGATGCTGGACCTCAATAAATCAATTTGAAATTGTTAAAAGAAAAACAAATTTAACCTGGTCAGGCATTTACATGTACAATGTTACATTTGTTTTCAGTGCCCCTAGCGGTCAGTCTCCAGGCGGCCTGTTTGGTGGAGGAAGTAGTGGTGGAATGTTCTCGGGCCTCGGTGGTAAACCCTCAGAGGACAAGGCCAAAACTAATGTGTTTGGATCAGCACAGTCATTTGGAAGTTCAACCACCCCTCAAAGTTAGCATTTGCATATTGTTGCAGGTTTACTAATTCATTTCTTTAAAAAAAGCACAAAGAAATAATGCTTTCATAGATTCAATTTCATTCAAAGCAAAGCTGATAAATTCTGAAATTTTTACTTTCACAATTTTTACAGTTATAGTTTTTAGCTCACCTGAGCTGAAAGCTCAAGTGAGCTTTTCTGATCACATTTTGTCCGGCGTCCATCTGTCTGTCCGTCTGTCTGTAAACTTTTCACATTCGACTTCTTCTCAAGAACCGCTGGGCCAATTTTAACCAAACTTGCCACAAAGTATCCTTGGGTGAAGGGGATTCAAGTTTGTTCAAATGAAGGGCCACGCCCTCATTCAAGGGGAGATAATTGGGAATATTTTAAAAATCTTCTTCTCAAGAACCACTGTGCCAGGAAAGATGAAACTTATGTAGAAAGATCCTCAGGTAGTGTAAATTCAAGTTTGTTCAAATCATGACCCCCGGGGGTAGGGCGGGGCCAAAATGGCCGACCAAAGTTTTTCACAGAAATATATAGGAAAATTCTTTAAAAATCTTCTTCTCAAGAATGACAAAGCCATAATTCATCATATTTATATGGAAGCATGCTCAGGTTGTGTAGATTCAAATTTGTTCAAATCATGACCCCCGGGGGTAGGGCGGGGCCAAAATGGCCGACCAAAGTTTTACATAGAAATATATAGGAAAATTCTTTAAAAATCTTCTTCTCAAGAATGACAAAGCCATAATTCATCATATTTATATGGAAGCATGCTCAGGTAGTGTAGATTCAAATTTGTTCAAATCATGACCCCCGGGGGTAGGGCGGGGCCAAAATGGCCGACCAAAGTTTTACATAGAAATATATAGGAAAATTCTTTAAAAATCTTCTTCTCAAGAATGACAAAGCCATAATTCATCATATTTATATGGAAGCATGCTCAGGTTGTGTAGATTCAAGTTTGTTAAAATCATGACCCCCTGGGGGTAGGGCAGGGCCAAAATGGCCGAACAGTTTTACATAGAAATATGTAGTAAAATTCTTTAAAATCTTCTCAAGAATGACAAAGCCATAATTCACTGGGCCAGGAAATTTGATCATGACCCCCGGGGGTAGGGACAAAGTTTTACATAGAAATATATGTGAATGACAAAGCCATAATTCATCATATTTATATGGAAGCATGCTCAGGTAGTGTAGATTCAAGTTTGTTAAAATCATGACCCCCTGGGGTAAGGTGGGGCCACAATGGAGGATCAAAGTTTTACATAGGAGTATATAGGGAAAATCTTTAAAAATCTTCTCAAGAACCACTGGGCCAGGAAAGATGAAACTCATGTGGAAGCATCCTCAGGTAGTGTAGATTCAAGTTTGTAATCATTAAGGTGGGGCCACAATGGCCGATCAAAGTTTTACATAGAAATATATAGGGAAAATCTTTCAAAATCTTCTTCTCAAGAACCACTGGGCCAGGAAAGATGAGAATCATGTGGAAGCATCCTCACGTAGTGTAAATTCAAGTTTGTACAAATCATGACCCCCGGGGGTAGGGTGGGGCCACAATGGCTGATCAAAGTTTTACATAGGAATTTATAGGAAAATCGTCTTCTCAAGTACTTCAAAGCAATGATTAGTGATAGTATAGGAAGAAAATGTTTTTAAAAAATCCTTTTATCAAGAACAGCAAAGTCATATGCTGTATTAATATGAAGGCATTCTAAAGTAGTATTAAATTCAAGCCCCCCCCCCCCCCCCCTTCAGTAAACTTTTCAGTTCTGATCTGTGTTTTTTCCTAGCCGATTTGCTCAGGTGAGCGATGTGGCCCCTGGGCCTCTTGTTTGAAAGATTATTTTTTGCCTTCTTAATTTCTATTTATAGCCAACCTGTTTGGCAGTCAGAGTCCTAGCACCTTAAGAAGTGGAGGTGGATCTAGCCCATTTGCAGGTGGTGGTTTTAGTGGAGGTGGTTCCAATGTGGCATCTTCTGGCTTTGGCATAGCTAAAACACAAAGCCCTGGTGGTAAGTTTTATTTTTCTGGTAACATTCTTTTAAATCATCCAGAGGAAGCAATATTACAATTATTATAACTCCCACACAGTGAAAAATAACAGAAAAATGTTATTTTCATGTGTAATTAAGTTTTGAAAAACAAGTTTTGGTTGAAAATTAGGGCAAAAGTTTGTGCAGTAATGCAGATATTTCATAAATGTTTTGAATTCTTGCTGAATAGGGTTTGGAGGAAGTCCTAGTTTTGGAGGAAGTCCAGCGTTCGGGGGACAGGCATCATTTGGAAGCTCCCCCAGCTTTGGATCGGCACCTGCATTTGGAGGAGGATCCACATTTGGAAGTGGAGCCTCATTTTCAAATCAGCTAGGCTCTCCACAGAATACTGGTGGTACTGGGGGATTTGCAGGGTATGTTATTTATTTTCCATTGGTCTGTCCAGGATGAAAGACTTGTCTTAATGAAAGAGACAATTGCAAAGATCAGTGTATACCATTTCCTAACAATACACCAAATTTTAAGATGGACATAGGATATGCTCCTGTCTGATCTTATGTCCATTTGTGAACAATGGTTTTCTGTGTATGTCTAAATTACTTTCATTAAAGAAAATTAAAACACATATGAATGCTGATGTCGGAATAGAACTAAGATGGGGATCAAGTTTTACATCATACATTTACATGTATGTAGGGTAAAATCATCTCCAGAAAACAGTAAGGCCCTATTAGTCTTACTTAGTCTTTATTTCATCATTGTATTAAATGATGTACATGTATAGAGACTGATAAATGGGCCCATGTTATCCTGTTGATGATTTTTTTACTTCAGCTTTGCCTCGGGGTCTTCCCCGACCTTTGGGGGTCTGGCTCACGGCGGGGACACCTCTTCCTTTGGTGCCCTGTCACAGGCCAGTAGTACCGGGTTTGGAGGAGGATTTGGAGGGGGTGGAGGTGGAGGAGGCTTTGGATCAAGTTCAGGTGAGAGTTTTTTATGCTTCAAATCATGTGTACATCAGAGTGTACAGATCTTGCTGACTCCATTATTCACTTTTCATGTATAAAGTTGATTTTAATAATGTTATACATGCACACATGTACAAGCTAATTCTAGGAATTTATGTGATAAAGAATGAAAAACAGGGATCTTTAATCATCTAGCCTTCAAAAATATAGTTTTATTTTAATTTGAAGAAAGTCAAGACTATTCAAGTTTCATTGCAAAAGCTTATAAGAACAAAAGTTACCATCTGAAAAAAATTATACTCTATCATATTTGCAAAATATGATTGTCTTACCTTGGTCTTTGACCAAGATCAAATCAATAGTGTCTTTTTAAGTCATATTGAAAAGATACAAATTTCATTACGAAACCTCAAAGAGAAGTAAAGTAATCACAGAAAATCATTTTTAGCTCACCTCGACGAAGTCAAGATGAGCTTATGCTATACCATCGGCGTTACCATCCTGGTTAGATTTTTTTGAGCAGGTCCATTCCCAAGTAACTATAAGCCCTACCCAGACCAAACTTGCATTGATGATGCATCTAGGGATGAACACTACCAGACTTGCTTCGGATGCTGGATCTTATCTACATTTTCCAGATGAGTGGCCAGGTTAAAAAGTTTTTGGAGCAGGTTCATTCCCAAGTAACTATAAGCCCTACCTGGACCAAAATTCCATGGATAATGCATCTAGGGATGGACACTACCAGACTTGCTTTGGATGCTGGATCTGACCTACTATTCCAGATTAGTGACCAGGTTAAAGTTTTTGGAACAGGTCAATCCCCAAAGAACTTTTAGACCTGTTTAAACAGAACTTGCTTGAATATTGTTGTCAGAATAAATACAAACTGTTAAGAAAAAATATGATGTGAGATTTGCATTACTTAAACTCTCAGATAACATTCGTCGAGGTGAGCTTCATAATCTTTGAATACCTATTTTTTTTTTTATGCAATGTATAAATTTCTAACTTTGGCCTCAGATCTTAACACCTCAAAATTGGTATTTTCTATAGACAATATAAACTTGGCAAAAGCTCACAGGCTGTTTGAGAAAACCTCTGGATATAAAAGTGTTAAATACATAGGAAACTACATGTAGTTCTAATTGTAACGGGGACCGTTACAGATGTTCCCCAAACGCTCCCCAACTCCCTTTTGGTGCCATATTCCCTGTAACAGCTTCATTAAATAGGATAAAATCTATGCATTCGAGACTTTAACAATGCCAAGTTCATTCAAATTTTAGCATTGCAAAGCTTGCGCATGTGAATGCATGTGCGTAATGACCATATCATCTTGTCTACACAATCTATATATTTTTTATATACTAAATTTTAAAGTATTTAATCCAAAAGTATAAAAAAAAAATACACTCATTCAAGTGTATTTTTGATTTATCTCATTTCATGTGCTCGCCCGTGCATACATGAGCATGGTGACCATATCTTCTTGTAGAAGTCCTTGACATCTATCTATGTTCTAAATCCCACCCTGTTTGGTTGAAAACCAAGGAAATATAGCTGTTTAAAATTTCAGCCAATCAGATTACAGCGAACGTACACGCACGTGTATGCATGTGCATTGTGACCACACCGTCTTGTAGAAGTTCATTATATCTATCTATGTTCCAAATTCCATCCTGTTTGGTTGAAAACCAAAGGAGTTATAGCTATTTAAAATTTAAGCCAATCAGATTGCAGCACACGTGAATGCACGTGTTTTCATGATAATTGCTATATATCATATTGTAGGATATCTTAATGCATGGCTATGTTCAAAATTTCATAGGATTTCGTCGAAAAACAAGAAAGATATAGAGACTTTATCAGCCAATCAGAGCGAAGCGCACGTGCAAGATCTTGCTTTTTTGATCATGTCAAGATTTCATCAAAAAGTAGAAAAGTTAAGGCTATATCCATTATATTGGTCATTTTACGTGTTGCACGTGCGCGCTCTTGCAAGCACGTGCGCGCAAAATGGCATGTTGACAATGTCATCTCATCTACATTTATAATATGTCTAAATATTCAAAATATCAAAGCATTACATCAAAAAATGTTAAAGTTACGGCAATTTCAAGTATATTGGTCATTTCACGTGTTGCATGTGCGCGCTCTTGCAAGCACGTGCGCGCAAAATGACCTTGATTCCGCAAATCTACATAACATGCCCACTTATCCTAAAAAGGTTTCCCCTTAATCGGATGTGTACTTTACAAGATCATTCGCGGACAAAATTTTCCCAAGAAGAAAAATAATAATAAGAAGAAACAGAGTAAAAACAATATGTTCCCCAACTTCGTTTGGGGAACATAATAACAGACAGATGGACAGACAGACCCAGATTACTCTTTTCAAATTCAATGAAAACTAGGAACACAAATTATTACTAAAGATGATTTAGTTTGGTTTGGAAAAATATCAAAAACGGTTGGTAAGTAATATTAATGCCATGTGTTCATTTTTCACAGGTTTTGGACAATCTTCAAGTTCAGGGTAAGAATGTTGTACATATACGTGTATATAGGTAAAAATTTTACGAGTGATGCTAATTGTTTTGAGTAAGATGTATATTTTTAATTTAGTACAAGTACAAAACTTTGTTCAGCTATTAAAAACATGATTATATATGTTAAGCATTTTATTATTTGAGCGAGTGTTTGTTAAATTCTGATTATCATAAATTAATTCAGTTAATAAATTAATATAAAGTAAAATGTCATTTGATCTTATAACTTTTTTTTTCAGTGGAAATCCCTCCTTCACTGGCTACAGGTCTTAGAGTAGGAACAAACATGAGACTAAATATGAATATTTGGACTGTTATATCAGATATTTTGTCTTCTTGATGATGTTTAAAAATATATTATTAAAAGCACTATACATGAATATTCAAAATAACTGTGTTAACAATAAACTGAGATTGCACATAACTATCGTTTTTATTCTTTGTTGTTTTCAAACCATGACATATTTGAAGCTGAATAAAAAAGACTTGTGCAAAGTTTTAAGCTCACTCTTCATGGAAAATGAGTAAACATTAATACACCTGTATTGACTTCAATCTTCTTTAATGTCATATTACATTATTACAAACATTTAAACAAAATTTGTATCAGTTTCTGTGGAACATCATAGACATAAATATTACAAGTAACTGTGTCACAGTGAGAATTAAATTTCATGGCAATTTCACCGAAGGAATTAAGCAGATCCTTGTTTCATATCACTGACTTACAGTTATTTCGACCAGCTCTCAGTAATAAATGGTTATACAAATGAAAGTAAACCCCAATCTCAATGTTGGGAATGTATAATAAAACTTATATAAAGCCATTTAAACTTTATAAACATGAATTACTTAACAAAAAAGAAGAATGTACTTCACAAAAATCAAATATAAAGAGTTTATGAATTCAAAGACTAGGGATTGCAACAAATAGATGTACATATCATGATATAATGTAGTTAGCACTTCAAAAACAACTATTTCTCTACACAGATTACATGAAGTGCAAACACATGTACAATATGTGTGTCAAGAGTTTTGCAAATAGGAACTAATATTTCAAAACTAGTTGAGTAGGTTTAATTCTGAGTAAGTAAGGCAATGGCATAACCATTTCTCTTTCATTTATTAACTTTAAATTATTGTTTTTGGGACGGTTTACCCCCTAGAATGATCTCTGCAAAATTGAAGATAAAATATGAAACATGTATACTGCACTGGAAATGACCACAATGAATTCACAACATTACAATACATTTAAACGTTCTTTTCACAATCTGGTCAAATGAGCCTGAACATTAATGCTATTAAAATGAATGTAAATACAAAGTTAAATCCATGCATGCATTTTATGAATAAATTTGTCAAACCTTCACTGTAATTTACTTTGCTATAAGGTATTATTAAGAGTACAATTATGAAATAAAAAGATAGTTCCTCTGACAAAAATATTGTAATTAAATTATATATTCCTGGCATTAAATAAATACGCATAGTTCAACTATATGTAGCATAATCAAATTGAATACAAGTGATTACAAAAATGTTTTTAACAAATTATTACATGTATGTACTTATACATACATGGACATTGAAAATGAAACAAACTCAATAATATGCGGAGTACCTGTTGCGTGAGTCCACAGCAAAAGTTTTCCTTGCTCTACATCACATTTGTAGTGAGGAGAAATAGGACAATCATGGAACTCTCTGTAAGACACGGAAACACGGATGAAAAAAAGAATCCATCCTGAAATTGGATAACTATTGACTTCGGGTGATGATAAAGCTATCTTGTTTCTGCCATTTTCTTCCAATGGCCCTATTGCTATTGACTTGAGGTGATGATAAAGCTATCTAGTTTTTCTGCAGTTTTCTTTCGATGCCCCCTAGTTACACCAATCACTGAGACGGAAGCTGTTCTATAGGGGTAACAAATTTGAAATCCTCTGGGAACAACAGATGAGCTTTGGGGTACATCAGCTTGTAGGATTGTCTGATTGTCACCTCAGCCACCCCAGCTATGTCTCCAATTTCTGAAAATATCAATAACATATCAGACTTAACACATTTTAATTTCTGATAAAGATGGAAATGACAAAATTGTAAAGGATTTTACACTTGCATCTTTTCGGTTCCCATATTTAAACTTCATTTTAAAAATATTTTTTATGTTGTCATTATCCTTTCAACAGGAATTAATTTTGAGAGCCAATGTTCATTAATAAAACCACCACTCTGAAACAAGTTCAGTATTCCACTTAGTATATGGCATGCCAAAACAAAGAGTGTGCTAAAATTCAGGCATCTGTAGTGAGTAGTTGCAGAGAAAATTGCAACGAAAATTTGTTTTGGGCAAACAGACAGTCTCAAAAGGGTAAACAGAATATCTCCATCCTTCAGAGCGGGGATATAATTATGTCTTGATGAAAATGGTCTCTTAACTGTAGTCTTCATTGTCAAATTCATACAATAATTTGCCTCAGTCAATGTTGATATTTTCATAGTGATTAACAAATCATAATCACATCCTATACAGTATACTAGTCTATACCATTTGTATATATTATTCAAATTAATTTAATGTCTGTAATCCAACTCCTCTACTGCAACACCAGGAAACAGAGAAGCTTACCTTTTTGGGACTTTTTATCTGCAGAAGCTTGTGATGCCATATAAATAGCTGCGGCAGCCACAGAAATTGGACTGCGACTGCAATAAATCAAAAAAGGATTAGTTTTGTATAAAAACATATAAAATGTTATGAAAGCCATCATGAACACTGAAGAGACCATACCCTGGTGTGAGATCCAGATCCACCGCTTTACGAGCAATGTGTGTGGCCGCCTTTTGTACAGAGTTTGGCAGACCAAGATTGGAGCAAAAACGAGACTGAAAAACAGGAATTAAAGTTATATATATATTTTCAAACAAATGACCAATCATCTCTATAGCTCCTAAGTCTGAAGGATTTTACTTTGTTAAAACATATATTGACCTGGTCCTTATTTTGCAGTCACACTGACAGGCAATTTAAGTCAAGATCTGAAATAATTCCAATTCTAAAATTAAAGTTTATTTAAAAAGTACTTTATGAATGTTATACTTTTTTTTTCATATAATTATACGAGTATGACTAAAATTGGTTGTTACTTGGATGTATATTTTTGAATATTTCATAGCTTATTTATTAATCCAATAAAAATCTGTTTTAAAACGTAAAATGCTTATTGTACTGATACAGTAATTAGGGCTAGATGACCGTTATCGCCTTTGACAGTGTTTATATAGTAAATGTGACCAAGCAATCACCTTTGGCTGTCTTTACCATTATTTTTGATTTGCTTTGTTTGTTTTCACTGAATATCATTTAAGGTCTAATATGTTTAAATAAATTAGATAACATCATCGGAAAAGCTATTGTTGATATGGTTGTGTTTGATTACACGCCAATACAATTGGTTGAAGGCAAAGGCTTTTAAAAAGTGATGTTGCATAGAAATGAAATACAGTGAAAAGTGTGCGAAAATCGTGGAAATCCGCTCTGTTTTGAGAACTCAAGGTCAAGTTCAAGTTGATACTACACGTAGATCTGACGACTGATACCTGGACGTCAAACGCAACAAAGAGTCACAATTTACGGAAGTATAAAAACAAAAACAGTGTGAACCATTTATGATTATATTTCTTGTGTTTATCTGATATTTTAAAAAAAATGTTATATTAAAGGCCATATCATTGTTAAATCAGAAATACATTTTTCCTATCAAAGCATGTGGTTTTATTTCTACAAGAGTTTTCAATGTTTTACAGTCATCAATTTACTTGTTCATATTTATTTACACTTCACTGTCATAATGAAATTGGTATATAATAAAAAAAATACAAATGTGACAAACTGTTTTTTTTCCTATCACATCATAAGCTAAATTATTACCTACTTATAGCTTTGATTGCATAGAGTTGAGACATAAACATTTGGAAAGTGGAAAACTAAGGACTCCCTTTAGAGCAGTATATCCTTGTATTATTATCATATCAATAATTTACACATTCAAATACATATAATAAAAAAAAAGAAATTATTATATTTAGCACAGGATAAATCCATACAGAAAACACATTCAAATACAAAAGAAATTATTCTATGAGGTAAATCCATCCACTAGCATTTTTTGGAAAAAGAATGATGTCGAAGTGTTTATTTTTATATCCCACGCTTGAAAAGTAATTGGGATGCCCGTCTATCCGTCTGTTATGCTTTGGAGTACCCGACTCTTATCAACAACTCCTCTCATACCACTGAATGAAATTTGATGAAACTTTCACAGAATCTTTATTACATATTGCCATTGTGCACCTCCTATTTGACATTTTGATCTGACACATACATGTATTTGGGGTTTTTCCCATAGCAAAACATGGACACTGCCATTATAATCATATGGAAAGTGGGGGTATCATTTAGTGAGCTCATTGCTCACAGTACCTCTAGTTCTTTTTATATTGCTGTAAAACGCATCTACCTTCAGCTTTGGTTTATATTGTAGGAGACCTAACAAGCACCTAAACTTTTACAAATGATAAAGGACTGAAAGGATCAGATTGCAAATTAAAACCTTTTCTCGTTTGTTTTAAAACAATTTAGAGTGTAATACATACCATGAAGTCCCCTGTAGTGATCAGTTCTACGTTTGTTTCCAGATTTTTCAAGATCAACTTGAACACACGCCCAATTTCCTTCTTGGAAATTTTTGATACAGCACAGATCTCTACAAATTTGTAAGAAAGAAGATGAGTCAGTTAAGTGAATTGACAATGTGTATCATGAGAATTAATTTAACTTTAAAGGTATAAATTTTCATGGGCATAAAATTTCGTTGTTTCGAAAGTAACCCTTTCAAAATTAGTCCTGAAAATTTTTTTGTCGGACTTATTCTTGTTGATAATTGTTAACAAGGAAATAAATGAAATATAATCCTCCATGAATATTTCTGATTTTACAGTATGAAAACTTTATCTTTAATTAATTGAAAAGGTGCAGGGACTATATGCATTAGTACCTCAATGCTACCAACGTAATGACATAAAAGACATCATAAGGTGGGTTCCAAATGTCTGTTTTTGTGGTTTACCTTTGAATGTCCTTGGAACTCCCTCTTGACGACAGGCAATGTACATACATGCTGAGGCAATGGCATCGTTACTACGACCTTTCAGGGCTTTACCTTCATGAACCTGTTTGAACAATGTATTGGCTCTATCCTGAAAAGTATTATTATTAATCAAATTAAAACTTATGGTTTTGTTTGTTTTAAATTGATAATTGGTTAAGAGCATTTTTTTAAAAATATATTCCCAAAAAAGACCTCTGTAATCATTTCAAACCTCAAGAATATCTGGATTACAAAATATCACAATAAATTTGAACAATAATAATGAGATAAACCAATCAAACTCACAGCAATCATTCTTGGTAGGTTAAGCCTGTCTCCCATTTGTCCTATTTCTCTGAATGCATTTATCAATGCTCTGTCTGAACTGTTCATCTGTTATCAAAAAATATATGTGAAATTGTACATTAAATCTTTAAAATTGTATTCATGCAGCAAAATTGTTAATGTTTGTTATAGCTTTCATGGAACTAACTGTTCGCCTGTTCCTGTACATTGGTTTCCCGTGTTCATCGACCATGCCTTCTGAACCACCCACACCTGTGGCTATCATAGTTGATAGATCCCCACCATCTAACAAGGGATTCTACAAAAGAAAGGTTATAACGAGATAACTTCCAATATAAAAAAAATAAGAATTTCTTGAAGCAAGATTACTGGGGTTTTTTTTTTATCCATTCTTTAATCTATTAATTACAAAAAGGAAAACAAGGATAACATGTTCTTCAAAATAAACATGAGACGAGGCAGTGGAGAGTTCCTACCTCAGAAGCTCCAACACGGGAGGGATCTTTGTCTGTCTTGTCATTACTGAAAGTTCTCCACTCAGTCCCAACATCAACAACCCTGCAACATAAAAAAGCTTCTCATTTTAATCATTAACTTACTTCTTTAGATTACAACAATGCAAAATATTTTTCATTGAGCCTGTAACTTCTTTTCATCAGAGATTTATGTCTCTGTTTTCAATGATTTTTTAATTTCTTTTAAGATATAGCTTCTGATTTTTTTTATTTATGGTAAATAGAATTTAAACAATCTACATAAACAATGCCAAAACATTTAGGAATGATTATCAGCTTTACCTGTCACCGACAACTAGGCCACACTCGGGACAGATCATGTCTCCTGCGTGGTAATCCTCCACCAGAAAAGCATCAGGGTGTTCTGGGCACATTATTTGAGGAAGCTTCCTATAAAAAGGATTTTTAAAATTGGTTTCCGGATAATATTTTTATCTTAAAAATACACTATAGAAATAAAGATTTTATTTTATCTACAAGTTTTTCTTGATAAGTCTAAGACATTTATTCAGCATAAATAAAATGCCCCTTGAATTATATTCAAACGTCAATTTATTAATTTACGATAAATTTTATTAACGAAACTGTGTATTTTGAACACAAATGTTTTAAAAAAATGTGTTTAATTGGCTCATTTCAAATATTGGTCAAATTGGTCAAGTGACCTCTAAGAGCGATAAATATTGTTTCTTTGCCTTTTACACACTAATAATCTCTCTCTCTAGATCCATTTATTTTGTTGAACAACGTACTTAGGAAATGGTGAAATGTTAGAGTGTTTCTAATTCCCAAAAATCAACGGTTAGTACAACTTTCGAGACGAAAATATTGTTTCTTAATTCTTTGCCTTTTAAACACTAATAATCATCAACTCAAGTTAGATCAGCATCCATTCTAATCAACCGGAAATGGTGAAGTGTTGTTTCTCTATTAAGTCGTGCATTAATAGATTCGATTTTCAACGTAGCCGCCAAAAGAGCTATGTTTCATATTTGACATATCTATACACCTGAGAACATGATCTATTTTTTTTTTATAAAACATTACGAGCAATATTATCCTTTCATCTTGTTCGATCCCTTTCTTTTCTAATTATAGCTTAGAAAGGCATGGGATACGAATCGCATAAAGTACGTCTTAATCTCTACTTTCATTTTACCTTTAAGTCGCATGTGCCATGTGGTAACATGTAAACAATAAATATCGAACAGCTGATTTCTATTAAATATGTCAATGTTTGCTAAAATAGGCTTACCGCTATCATGCACGGGCTTTGGACTTATTTTAGGAGTGTGTTATGAACGAAACAAAGGATATTTTAATTTTCTGCCTAGTGAAAACAATTTTCTAAAGGCGAACGGGCGTTTCAAGGACGATTGTATAAAAGAAAGATTTCTCTCCGATAGCTTACAATCTTTCATTCAGTTTCCAACAGTTTATGCCTCTACTCAACTAAGCAAACCTCGAAATCGCCTGCAAGAAATACTTACGTTTGGGGTGCCAACCTTCGATCCTTTGCGTCCTTTTGAAGATCATGTTGTGTTATACGACCGACGAAACAGGGTCCCACACTGGGTATTCGAACACATCCGCAAAGAGCACGTCGAAAAGAATGACAGCGTTACAAGACAGTCAAGTGAGTTTGTAGAGGACCCGTCCATTCATCCTTTCTTCAGGGCCACTGATTCTGATTACAGGGGAAGTGGTTATGACAGAGGACATATGGCGGCAGCTAGCAATCACAGACATTCTCAAAAAGCCATGAATGACACATTCTTCTTCACCAACATTGCACCACAGGTAATAAAGGGGCACATAATATATTATCAAGACAATTAAGCTTCAAAAGTAAGAGGAGGCGCTGCCAGTCTGAGGACTCATGCAGACATTAGAGAATGACCACATGCGTCAATCCCCTGTGGTTCGCCTGTGGTTTATAACAATTGTAGCTATTTTTTCAGTCAAAACGATGATTTCGCCAGGTGGACAATTTTGACCCGTGTCTGAAGGACGAGGTGAATGTACGTTGTACTTAGAATATGGCGAAATTATCGTATTGTCTGATTTGACCTTAAGGATGACGTTTACTCAGGTTTCAGAAATCAGAGAGGAAATTTTATAAAGTATAATATATTAAGTAAAAAATTGTTCTAAATGGATGAAATAACTAAGTTTTATCTCAATATCAATTTAAAATTTAAATATGTAAGTACTTGAAGAAAATATACAGGAACAAAACTCAATGTATGGCTATGCAGAGGAAATTCGGACTAAATTTTTAATTTTTCATTTTTGTCAAAATTTTTATTTCTTGCAATATTAATCACAAAGTAAAAGTTATATGTATTTTAAGACATCATTTTGCAAATTTTATATGTGTTTAAGCTCATAAATTATTTCAAATAAATTAATGCTATGAAATAAAGAAATTCAAAAATGTGTACAAAAACCACTGCAGACAACAAATCTCAATAATTTGATCATTGACCCCATATAATATTAATACCATGAGAATGAGGGTAAGAAAAGTAACCTGAGGCTATAAATAATTTAGAGTTCTTATCAGTCAGATTTTTGCAATGTTTGATTAAAAATCGGAAAAAATATAAATATGACAGAGGAAATTCGGACTGTAATAATTATCACGTTTATGGCCCAAACTCTACTCATTTCTTTTTATGGAGCAACTCTGTTCCATTGCTATAATATTTCATTATTTAAAGAGTTTTGTTGCTTTTAATATTTTGTGAGTGAAGAAAAAAATGGTCATAGTGTGAAAAATTGAGGTATTTCCCGAGAAATACTCAGGGGCCCCTAGCACGAAAACGAGGTCATTAACCTAGTTATTTGAAATTGAAATTTAACTCAAGAATCATAGGTTTACAATGTGCAATAGGTGGTTTTTCGTTCTTATCAGTGGAATTTTTAGTCCCCTGAGTAAAGGTATACCTTAAAAACAACAGTATGTATAATTTCTATAACATTGAATTAAATTATAGGTTGGTAAGGGTTTCAATCGGGACGTATGGAACGATCTGGAAAAATATGTAAGAGCACTGGCCAGGAAACACAAAAATGTCTACGTGTGTACCGGGCCTCTGTATCTACCAAGGTAAGAAATTTATTTGGCATTTTTTGTAGTAATTCTTAATGCACAAAAAAAAGAGAGGAATGTATGAAATTAATGATATAATAATTGATAAATACATGTATTTTTCTTCTTTAATTTCAGAGTGGAACCAGATGGTAAACTATACGTGAAGTACGAAGTGATTGGCAAAAACAATGTTTCGGTCCCAACTCACTTTTTCAAGGTCGTTGTTATGGAGACTGAAAAAGGAGAGTTTGCAATGAATTCATTTGTAATACCCAACCAGCCCTTCCCTAAGAACACTCCATTGAAGAATTTTCTGGTTCCCTTGGAAACAATAGAAAGGGCAGCGGGATTCCTTATATTTGACGGAGTTCCCAAACAAAGACTGAGAATAATTAATGGAAAAAATGTCTGACAAACTTAAAACAGAGATACTGATTGAGTACTAACATATTTATGATGACTTTTTAATCTTGAAAATAAATTTTTAATGTTTTGCTATGGTTGTTTATGGTATAATGTATTAAGATTAGAAAATCCAAAATAATGAACCCTTAGGTTTTGTAAAGGAACAGAGTTGCTTGAAAGAGACTCAAAGGTATCACAGAAAACCACAACCAATTTATTTCCTTAATCATATAAGAACAAGTAAGTCACTTAATTAATAAGTGAAGAGTGTTCCTTCAAGTTTTTAGAGCAGAACATGGATACTTGCGACGTAAATGATGCGTCTTCATATGTGTTGAAGAGAACAATAGCAGCTGGTATGAAATGCGCCCAATCTTATCATGATAGAATGAAATATAAAATACATGTTTAGATTTTTTTAAAACAAACCACCAGTGTGATGTGTAATTCAATGTACACTTCCTCATCTATCAATTTCTAAATGATATTGTTTAGGTTTTAAGATTGAAAGGGAGTCGATAACTCATGATGAAAGACTCCTCAAAATTGGCGAATGTTCGATGCGTAATTTCTTTCGATTGAGTACAAGAACGCAATTCAATGTAAATAATCAAAATCGCTTGAGAAAGCGTATTATTCAATTATACCATTATTCTCTATATAATGGGTAGCTAGTTGCAAGCAATCTTGGATACATCCTTATAACTTGAAGATCATAAAGTTATAGCCCAGTCATTGACCATTTCCGTCGAATTTCAATATCATAGAATGGCAAATTTAAAGGGGGAGGATTTGGGACACACTTCTCCCAGCTCTTTTTAAATAGTTCTATTTCGGTGTGCATTTGAGTAATCAGCCCTTAGAACAAAAATAAAATATTCTAAGGAAAGTTTTACAGACACACAGAATCAATGAATTTAAGACCTTGACCTTTAAATTTTGACCTAAAAATAAATAGGTGTCTTCCGTAGATCATAGGGAGTTGTGGTATAAAATGTCAATGCAAGAACTCAGGCTTCTCGAGATACAGAGACAGAATTTTCAATATATGAGGTTGACCTCAAATGCAAGTCAACCTCAGAGGTCAAGGTCAAAAAGTTAAAATTGTTCGTATCCAAAGTAAGGTCTTGTCACAATGAATGCATCTGTGAAATATAAAAGCCTTTGTGCTTGCTGTTCAAAAGATAAGGCCAAGGTTAAAGTTTTTCAAAAGTGGGTTTTACAAAAAAAAATAACATAAACGTTGGTCATAACTTTTGAACAGTTAGCACTTGGGCCGCAGTATTGGATTCAAAAATATTTTTTTAATTACTAGTAATTAGATATTTCAAAGAAATACCATCAAGGTATGAATCGAAAGCAACATGCTGCTTATTATATCAATATGAATCTTAATGAAAGAATTTTAATGAAAACATAAAATGTACCCCTACGTATACATCAAACACTCAGAAGTCGAGGGGCACTTTGGGACTCCCTTCATCCTTAGGCTCTCTGATTGATCTACTGATTATAGATTAACTTCATACACAAGTGTTTGGAATTTTGACACATCAATGGATGTTCATCGAATTTTAGTTTCTCTGAAGATGCAAGATTTCTTAATAGATAAATAAATATATATCTAAAAATAAAAATCTACCGATTCATATATCCCGGCACAATAAATAATGGGAACCACTGTCTTGGAGGAAAGATCCCTCAAAAAATTATACAGTTGTGTAATAATATTGCGTCTAATATTTTCTAATTATGCCCCCGTAATCGAAGATTCGGGGGTATATAGTTTTTGCCCCGACCGTCCGTCTGTCTGTCTGTTGTCCGCAAAACCTTTTATCTTGTCCGTAACTTTTGAGTGGATGGAGCTATGGTTTTCATATTTCACAGGTGTATTCCTTGTGACAAGACCTTTCTTTTGGTACCAAACATTTAACCTCTTGATCTTTGAGTTTGACTCACTTTACCAAAAATTTCAAGCTTCAACCATAGCCATAGCCTTTGAACATTTGATGCCAGGGCTTTCATACTTCACATATGTATTCAATGTGACAAGACCTTTCATGTGGTATAAAAATATTTGACCTTTTGACGTTGACCGTTAAAATTCGATTCTAGCCAGAGAAAGGTCTTGTCACAAGAAATACACCTCTGAAATATGAAAGCCTTAGCCCCATCCAGTCAAAAGTTATGGGCTTGGTTAAAGTTTTTGCGGACAAACAGATAAACGGATGTATAGCATTAATTTAGCTAGGGCAAAAACTATATATCCCGAATCTTCGATTACGGGGGCATAAAAATACAGTGTACTCGATATGCAATCAAGCAATCTTAGATGATTGGGATGCCAACGAATACTCGAGTACTCGACTATCGTTCGATGGACCTGCTCCAAAAAACTTTAAAAGCTATTCATTCATCTGGAAAATGTAAGCCAACTTCAACATCCGAAGCAACTCTGGTTGTAATAATAATAATATGTCAATAAATGTATCTTCTTTGCAAAAGTTGTTTAGCATTGGGCCTATAGTTATAAAAAAAACTGCTCCAAACCTCCTGGTCTTTCATGTGGAAAATGTTGATAGGGCTACCCTTGGTATCTCTGACGGTTTCATCCTCATCACTTGGCCAATCCATTTCCATCGTCTTTCTTTAATCTGGTCAGACATAGCAACTGTGTATGTTCTTTCGTACAGCTCCTCATTGGTGATCTTGTTTGGCCAGAATATCTTTAGTATTCTACGGAGACATGTTGTTTGGAAGGTATCCAGTTTTTGCGAGATGTTCTTTGTCACCTTCCATGACTCAGATCCATAGAGAAGGACTCCAATGACATTTGTTTTGAATATCCTTATTTTGGTTTTGGATCTGATAATTGAGGATTTCCAGATGTTCCGTAGGTTTGCAAAGATGGCACGGGCTTTTGAAATTCTATTCTCTACGTCCATGGTGGAATCTCCATTGGCTGTGATCTTACTGCCAAGGTATATAAAATTGTCTACTTCTTCTATTCTGTTGTTGTTTGCTGTGACTTCTTTATCTATCTTTGTACTTATCTTCATTAGCTTTGTTTTGTTTACATTTATCTTAAGTCCAATTTGTCTGCCATACTTGACCAGGTCATCAGTTTTGCTTTGAATATCTTTGTAACGCTGTGATAGTAATGCGATATCATCTGCAAAGTCAAGATCTTCTAATGACTGTTGAAATGTCCAGGATATTCCTCTACTGGTCTGACTGGTAGTAATTTTCATAACCCAGTCTATGCAGAAACTGAACAGCAATGGTGAAAGCAGACATCCCTGTCGTACCCCAGTTTGGATTGGAAAGCTGTCTGTTAGTTCTGTGCCGCAGATCACCTTTGCCTGGAAGTCCTTGTATAGCATCTGAATGATGGATATGATCTTGTTAGGAATGCCATAATGTCTGAGGATCATCCATAAAGCAGGACGATGTATACTGTCAAATGCTTTGGCAAAGTCGATGAAATTGGCATACAACGTAGCATTCCATTCATTGCTTTGTTCTAGAATTTGCCTCAAGGAAAATATCTGGTCTGTGCATGATTTTCCTTTTCTAAATCCAGCTTGTTCTTTACGAAGGTATGGGTCTACCACTGAGGCCATTCTGTTTAAGATGACTCTGCTTAAGACTTTGCTGGTAACTGACAACAACATAATCCCTCTCCAGTTATTTGTGTCAGCTAGGTCACCTTTCTTCGGTAGCTTCACTATGAGACCAACCTTCCAATCATCTGGTGCTGTATCTGTCTGCCAAATAGTTTGCAGGATATCTGTGAGAAGTCTGGGTGTTAATACTTCCTCAGCTTTTAACATTTCTGCATGTACTTGATCGATCCCTGGGCTTTCCCATTCTTAAGAAGTTTGATGGTATGTTTTACTTCCTCAATTGTTGGTGTGTTGGTATCAATGTCCAAAGTGTCTATAGCTTCAATAGTTTCAGCATGTTCTGTTGATGGACATTCCTGGTTTAATACCCTTTCAAAATGCTCTTTCCAACAGGTAAGCTCTTCTTCTATACTAGAGGCCAATACTCCATCTTGTTTTCGCACTGGTGTATCTGTGCTTTTAAATCCTCCACTCAGAGTTTTTGTGATACGATATAATGTCCCCATGTCTTGTTTCGAGGCTGCATTTTCTGCATCTTGCGCAAGCTTGTCAACGTAATCTTTCTTGTCCTTTCTTGCACTTTTCTTAACTTCCTTGTCTTGTATTGTGTATGTTTCTTTTAGCTGATCTTTTAGCCTAGCTGACTTGGCTGTTAGTATTTTCTTCTTTGTTTTGCATCTCAGTTCCACCATTTCCCAGGTCTTAGATGATATCCATTCTTCCTTCTTCTTCCTTTTCAACCCCAGTTTTTTCTTTCCTGCTTCAACAAGTGTGGTGTTAAATTGTTCAATACTGAGTTCTTGTTCATCTTTTAGGATGGTAAATCGGTTTTTAACCTCCAGCTGAAATGATTTCATGAGTGCAGGATCTTTGAGTATTGTGTAACAACTTTCAAACAATTAACTTTGGTTCGTGTTTTAAACCAGAGGCCGTGAAATTCACAATTCACAATTTTGAAAGAGGCACCATTGCTTATCATAATTATAAACTTACCATGCTTACTCTATTTATAATACCCAGAGGTAGATCAGAGTAACAAAGAGAAAATGCACTTCCACTTTATAACCAGTTTTGCACCTCTCCCAAAAGGAACCACTGACCCTGGGGCCACATACTTCAAAATTTTGCAAATTTTATCATAAAATGGTTGATTAATACCAATGAGCAGATTTCAAAGCATTGATTTATTTTCAGACTATGTACCCCCCCCCCCGACCCAGGGGGTCATAAAAAATAACCATTTTGCTAGATGCACCCTTCTTCATCATAAATATATATACTTGGATCATTGGCATAAAACCCAGGATCAAAGGAAAAGATTTTCAAAGAATTAATGTATTTTCACTATATAATCAATAAAGCCCCGCCCTATCACCAGAACCCCTGGCCCTGGGGCCATAAAATTCACAATACTGGGAGAGGCACTCTTGCTCATCATAACTGTGTACTTAGTTAGTTTATTTTATACCCAGAAGCAGAGAAGATTTTCAAAGAATAAATGCATTTTCACTATATTATCAAGAGCCCCGCCCTTACACCATAACCCCTGGCCCTGGGGCCATAAAATTCACAATTTTGGAAGAGGCACTCTTGCTCATCATAACTGTGTACTTAGTTAGTTTATTTAATACCCAGAAGCAGAGAAGATTTTCAAAGAATAAATGCATTTTCACTATATTATCAAGAGCCCCGCCCTTACACCATAACCCCTGGCCCTGGGGCCATAAAATTCACAATTTTGGAAGAGGCACTCTTGCTCATCATAACTATGTACTTAGTTAGTTTATTTAATACCCAGGAGCAGAAAAGAAGATTTTCAAAGAAATAATACATTTTCACTATATAATCAATAGAGACCCGCCCTAGCACTAGAACCCCTGACCCTGGGGCCATAAAATTCACAATTTTGGAAGAGGCACTCTTGCTCATCATAACTTTGTGCTTAGTTAATTAATTTAACACCCAGAAGCAGGGAAGATTTTCAAAGAATAAATGCATTTTCACTATATAATCAATAGAGCCCCGCCCTAACACAAGAAACCCTGACCCTGGGGCCATAAAATTCACAATTTTGGAAGAGGCACTCTTACTTATCATAACTATATACTTAGTTAGTTTATTTAATATCCAGGAGCAGAGAAGTAGATTTTTAAAGAAATAATGCATTTTCACTATATAATCTATATAGCCCCGCCCTAGCACTAGAACCCCTGACCCAGGGGCCATGAATTTCACAATTTTGGTAGACGAATGCTCAATACATTCATGCCAACAGTTTGCCTGCTTGATGTCCCGGAGTAAAGAAGAAGATTTTTGAAGATTGCAATAATTTTAGTGGTTTTGGCCCCACCTCCAGGTCCTAAGGGGGTAGGGACCATGAAAATCACAATTTATGTTCCCCTTCACCCATAAATGCTGTATACCAAATTTGGTTGAAATTTGTTCAGTGGTTTAAGAGAAGAAGCTGAAAATGTTCAAATGTTAATACACGACAGACGACAACGGATAGCAATAGGTCACCTGAGTTACTCAGGTGACCTAAAAGTTAAAGTTAGAATGAACCTACTCCAAAACTTTATTCTCTAAACTCATCCGGAAAATGTAGATCAGATCCTGCATCCAAGCAAAGCTGTTAGTGCGCATCTTTAGATGTATTATCCGTGCAAGTTTGGTATTAATGATCCTTACTCGTTTGGTTAATACCGGGCTAATAGTTACTTCAGAATGATGAATCTGCTCCAAAAACTTTAACGAGGTTACTCATCTAGAAAACGCAGGTCAGTTCCAGCATTCGTAGCTTAAGCATTTTTAATACTTGTCCAACATAATTTCATTGAACTATTACAATGTACCTGTATTTGCTGAGTATCCTTTGTTGAAACTAAAGAAGATAAACTCAGTAGTCAGATTATATTTGTAATGACAAAAACAGTGTTTATGGAGGGTCCATACAAAAAGTTTGGTTTAAGAGGACTATTTTAAAGAATATTTCATAGAAATCAACACATTCTTGATATTCACCACATACTAGTTCTAGTATATAAAAACAACGTATTATGCCGTATGAAAATCAACAACCGAGTCTCCAACTCACTACACTCGTGTACGTATTAAGAAAAGATTAATACAAGTATAGTGAGTAGATATTAACCACTAGTATTTCTGCAATGCATGTACATTGGTCAGCTTTGTTCAATAACAGCCTTCACGGATAAGGAATTTGAAATGTCTTGTACAGTTCCATTCAGAATTCCACTGCTGGAGGAACTATTTGTCCTGTTTTCCCTGCACTGAACACTCTCACCCATTGTCTCCACAATGACGGTGTTTGTCGGAAGTGACGTCGCTGAAGGCATGGATAGAGTTTCTGTGACATTATTCACTTCACGCCCAGAAATAGTAAGAGTAGAGAGTCGCCCCCGTTTATAACAGACGCCAAAACTTGAGGCTAGAATCCTGCAAAAAATTAACATATTTTACATGTAGTTCTCTCCAAATTAATCACGTCCAAAAATTCAGAAGAAAGAATGAAAGTGGCTTGTACCTGAGACAACCAATTTCCAGAAGAACACATGCGCCAATCACAAATATTCTGATATATAATGACGTCACGGAGTGGGTAATGGCGTATGTGACAAAAGGAACTGACGTGATTACAATCAAGATGAGGAAATTTTGCAACCAATGACGAGGTTTCAGTCCTCTTGGAAACCACGACCATCCTTCACTAACCTTATACTGGAAGAGAAATAATTCTTCCTTTTTATTTGATATCAGATATCACTAACAATTATTTAATATTTACTGTTGTCTTAATCAATGGGATACTTACAGATTCGTTGCAAACTTTGCATTTCAATTCTTTCTGTTGGTCAGCACACTGAAATTAAAGAAATACAATAAAAATCCAAAATAATGGTATATTCATCCCCCACTCTCTATCTCTATTTGTCACTCTGATTGTGTGATTGTGTGTGTACCTCAATCAGCCATTTTCGGAGACATTCATGATGGACAGAAGCTACGTCACCACGGCACTGACACGGTTGAATGAGTGCCCCTGCGTCAGTTCTATCCGGATCATAACAAATCCAACAGTCTTGTTTTAAGCCTGTAGAAAGTAACACAAATCTGTGATTTAGTAAATCTTAATGTCTGACTTGAGTTTGAGCGAGGATTGTGGACTGATTTTACCTTGTATTTGGTACACAGAACCATAGTTCTCTTGAGACGCATCCTTCACGGCGTCTGTTTCAGATTTCTCTGACGTCTTCAAACTTTTGAATAAGGTCGTCGGATTTAACACCCATAAGTTTTCTGGGCTGTAAGCAAATTACAATTGCAGATAGTCTAGAGAGGTTGCTAAAGGTCTAATTGAACCAAGATACTTGTATATTTTACTAGGGATTAAAATTATTACCTTTTACAATTCCAGAGGACACATGGAAACCAAAGCACGACACCAAACTCAACAATTCTAAATCCAATGTCGTAAAAGTTTTGACTTATTATTGGCAAACTACAAAAATGCAGGAAAAAAACATGCAAACTACAGTTTTGCTTAAAGAAAGACACCTTGTTAGTATAAGTATAAAAATAATCAATGTTGCCATGGATTGTTACTTACTGATTCTTCCAGATATCCCCTTTTACATCCGCAATAATGAATAGCGCTGTGACGAGCTGTAAAATGGCCTGCGCGATCAGCCCCAGACGGGACGCATGCAGCTGCCACGTGTCTACACTCCCCGTCCTGCTGTTAAATGCTCCGTGTACCTGTAGAATTCCAGATCAGCATTAGTCTATCATGCTTAAAATGTATGGATAACCGAGTTTCCTGCATGCCAGAATTGCTTACACAGTTATCAGAATATTTAAGTCCAGGCAAGGCCTTAGTTGTTGACACTTCTTGTTCTCTGATCTATGTTCACACATACAACCTCTTGAATCATTAAAGAAAACCTTTGCAATGTGGAAATGATGATGAAATAAAAGAAAATTAATAATTTCTCCATTGGCCAAATTTCTCACCATCTATAGAAAGACACATTTGAACTGCAAAATACCAAGTAGTCATGTACAAGGCACCATGCATAGAGAGAAATATGGCAAGCTCTTTTACTATTTATTCGGAAAATAAATTTTATCTTAAAATTACAGAGATGTCTCTCATTTTAGAGAGATATCTCTTAAAAAATAGAGATATCTCTCAACTTTAAGAGATATCTCTTATTCTTAAGAGATATCTCTATAAGAAAGAGATATCTCTTAAAGTTAGAGAGATATCTCTTATACTTAGAGAGATATTTCTTTTTCTTCGAGAGATATCTCTTTCTACTTGAGAGATATCTCTTTCGTGATAAAAGATATCTCTGAACGTTAAAGAGATATCTCTGATCGTTAAAGAGATATCTCTTTCAACAAGAGAGATATCTCTTTCACCTACAGAGATATCTCTTTCACTTAGAGAGATATCTTTCCGAGTTAAAGAGATATCTCTTATAGTAAAAGAGATATCTCTCTAAGTTTTTCTTAAGAGATATCTCTCAAAGTGAAACAGATATCTTTCAAAAGGGTCTAAAAGAGATATCTCTGAAGCAAAAAGAGATATCTCTTTATTGCAAAGAGATATCTCTCTTCATTATGTTTATTTAAATTCCATTTGAAATGACTTCTCCCTTTATCGGAAGTAAACTTTTTATTCATTATTTCAAAAGCTGAAAAAATTCGGTCCAGAGTCTGAAAGTCTCGTCACGTGACTCGCGAGAGTTTACGATAATTTTCACTTCCGGGTGGTGTTGTGTATTGAGTTCAGCATGTTTCTGGTTTACACAAAGCTTTCGGGGGGAAATTGAATAGTTTTACAAAGCCGAAGGGTTTTCCGACTTACGATGGATGAATTTCATGTCATAAAAAATTGGGTGCGAGCGTCCACCAGGAATATTTCGATCGAAATACAGGTAAACAAATCAGAGAATGTCATCCGTTTCTTGTTTATTTTGAGTAGCGGAGCGGATAGTGGGGAAAATATTTCACTTGCGGATACAAGCACCAAATTTTGCATGAAGGTTCTTTTACTATTACTGAAATAAGAAATATCGTTGGCCACTCAAGTTTCGGCCATTTTCAAGATGGCCGCCACTTATTTCAAAATGGCGCCGTTTTTCATAATTTTTCCGAATATTTTCATCCTTCCTCGGTAATACTTTTATTTCTTCTAAAAGAATAAAAGGGAACTTGGTAAAAGATATAATTTGAGCTCCATTTTATATATACATACACTGCGCATGCGCTTAAATACAAACAAAAGCTGTTTTAAGACATGACTGAATTAATCTTCTGAAACGTGTATATCTGCATAAAGCAATGTAAGGTTATCCGGACCTGAATGCACCAACATTTTAATACCGGTAGTTCTTGACATGATGCACAATTGCTGGCAAGAATGTACAGTTTGGGGCACAAAATCCACGTTTTTTTTACTCAACCCTAACTGGAAGGTGAGGGTAAAGTTAGCCACTTGCATACTAGTAGTGACTGACCACATGAATGAGCAGGATGCAATCCAGGTCTCCAAATCTGCTTGACAAGAGCAGCTCTTTAGGGAGGGGATCAAGGCAAGGGTCATTAATGCTATTCGCATTGTACATGATGACAACAAATTCTTCCAGTATATTGATTCAAGGTTTGACAAGGGGTGCTTCAAAATTGGATTTGAATATATTTTTGGCGTTCTAAAACATATTCATGACCTGTCATGCTGTCTTTTTACCTTTCCAAACAAAGGCTGACACTGTATCACTACCCATGAATGTATGAAAGAATGGTAATGCATTTGATATAGTACCAGTGATCTAACATCATAAATTGTTATTCATCTCAAATCCTTGCTCTTTCAAAATGTCATTCATTACTGATCCAATTTACTAGTAATTCATCAAAAGAGTTACACAACAACGTCCGTATCCGAACTAACCTTGTAGATTGATCTGTGCTGCTATCACCCGATGCTGCATTTTTTGCATGAAGGAATATACGGGTGACAGCTTCTTCATCTTAGCAAAGTGGTATAAAGTTGGTATCTATAGCTTTGCTTATATTGACAGTTTTTTTCCTTTACTACAATAATAGTTGCCTCTTTAATAGTGAATATAATTCTGCCTGCTAACCCCCTATCCCCCCATTCAGTTTTGTTCTTGTCACACTGAAAGAAAGTGTTCCATGACTTTGGTGGTCTAGTGTTCCCAGTGAAAGAGAGAGAGAGAGAGAGGTCCTGGTTTTCATGATCAGAAAGTTCTTGTACATCGCATTGCCTACTGTGACAGAAAAAGAATAACAGAAAAGCTGCTACAGTCATCTTCATAATTTGCCAACTTTGACTTTGAAGAATCAGAATTTTGTTTTGTATTGAAAATGCGAAATTCATCCTTCTGAGCAAGTTCATAAAACCTTGATTATCACCTACAGATACTCTTAAAAGGCGTACCCAATATTGTTCTTTCCCAATGTATCCCTTTTTTAATATTTCATCCTTCAATTTCATCAGTTTCGACAACAACTATAAAAATCCTGCAACTCTTCCTCAAACGGAATTCCCATTTCAAAAATTATACATGTAGGCATAGCCCGATTTACTTGTGAAAAAACTTTCTTGAGCAGCATGACTTTCTTCATGATGTTTTTCTTCTTCTCTTGAACATTTCATCATATTCATGTGAATTCTTTAGTACGTTTGCTGATTTCTGGACCAGCTACCACCTTTAATGCAGCTGGATCTTCCGCTAACCATCACCTGATCTTCTTTTACATGTAGTTATCACTTTTTACAAATAGCATTGTTATTCTCATGGGCTTGACCAATGGCAAAGTTTGAAAACTATTATTTTTTCTAAGTAAATTCCTTTTTTAATTTATCACTAAACATATATCTGGGTGTTTTGACACTGCACTCAAAGGTGAAATGGTACCCATGGAACATATTTGATGTGACCAACGGCAATTAGTAGCATTCTTTGTAAAGCCTAACATCTGATTCTCTGCAAGACCTTACAAAGTAAAGACAACGAGTTCCAACAGAATTCTTTACCAAAATTTAAATTGTGAAATCTTTTTTTTTTGAACTCCAAGAAAATTAGATCTTCTATTTCAATTTCATCACATTTATTGAGTTCATTTGCATTTTGGTCTGCCTTTTTATAAAGCCATAACGACAGCAGGCAGTAATTTGACTATCTTGTCTTGTTTTAGCAAGATTTAAAAAATTGCTAAGAAAGACTCAGAAGTTCCAGAATATGCAACTTCTGCTTGAATCAATGCACTCATCCAGCCGCTTCCTTTCAACAAATCACCAATCAATTTTAAGCTGTCATTTCAATATGGAATCCATTGAAAATATTGACAACATATCTATCTTTCACCATAAATTTCCAGTCATTCTCTTTTTATCTGTTGGTTACAAGCGGCTTTTTTTAGCCATCACAGGCGTTTTTCTTGGATTTTAAAAGGATGGTGCTGACTTCACAGTCCATGGCATTCTTCATTGTGGATAGCGAATGGTTACCTGTTGTTTAATGTCTTAAATACAACATTGATTCATTTCCTTTTATTAACGTTCCCTAAAGAATTATTTCACTCATTAAAATTAAAGGTTGTTTGAAAGAATTAATATTTCAATCAGTGCTATTTTATGTTCTCCAAAGGATTCTTTCATTTATTGAGATTTTACGTGCGTTGGATGAGTGTTTCACTCCATTATATTTTATGTTTCTTGAAGAATTATTTTACTTATTGAGGACTTTCAAATACAAAATTTTACTTGGTATTCAGACCCAAGATAGTGAAGGAACGCCTGCAAGGCTTTTTGTAAAACATCTAGATCTGTCACAAGTTTTTTTTTTTTTAAATGGCTTCTTGCTACTTGATAATGTCGTTAATATCTACAATAGGGAACGATATTTTGTGTTATAAGAAAACCATTTTGTCTTTATATTTATAGCATTTAAGCTAGAATATAAAATTTATAGTCTTTTTTTTTTTTTTAGATATATTTAGGTGGCCAAAGTATAATTAATTTGGTTGTAAGAGAATGTATGTGAGGCCAAACTGCCTGAAAATGCCGCCATTTTGTTTTAGTGGCGGCCATCTTGAAATTGGCGGAAATGGCGGTGGCCAACGATGTTTTTAGATAAAGTAGTATCAGATAGACATTTGTACCAAATTTCATGCTTGTATCCACAAGTGAACTATTTGGCTGAAATTTTGATCTAAGCCGCTACACTAGAGGGAATACATGTATGAAGTGTTTTATTCTTAACCGAATGAAATAGTTTTGAAATTATCTTTTGCCTTAATTTTTTAACAGATTTCTCTTGAACCCGAGATGTTATTATCAGCTGATTATAGAGGAGGAGTTTTGTCATGGATGTACCAACGTCATATTTATGATATTGTGGCTGCATCACTTTTGTTTGGGTAATTTTTTTTAATATACTTTTTTCAGTAAATTTTAACCTGCTTTGTATCTGTGGATTATTTTTTTGAGCATTAAATGTTTGTAGCAATTTAGATCTATTTCACAAGGATAAGATGTTCATATATTTTGCCATCTCTCAGCATAAATTAAAATTCAGATGACCATATTTCTCACTTTAGAGAGTATGTTCCCTGTTTATAGAAATGGTTTATGGATTTTAAACAATTTTTCTGTCTGTTCAAATTCGCCTGCATGGCACAGTGGTTAGAGTGTCTGCTCTAGAGTCGCGAAATAAGGAGTTGATCCTTACTGTACATGATACATTGTGAGTTTAAATCCCACTGTGGGATGTGGAGACCTGTCCTTGGGATGATACAGTATAACTGTGGCCCCTTGTCGCAGTAGGTCAGGTGTTGCCACTAAAAAAGATCCCTTCCTGCTCAATGTCAATGGCCCTGAGTGCCGAGTATAGGACAAAATTTGCAGCTCTCCACTGGTGTTTCCATATGAGTGAAAATTCTTGAGAGGAACGATAAACAATATACAATCAATCAATCTGTCTGTTCAATTTATTCACTGATATTGCACAAATGTATACACTAAAACTTAATTTATAGCAGAGGTACAAGAACCATGTAGTAACACAGATAAAAGATGCAGTTCCTAAGAGATCCAAAGTCAGCAGCACCTAAGACTAAACTGATTTTGAATTATCAGCATCCAAAACAATGCAAATCAAATACAAGTATGAAATTGATGAAACAAAATAAGTTCTAAGACAAATATAAAATTTATTGTTTATAAGACATAGCATTTATATATCAAATTACTAATATACTAGTCAACATTGGCCATCTTTAAAAATATATTTGTTTGATGTACTCCTACCCACTTTTATCAAGGTTGGTAGGTAGGTCAGTAGGTATCGGCAGTTTTTTTATGCCCCGCCTTGATTATGGCCTGCGCATATAGTGTTTGTCATGTCTGTCTTCCCTCTTTCTGTCCTTCCATCACACTTTACGTTTAGCTCAGTTCAAAGCCCAGTTTCAAAGAAACTATACAGGATATTTCATCAAACTTTGCTGATAGATATTGATAAGAGCTATGCAACTGCATCAACATTTTTTGTCCTTGACCTTTCCTTTGACCTTGACCACACTTTTCTTAAATTTGTTTTAAGCTCAGCTTTAAACATACCATTCAAGATGGTGACAGGTGTTACAGCAAAACTTGGTTATAACGAAGTTGCTGGGACCTATGAAATTACTTTGCTATATCCGTAATTTGTTATAATCGTATAAGAAATTCATTGAATTTTTATAGCTGGGAATCCAAGATGACTTCGCTATACCCATGAATTCTCAATATCCGTGTTCATACTAAACGAGATTTTCTGTATCAAACTTTTTTGTCCTTGACCTTTCCTTTGACCTTGACCACACTTTTCTTAAATTTGTTTTAAGCTCAGCTTTAAACATACCATTCAAGATGGTGACAGGTGTTACAGCAAAACTTGGTTATAACGAAGTTGCTGGGACCTATGAAATTACTTTGCTATATCCGTAATTTGTTATAATCGTATAAGAAATTCATTGAATTTTTATAGCTGGGAATCCAAGATGACTTCGCTATACCCATGAATTCTCAATATCCGTGTTCATACTAAACGAGATTTTCTGTATCAAACTTACCATACTGATGAGAGCTTTTCAACTGAAACAAACATTTTTTGACCTTAGCCTTTCTTTTGACCTTGACCTCAATTTTCCTAAATTAGTGTCAAACTTCATATGCTGATACATACTGATGTAAGCAATTCAACTGTATCACTTTTCAAGATATTCTGATCAAATTTCATACGAATTTTCATGTTGCATTACTAATATACCCTCTGCGGGCATTCCTGTCCTGTGGACATATTTCTAGTTTTTTTTATGCCTTACAGTATTGAATAAATCGATAACTGTCATATTTAAAACCACAGACTCGGAAATCTGTAAATGTTTTCATTTAGTTAGAAAGACTTAGTATTTATAAATTAAAAAGCATCCTAAAAAAAATATGATACCTTATCTTTAAAACATCTATGGAAATTAAGGGGGGGGTTAAAAAATTTTAAGTGCCCCCAAAAATGATTGCAAATGGGTAGGGGCTATTTTAAAAGGTCGGTCAGAGTACATCAAACAAATCAGTTTTTTATTGTTGGCCTTGGAAGGGTACCCTAAATATGAAAATGCAACAAATATTTTTTAAAAAAATTTAAATGAAAATATTTTTTGTGTATAAAAAGGACAATTTTTATTCTGATTTTCTTGTATATCATTGATAAATTTTAATGAAGAAAGTTTAGATTTGTATCGAATGAATGGATATTTGTAAGATTTATAACTCATTATTTGTCAGGCACCTTACTGTCCTTAGTCCTACATTATTATAAGTTGCACATACAACTATGGCCTATGTAATAATTCAAATGACATGTTACAGAGGCTTGCTAAATTACAGGTTTTGTCTGTACATCTGGCAATCTTAGGACAATACTGGATGGTTTTAATTAAGAACTGATCCAGCATGAAGACCAGCCATGTGCCTCACCTGTCGTGACATTATTAAAGGCAAGTGTCCCTATAAGCAAAGAATCTGACAAAGCAAAACCTTCATCTGAAAAGATTTACATTTAATACTTATTTTATTGGTTGTTTTAATTATTTTTTTCTTCTACGAAGCCTCTTATTTAGCATTTCTGAGTACTGGTATATGATTGCCATACTTTCCAAAACTTTTTTTAATGCTTTATTTTGAAGCTTTTTCCATATCCATATATACACTATACACTGTACAAATACAAGACAATTTTCACCCACTCACCACCACAATTGCACACAATCACACAGTGCACTTTCTAAACTTAAAAATAACGAGATGTTTGTTAAACACTTATGCCCCCCTCCCCCAACATTGGAATTTTTTATCTAAGTCCAAAAGGGCATAACTCTGTCAAAAATGGTGCGATCATACACAAAACAGAACTTGACCTAGATGTTCATCTCATAAATCTGTATACTAAATTGCATTTCACTATGTGCAACATCTGCAAAGGAAATGAACGGAAACTGCAAGTAATTGGAATTTTTCTAAATCCAAGGGGCATAACTCTGTCAAAAATGGCACGATTATCGTACCCAAAAACAGAACTTGACCTAGATATTCATCTGATATACCTGTATACCAAATTTCATTTCAGTGCAATGGTTGGGAAGAAAATGAATGGAATGGACTGACAGACAGCTACAAAGCAATATGCCCTCCTTTCTTCGAAGGGGGGCATCAGAAATGTACATATATGTAAACATATGACAGTTAAACATTTAATTTATCCAAAAACCAAACAGGTGTACCAAAATGTGTAGATATAAATTAACAAAAAAATACAATTTTGATTTTTTCATCACTTGTTGTACACACATTATCATAGAGGACCCATTTACTGAGTATTTTGTCCTCACATTGAAAAACTTTTTCACAACAATTTTCTATGTTTCTGTAATACTTAAATAACTTTACTGCATCAATAAATAATGGCTTACTATCTTGTGATCTTAAATAGTAAATAAAATTTTTGCAACTAATAAAAGAAAATTTTCTAAACAACCTACTATATTAACAAGTAAAACAGTTCTTTTGCATATTTTGTAATCTTTTTCAATGACACTAAACCATTGTAAAAATTGATTCCAAAATTCAGTCACATAAATATACACAATCATGAAATAATTGAAATATTGTCTATTGTTTTTATCCTGTTTCTATGTTTGTTTGTCTGTTGTCAACTTTAACCTCCACCATAACTTTTGAGAGATACAGACTTCATATTTAATATGCCTACTCCACTAATTAAATTCTTTCAAAAGACACCAAGGTCAATGACCTTGTGACCTTGACTGTGACCTATATGCTAAAAATAGCTTCTCCTTTTTTTTTTTAACTTTTGCCATAACTTTTGAATCATTAAAGATAGAGATATGATATTTGGAATGCCTTCTTTACTAATTAAGCTCTTTCAAATGACACCAAGGTCAGTGAACTTGTGACCTTAACTGTGACTTTATGCTATAAATACCATTTTGAACTTTCACCATACCTTTTGAACCATTAAAGATAGAGACTTCATATTTGATTTGCATACTCCACTAATTAAGCTCTTTCAAATGACACCAAAGCCCAATGACCTTGTGACCTTGACTGTGACCTATATGCTAAAAAAAACTTCTTTGAATTTGTTGCGGCCTGGTGCATAGTGTTTCACAAACACATCTTGTTTTGAAGTAGTTTTAATATTTGAATTTCTGTAGAATTTTATGTTACATATATAAACCAAAAATATTTTTAAAATCAAAATCATTTTTATTTCAGTTCTTTGTGACAGTTGGATGATGGAATATTAAAGAATGAACATGGCTCTATATTACTGCATCAGAGATCAATCCAGGTTTACTTATAAATCGAAGAAAAACACTTTAACAGTCAAGCATCATTTGAAGCTACAAATGTCATAGCTTTAACAATATGCCTGCTTATATAACCAAGAAAGCACAGTGACCAGTTGTACCTATGATGTCGGACAAGATCCCGAAAAAACTTCCAGTAGACTCATCACTACCTGCAAAGAATTAAAAATTCTAAATGACTTGTATCGTTGTACTTCATCTGGCTTGTATTTTCAGTACTCATTAGCTTTTAGCTTCCTTTAAACAAAATTTCATAAGTACTAACTTGCAGTTGTAAAATATTGAAACAGTTTGCTTGTCCCAAAGGAAATTCTGCCAATTAGCAGTGGCATGAGCAGTTGATTGATGTCACAGTTCCACCGGCAAAGTATTTGTAGCTGAATGGTGCCATGTAAAACACTTTTCACAAGAACATGGAAAACATCCTAGAAGTGAGCATCTACAAGAAATTAAGTGAATACTTTCTTGAATATTTTCAATGTTATAAAATGCTTGTGTACATCCTTTATATATAAAACTAATTACGCATGTAACTACCAAATACACATATTAAACTTCCTTAAATTTGTTCTTAAGTTTATTTATAATGTATTAAAATAAGCATGCAATATTTGTTTTGTTATTGTGAAGGATTCAATGTTAAGAAAATGTCGTTCATTGAAAAAAAAAAATGTGCAAACATTCTGCACAGTTAGCAATTTTTATGGAGAACCTATCAGTGTGCATTTGCAATCGTTGGGATTTAATGACAGGCACACAGTAGAAGAATTGTACTTGTTAATAAATGTTTTTACCAATCAAATTTTAAATTGATAATTTAATAAGAAAGCATATGACAAATTTAACTAGCATTATGGTCCATTGATTTACCATGATGTTTGAGGTTTTTTTGACTTGAAACTGAACTTGTAAGTTTGAAATATTGAAGTAAAGAAAAGTGCAGTCCAAAAATTTATCCTGTACCTGATTTAAAATGAGTGCCATCATTAACTACTTGGAAGTTGCCACACTCTTCATGAGTATAAGAATTATTGGATATGCCTCATTAACAGATCTATACTGGTACACAGATGACACATTCAGTCAAAGCATTGTCCCTTTTTCAGTACCTCCTGGATCCCT